GCGGCCCTTTCCAAGAGCAGCATTCCAGCAGGACGGGGAAATTCCAGGTTCCAAAAGGCAGGTGTTGGAGTGGCTAGCGAGATTGTCAGACTGCTAAGTCCGGGGTTTAGATCCCTGCTCCTCCACAAGGTTTACAGAGGGACTCTGGGCCTCACTTTCTCTCTCTGTCTCAACCTGATCTACCTCACAGGGCTGTTGTAAGGATAAAGGAGGGAACTATGCATGTTACTCTGAGCAGTTCACAGCAGGAAGGATGGATTTAAAATGCAATGATGTTTTGTCCTGCAGCAAAGCGGCCACCAACCTGATCTGTCATGAGCTGAGTTGCCAACTGAGCAGAAAAATATTTTGCTCGGCGGGTTGTGTTTGTTTGCTTTTTGCGTTGCAAGCCCCACGAGGAACAGTTGAGGGAGTTGGGTATGTTTAGCCTGGAGAAGACTCTGAGGTGACAGGATAGCCATCTTCAAATAGTTGAAGGCTTGTCACATGGATGATGGAACAAGTTTGTTTTCTGCTGCTGCAGAGGGAAAGACCTGAATCAATGGATTCAAGTCATCAAAAAAATGAGATTCTGACTAAACGTTAGGAAGAACGGTCTGATGATAAGAGCTGTTTGACAGTGGAAAGGACTCCCTTGGAACGTGGTGGACTCTCCATTGGAGGTTTTTAAGCAGAGGTTGTATGGCCATCTGTCAGGGCGGGATGATGTGCTATAAATGTGGTTTAAACGCATGGTGCACTTTCATGCTCAATCAGTAGCATAGGAAGGCGGGGTGGGGCACACTGGGTGGCACGGTGGCTGGAGGGCCTGGCTTGGATAGGGCTATCTTCCAAAAAAAAGCTCAAGAACTTTGGACGATCTCCAAACTTCAACTTGTTCTCATTCATCATCACTGACCATCATTCATCCCCATTCATAAATGTTTGAAAAGTCCAGGGATGCAGTCAGATGACCAGGGAAACAGGCAAGGCTTTTGCTTAACTGTTTTTCTCGCCACCCCCACTCTGGAGATACAATTTTGTGCAAAGGACCTAATGGATCTTAATCTGGAGAACAGGTTGACATGCCCACATTCTCACACAGTGCAATTTGTCAAGCTAACAAGACCCGCAGAGGTACCACACATGATTCATTAGACTGCTATATCTGGAGAAGAGGTGGAGCTCGGTGGTTGGTGGAGCATCTGCCCTGCATGCAGAAGCCCCCAAATTCAATTGTTGGCATCTCCTGGTAATACTGGAAAAGAGTTTCTGCCTGAAAACCTGGAGAGCTGCTGCCAGTCAGTGCAGACAACACTGAGCTAGATGGACTGTTGGCCTACAGCAGTTTCCTATGTTCCATAGGTTTATATGATTAATTATGGGATGTACATGTGCGGACTCGCAGACACCTAGGGAACCATCTGAGAACCTTCTGGTAAGCTGTTTGTATGGATCTCCAAGTAAGATCCATGATCTGTAGCTGAGATTCTGGGTGTCCCCGGACTGCCACTGTTTTTTCAGTAGGGATTCAAGCACCTACCATAATTTTAGGTTTGCACAGTTAAAGTGGATTACAGTGGTACCTCGGGTTACATGCGCTTCAGGTTACATACGCTTCAGTTACACACTCTGCTAACCCAGAAATAGTACCTCGGGTTAAGAACTTTGCTTCAGGATAAGAACAGAAATCAGGCTCTGGCGGCGTGGCGACAGCAGGAGGCCCCATTAGCTAAAGTGGTGCTTCAGGTTAAGAACAGTTTCAGGTTAAGAACAGACCTCCGGAACGAATTAAGTACTTAACCCGAGGTACCACTGTATTAAAGCACTCTGTTGCCCTAGCGCAACAAATCCACTTTTTTAAAAAATAAAAACTACGGTTTCAAAAAAAAGTGATGGAGAAACGCATAGAAAATGAACAAACGGTTAACAGGAAGACATATGAACACCTCACAAGCGCCAGTCAGGATGCAGGACGACTGCTGCTCATTCTCATCCAACCATTCTGCAAACAAATAAGGATGGATGGGGAATAAACATGTCCTCTAGAGGAGTGTTTTTAAACTTTTTTGGGCAAAGGCACACTTGTTTCATGAAAAAAATCACGAGGCACACCATCATTAGAAAATGTTAAAAAATTTAACTCTGTGCCTATATTGACTATATATAAAGTAATTCTCTTGAATAGGAATCAAATAAACACAAAGAAAGTATTTTATAATTACTTTATTATGAAATAGTAAGTAAACAGAAATATGAAAAAATATAAAATACTTTATTCAGTGCACAACCTGGGCCTGTTTGGCTGAACACAAAGCTGATATTCTGGCTGGAATCGAAGAAAGACACACACGTAGCTCTTCGTCAACAGCTCTCAGTCTCTCTGTGTATTTAGTTTTTATAGCAATCATGCTTGAAAAGCTCATCTCACACAGATATGTAGTGGAAAATGGGAGCATTGTCAAAATAGCTTTGTTTGCCAGAAGGGGGAACTCCTTGGCAGTATCCAACCAAAAACTGTCCAAAGGTAGATCAGCAAATCTTAGCTTGAAACCACGATTTTGTCTCAGTTCAGTTAGTTCCTCCTGCTCCTGTAAAGTCATGTCCTTTCCACCAACAGATGCTGAGCTATAAGGGTCCCTAACCCAGTCAAGGCATTCAGTGGAGACTGAAGAGAAATAAAATGACAACTTCTCCGGTCCTCCTGGTGACTCGAGTCGCGACGTCTTCTTCTCTCCGCTGCTGCGCACACTGTGCTCGGGCGGGAAGGAAGTCGGAAGATGATGTCCTACTGTGATAGGTCCAGGCTGGAGTCTGGACCAATCACAGCCCGGACAACAGAAAAGTGGAGGGTGTCCCCCTGTGGAGCGCCAATCGGCGCCCCTGCTGGCCAAGGGTGGGGTCAAAAACCCCACCCCCCATACCCAGGACACACTCTGGCGCCCGCCTAGTGGGCGAAAATTTGAATTATTATTTTTTAAAAATCTTTCGAATTTTTCAATTTTTCCCACGGCACACCAGGCAACATCTCGCGGCACACTAGTGTGCCGCAGAACAGTGGTTGAAAAACACTGCTCTAGAGGAGCCCCAAGTAAGAACCAGGACAGATCTGTAGCTGCCGTGCCTCTTTCTTTCCAGAAGACAATAATGAGGAGCACTGTGTGAATTTTGGGCACCCTATCTTGAAAATGGGACGCGGGTGGCGCTGTGGGTTAAACCACAGAGCCTAGGACTTGCCGATCAGAAGGTCGGCAGTTCGAATCCCCGCGACGGGGTGAGCTCCTGTTGCTCGGCCCCTGCTCCTGCCAACCTAGCAGTTCGTCAAAGTGCAAGTAGATAAATAGGTACCGCTCTGGCGGGAAGCTAAACGGCGTTTCTGTGCGCTGCTCTGGTTTGCCAGAAGCAGCTTAGTCATGCTGGCCACATGACCCGGAAGCTGTATGCCGGCTCCCTTGGCCAGTAAAGCGAGATGAGCGCCGCAACCCCAAAGTCGGTCACGACTGGACCTAATGGTCAGGGGTCCCTTTATCTTGAAAATTATATTCAATGACTTAAGAGTCTGTGCTGGGAAGGGGGAGGTGCATGAAGGAACCCCTTTTTATTTGGGGCGCCCCCAATTTGCTTCTGAGCTAATTGAGGGGATAACAGACCTGGACAGCTCTGGAACATGTGAAGTGCACTGGGTGTTCACAGAGTGTTTCCCACCATTGCTGAATAATCACTGCTGGCTGTTACATGTTTTGGGATGGATGGGGAAATGGCAGAGATTCCCCGCTCAATTCCAGCCTGCAGTGTCTAGTCCCTGCCTGCAGGAGGAAGCAAAACACCTCCTTTTTGCTTTCACATAAGCTCCAGTCTTCCTGTGTTGTGTCTGCATGTATGGCTCTTCTGCAAAAAATTTTTTTTAAAAAAAATCATTTTCTTCTACATGTTGCTGCTTCAGGCGCTGCACTCATCTGTGCTTAGAGAGCGGCTGTCCGGGTTTACAGTGGGGCATATGGGTACACCTTCACCAGTTGCATAAAAGTTCCTGGAGTTTGCCACCACAACAGCTTCACCTCCGACTGCAGCAGGAGGTGGCCATTCAACATGGAATCATAGAACTGTAGATTTGGAAGTCTATGGTTACCAGATTTTTTTTTCAATGAATCTGGGGACACACTTTGTTTTTTTTTTTGTTTTTGAAGCTGAGTAGGAACAGGGAGTCAGTAGTGGGGATGGTGAGGCAAAAGACCCTGGGCCCAAGCACATATGCATATTGTATAAAGGTGCAAAGCCCTTCTTTCGCACCCTGTGAAACATAAATGCGCAGAGATTTTTAAAAAACTGGGCAACGGCGCACCGCGCACCTGTGACTCCTGAGCCTTCCCCGATCTCCTTCCCCCTTCCCCTTTTGTTTTGACAGATGAGGGGAGGCTTCGGAGTCACTGGCGAGTGGCCGTTGCCCAGGAGGGGCCAGCCGCCTGGTAGCGCAGTTGGCTCTGGCTGGCTTCAGGAGCTGCTCGCTGCTTGCTGCCGTGGCGCAGGAAAAATGGTGGGCGCCACGGCAGAGAGCAGCAAGCAGCTCCTGAAGCCAGCCAGAGCCAACTGCGCTACCAGGCTGGCTCCGGGCTGCTGAGGCTGCCGCTGCCATGTTTCCCGGGAACAGATTTGCAAATCTGGGGACATTCCGGGGAGGGGAATTTGTCCGGGGACAGATTTGCAAACCCGGGGACGTCTGGTAGCCCTAATCTAGTCCAACCCCCTGTGATGCAAGAATCACAATACTATGGAATTATTTGACAGGATTTGTGGAGAGTATAGATAGAGGTGTCTAAATTTTGGGGGCCCAAGAGCCACATTCCCCTTTGGGCTGTTGTCTGGGAGTCTCATTGCAGCAGTAGTTGCAGCAGCCATATTTTGTGTCATTTGCAAACGGTTCAGTCCCCAGCGTCTGCAGGTAAGAGGTTGTGGAAGAATTGTTGAGTTGGAAGGGACCATGAAGGGCCATCTAGTCTAACCCCCTGCAATGCAGGAATCTTTTGCCCAACAGGGGCTCAAACCCATGACCCTGAGATAAAGAGCCTCATGCTCTACCAACTGAGCTACCCCAGCAGTGAGAAGACCCATGGAAACTAATAAACATGACTGACTCAGGCCCATTCATTTCAATGCGTCTACTCTGAGCAACTGCTGGCTACAATCCTCTGTCTTCAAGCAGTTCTCGGACGCTCCATAGTTTGCCATTCCTTCCGTGCACGTGCCCCCCCCCCCCTCCGACAACCAGGTGGGTTCGTCTGAGATCGGGTAACACCTAGGAATTGCTTTCTGCAAATCCTATTACAGAATAAGTGCATGTGGGTGTTTAAAAATCCAAAATGCAAAACGTGAAAGCTTTGGGAAGTGGGTGAGGCATGACTCTTCCTGTGCAGGACCCAACCAAGTACTCAATAAGAATTTACTTTAAAAGAAAAAAGAAAAAGAATTAACTGTACAGCCAACTTGCAGTACAACTAGCATATGTGTCTACTCAGAAGTAAGTCTCTTTGTATTTAATGCATCTAACTTCCAGTAAGTATCATCATCATCATCTTTAATTTGTATACCGCCTTTCTATCTTACAATACTTAAGGCGGTTTACAAGCTGAAGAAACAAAAAATGTACATCTTCTAACAATCTAATGCAATACAAAAATGTGATAATAAAACAATTTTAAAGTAGGCAACCTCCATCAAAAAAGTAACATTCAACAATCATTAGAATAGTATCACAGGTTGGTGAGCACAGGTTGGCAGCCTAGGCTTTGCTTTAAGCAGGATGACTCTGAATACCAGTTGCTGGGAAACGCAAAAGGGGAGAGGGCTCTTGTACCTGGGTGCTGCTTGCTGGCTTCCCACAGGCACCTGGTTGGCCCTGTGAGAATAGGATGCTGGACTAGATAGGCCCGCTGTGGCCTGATCCAGCTACAGGACCCTTGCTGTAAAACCTCCAGGTCCAGAGGCAGTCTATCTAGATTCCTAGGTTCAAAGGGACATTTGGCCACAGTGAGAATACTGGATACTGAACTGGATGCACCCCCCCCCTTTGGCCTGAACCAGCTGACTCTCCTTATATCCATATGTTAGAGTTGTCATTGGAGGGAAATAGGGTTCTTATGCCCTTAACAGCTGTATATTCACAGGACCAACAGAATATGGCTGGCTTCCCTATGGTTAAACCACAGAGCCTAGGACTTGCCAATCAGAAGGTCGGCGGTTCGAATCCCCGTGACGGGGTGAGCTCCCGTTGCTCAGTCCCTGCTCCTGCCAACCTAGCAGTTCGAAAGCACGTCAAAGTGCAAGTAGATAAATAGGTACCGCTCCAGCAGGAAGGTAAATGGCGTTTCCGTGCGCTGCTCTAGTTCGCCAAAAGCGGCTTAGTCATGCTGGCCACATGACCCGGAAGCTGTACGCCGGCTCCCTCGGCCAATAAAGCGAGATGAGCACCGCAACCCCAGAGTCGGTCACGACTGGACCTAATGGTCAGGGGTCCCTTTACCTTTACCTTCCTTCCCTATGGTAAGCATGAATTTGCCCAGAAGTTGGGTGGGGAGCACCATGGCAGCCATTTTGTGACTGGCACACACAGTACTCCTCAAAATTTGAAATGCGCCTCCTGTTCAAAATTTGTCTTAAGCAGAGGGGGAACTGTGTCTTGTTTTGAGAAGTGATGCTGTGGAAAGTTGAAAAGAGATTGAGACAGTAACTATATTCTGTATCAAGGAATCTGACCCCAGAGGGGAATGTAGAGGGGAAAACAAGAGGAATGTGCAAAGAGGCAGCCCTTGAATGAGGCGCATAACTATTATTTTGTTCCAAGGAAAGGGATCTCGTTTCTGATAAAAGCCTATAGCTACAGATAGATTTCAGAGACTTTGCTTCCTTCCATGCTTTGTTTCCCCTCTGCTCCGCTTTCTTCCTCCCCTTTCCCACGAAGAGAGAAACGGACAAATGCCGGCTACTTTAATGTTCATTAAAACAAGATAAATTAGCCATGCATGAATAACAAGGCCAGTTTGTAAGCTCCTGCCTAGCATCGAAGTGAATGATTAAACATTAGAAATAACTTTCTGATGGTAACTCTGGAATGCATGTCCACAGAAGGTGGGTGGACTCTCCTTCGTTGGAGGTTTTTAAAGAGAGGTTGGGTGGCCATCTGCCAGGGGTTCTTGGTTCCTGCATTGTAAGGGGCTGCACAAAATGAACATTGGGGTCCCTTCCAACTCCACAATTCTTTGAAAGTAAGAACTAGGTTTCTAGATCAGATCAAGGTCCATCCAGCCCCCTGTATCCTGTTCCCAACAGCAGAAGCTTTTGGGGGAAGCGCATGTGGAGGGCACAACACTGATCACCGTTCCCCTCGTTTGTGCTAGGCAAATGCTTCTGGGTGGTAGGCTGCCCCTGTACATGGAGGTTCTACCATCTGCCATGATGGTCAACAGGACACCCTCCCCTGGGCGGCCATTCTGGGTGCCCATCCTCCTCAAACAGCCGCCAGTGCTACACTTGGGCTCCGTGCCAACATTCCTCCGCTTGCAGATGGTGGTGCTGAGCCCAACTGGAGCACACAGGTTCTCCTCCTCCTCCTTCTACCCCCCCCCACTGCCGGCTGGGCCGCCTTGGTCTCCATGGCAACCTGCATTCCCTTCTGCGGTGCTTCTTGCCTGTGCTCCCCAGCTCCCCCCATTTGTATTCTGCTCCTTTGTCTCCTATTACAGGTTGGCAAGTTGCCAGGCCAGGCATCCATTTCAAAAGCAGCCTTTGTTTTTATGGGCAAAATGGCTAGTCAGGAGTGGACAGGAGCAGCAGAAAGGAGGAGGCTGGACATTGGCGGGGGGGGGGGGAGAGCAGGAGCACATGCACACACACCTCACCTGCAGCCTGGGAATATCACCTAGACAAGGCAGCCGCCTGGTTAAGGGAAGCCTAGTTGATTAATCCTATGAATTTTAATTGATCAATCCAGCCTTCCCTAAGCTGGTGCCCATTCATGTTTTGGATTGTGAGCCTCATCAAGAGTTACTGTCCAAAGCCCCTGGGGGCACCAGCTTGGGGAAGGCTGAATGAATCCATCCGTTATATCTGGATAAAATCTGTGTTTTTGGAGAAACAGCTCTCGAAAGGTAGTGCATGTCACTAATTTGGAGAAATGTGTTTTTGTGTGTGGCTGTGTCCTCACAAGCACTGCAGGAAATGGGAGGGACTGGGTATGCATGGAGAGAGTATGAAATTGAGAATAGAGCATTGCCTTCATCTCCAGCTTGTAGGCTTCCCACAAGCTTCTGGCCAGCAACTGTGAGAACAGGATGCTGAACTACTTGGGCCATTGGCCTGATCCAGCAGCCTCCTCTTACGTCTTTATGGTGGAAGCAGGGCTACTTAACCCTGTCCCTTTTGCCCACTCAATACTGGCCCTCCCAGCTGCTCCCCCCACCCGACCCTGTGCCTTTTCCCCAATTGGGGAGAAAAGCAATTTTGATTTGACTAACAGTCGATCACCGAGCCTAGGACTTGCCGATCAAAAGGCTGGCGGTTCAAATCCCCGCGACAGGGTGAGCTCCCATTGCTCGGTCCCTGTTCCTGCCAACCTAGCAGTTCGAAAGCACGTCAAAGTGCAAGTAGATAAATAGGTACCACTCCAGCGGGAAGGTAAACGGCGTTTCCATGCGCTGCTCTGGTTCGCCAGAAGCGGCTTAGTCATGCTGGCCACATGACCCAGAAGCTGTATGCCGGCTTCTTCGGCCAATAAAGCGAGATGAGCGCCACAACCCCCGAGTCGGCCACGACTGGACCTAATGGTCAGGGGTCCCTTTACCTTTTTAACAGTAGACAGGGAAAGGGTTAAACAGCAGGGGGGGCCCTCCAGCCCTCTCCTCCTGCTTTCAGCCCCCCACATCACCTGGAGTTTGGCCCATAAAAGGGAAGGCTCCCATTCTCATTTCATCAGCCCTACTTGGGCTCTTCTCCTGTGCAATGGTGGTCAGGCTGGAGATGAACCAGAAACCCACAGGTTCTTCCCAGGCTTGGCTTCATTTTTTTGTTTTGCTTCAGCAGCTGTTTTGACCGCAGCTCAAAAAATAAATAGGTGCACAGCCTGACCCAGACTGACTCAACCAGAAGCATCGCTCAGAAGTAGTGGGATTGACTCCTGAGTTCACAGAACTCAACTAAGATTAGTTTAATCAAAGGACTGGCATGATATTCTGCTTCTTCTCTTTTCTGAGACAGAGACTGACTCCAGGATCGAGGGCCAGGCTTCAATTCATTGCCCGTGCCTTCTTCAGCTTTCTCTTCTTGGCCCCAGCCAAATATGGGCAGGATTTGGTGACGATGAATCACCCGCTGGACTCCAATTTGAACATTCTCTGAATGGATCAGGGGCAACATGAACTTCATGTTAAAATTACGCCCACTGTGTTGTGCATCAAGGACTCGTTGCCATACAACAAATGGTTTTTTCATTCTCCTCTCCTTAAGATGCTAGACAAAGGCCACAGGAAATTCACCCCATTCTCTTGATTTTCCCCTATTGAGGTTTTCTCGAAGCCTTAACTACAAATTGCAGACACAGGAAGATAAAGGAGGGGGGGCAATGCTTTGATTGTTATGCTTCAAGTGTTCTGTGAATCCTGCGAGTCTTTTGTATTTAAATGCTGCTTTTGTGCCTTGACTCAAAATAAATCAAGCTGGTGATGGCAGGAATTATGTGATCTCTCTGACTGTGGAGCATAAGAGCAAAGTTGTAACTGGAGATAGATAGGCTGAGGAATACACATTTGACTGGTGGCCTCATACTGTGGTTATTCCTTATTAGATTCTTTTATCCAGGCTGTTATTGAACTTATGCTTCACTGAAATCAATGAGCAAATATAGTAATGAATTAATTTAAGTCATATTGATTTCAAAGGGATCTAGGGTCAGATCCAGATCATGACCTGTTAACAGCTTGCAAAGGAACTCAAGGACAGCTCAGTTGTTGGGATGCCTCCAGGCTGCCACTAACTTGGAGGAGGGTTCAAAGTGCATACTGGAATTTTAGGTTTGTGCAATTAAAGGAGACTAAAGGGCTCTGTTGCCCTAGCAAAACAAATTTTAAAATGAACTTTTTGCAGTTTGGAAAGTGACAAGAAAAGTGTTGGATGAATTAATGATTAACAGGAAGCAAATCAGGACAAATGCTCCTTGTCATATAAGTGTCCCATAAATGCTCAATAAAGACTGGTCATCATGTAACTTCTGCATAAGCTTTCTATAAGCAAATCAAGATGAAGGCTCAGTAAACAGGAAATCTGGAGGAGCCCTTGGTCTCAGATAAGGGAAACCCACTGCCAGCAGAAATCCCTCCTAGGCTATGAAGCTCACTGACAAACCTTGGGCAAAATAGTTTCTCTATTTCTCTCCCTGTCTCTCATAGCCCAACCTCATAACTTTCACAAGACAGTTGCAGGGCTAAAACACATTCTGAGACTGGCTGGAGCTGATGGGAGTTGTAGTCTAAAACATCTGGAGGACATCAGGATCGTCAAGGCTGATATAAACAACGACAAGGCTAATTACACTGAACGGTTGTAATTGCTCAGATCATAAATTGTATTTCTGAATAGCATGAAAAACATCCACAAAGAAATTTGCTTTCCTAGAACTCCTTAAGTTGTTAGATGCAAAGCATCAGAGTGACATGAGGGAAATGCTGATAAGATGCCATATCTCTGGCAGGCTTAGCAGAGAGTCAACTTAACATCCAGAGGTGCCATTTCCTATTCTCTTGGTGAAGGAGGAGGGAAAAGGGGAGTTGCTACCCTTGACCTAATCTTGACCAACAGGGAAGAACTGCCCAAAGGAGTGGAAGTAGCAGGAACCTCTAGGGAAAGTGACCGTGTCATCTTGGGATTTGTGATAGAAAGACATAGTCATGTGTACACCATGGAAGGCCAAGTTCACACAGCTCAAGCAACAGTTGGGGAGGATGCCATGGGTAGACATTAAAGAGGGAGGGAGGTTATAAAAAGTGAAATACTGAAGCTGCGGAGGGTGGGGTGAGACAGCTAAAAGAGCACAACTGTAGCATTAAAGGGACATGTATGGGAGATGGGAGGAAGGCCACATTACCAGGGAAGGGCCATTGCTCACGGGTAGAGCGCGTGCTTTGCATGCAGAAGGTCTCCGGCATCGCCAGTTGGGAGAGATATTCCTTCCTGAAAACCTGGAGAGCCGCTGCACCCGGTCCGTGTAGGCCAGGGGTGGCCAACTTCCAAGACACTGCGATCTACTCAGAATTAAAAATTGCCAGTGATCTACCCCCTTTTTTCGGGTTTCAGGTCAAGGTTGTTGAGCTTTTTTTAGGAAGGAGGGAAGCCCCGCTTTTTGGAGGTGCAGGACTAAAATGTTAAGCTTTTGTTTAGGGGTGCCAAAGTTGTTGAGTTCTTTTGGGGGAGCCAGTGATCTACCACATACGTCCGGTGATCTACCCGTTGGACGTGCCTGGTGTGGGCAATACTGACCGAGATGGACCCAAGCCTACCTCGCAGGGTCGCTGTGTGGATAAAATGGAGAGCGGGGAGGGGGAGCGTGTGCGCCACCTAGCGCTCCTTAGAGGAAAAGAGGCGGGCTATAATAAATGCAGCAACTGAGCTGATGAATAAGCCGCTTCCCTACATCCACGGAGGGGACTCTTTTGCCCCTTCTTCCACCACCTTTTTTTCTAACGCTTCGTTCCACGGCGGATCCGCCGCGCCAATTCCACCTCCCTCCCTCCCTCTCCCGCCCGCTGCTAGGGCGCCATGTTGGCGGCGACGGGAGCCCCCCGGAAGTGCTTCCCGCCGGCGGGGGGAGGCGGGGCGTCCGCTTCCGGGGCGTGGCGGCAACGGGGCTGCTGGGGAGTCTCCTCCGTGAGGGAGGCTGGAAATGGCGGCGGCTGGGAGGGGGGAGAAGAAGAAGAGGCGGAGGCGGAGGCGGCCGACCCGGGTGGAGAAGCAGCAGCAGCAGCAGCAGGAGGCAGCCGAGGCCACCCTGCCGGGGACCCCCAGGCCGGGGCGCCGGGAATAAGAGGCGGAGCAGGCGACACCCCCGCCGCCCCCCCAAAGCACATGCGGTGAGGAGGGGGCGCCGTGGTTTGGGTTGGGGGGGTGTCGTTTGCAGGACAAGGTGGAGCCGGGACAAAATTTTCCTCTCAGATGTATCTCCCCAGCACCTTAAAAAAAAAAGCCCCTCACTAAACATGGCGCGCGAGGGCCGGGCCGGGCCGCTCCCCCCCCCCCAATTTTGCTGCTGCGCCAGCGCTCCGCCTTGCATGGAGCTGCCCGAGAGAGAGAGAAACGCGCGCGCCGCCGCCCCGTGCCCGCGCTTCGCGTGCGCCTTCGCCCCGGGGAGGCTGCAAATCGGTGCATGGCGCCGGAGGGGAGGAGAGGGGAGAGAGAGTGGGGAAAAGAGAAAGAGAGAGTCTCCTCCTCTTCTGTTTACTTCAGCTGCAAATGCAAGAAAGCGTGAAAGGGGGCCCCTGCGAGGAAGCGGAAATTTCGGCCGCCCTCCCCTCCCCAGCCCGCAGCAGAGGATAGCGCGAGAGGAGGAGTGCAGCGCAGGCAGCCGTCCACCCATCCTGCGCTCATTGCAGACAAGAGGCGGTGGGGGCCCTTATGCCAAATGAGAAATACTTGTAATGATGCTGGCATGCAGCCTGCTCGCCCCAGATTTGCCCAGATGGAAGGAAAGGATACCTTCCCCACCCAAAAAAATAGCATCTAAGTAGAACTAAAGGGGTGCTTGGGCAGAGGAGGTGCTTTCGGTCAAGCTCCCTAGGGTGCATTCTTAGAGGAAGAGAAGGGGTGCCCCTGTTGTAATAAATAGCATAAAAGTCTGTGCCACCCTGTTGGACTGACAGTGGCTGTACCCTTAGGATGCCCTCTGTAGATCCCTGCAGGGTGAGCAGCGTTGAAGGGCCTCCATAGAGTAGAAGTTGCTGAGCTTTTACCTCTTTAGCTGCCAGCACCATTCACTTATGTTCTGAAACACCCCCCCCCCCCTTATTTTAATTGAATGAACACTGGTGAGGTATGAAAATGCCACCCCATCCATTTGTTGGGCACACATTTGTATACAGTAGCAGCTGCGTCTTTAGCAAAACAGCTGATACAAGTAAGTACGTCACCATGTTCTGTTGCAGGTAGAATCTAGCCGAACCGTTAATCCACCTCCTATAATTCCTTTGCTCTGAGCCCAGAGGGTGGGAAGTTACAGCATGTTTCCAACTCAGCCATAGATTCGAATCCCTTTTGGACATATTGAGAGCACTTAATGTTGTGGTTCCATGTTTGGTGCCTAGGCCTCAGTCCCACCTAGGGCAGAGTGTTGCAAGTATAGTATACCCTACATGCAGTGAATGTTCTTGTGGAGCACATCAAGCAATAGCAATTTCTGTTCTGAAGCTATATTATTAATAGAATTTCTGTTTGCTAATCTTACAAGCTGGTGCTGAGCTGTATAGTTCTAGCTTTTTTGGGACAGGGCTTTTCAATGCATTCCAGCTTTGTCTCTGGTGCTATCTGAGTCTATCCTGTTAGCTGCTTTTGCGGGCCTCACTTATCTTTCACCTGCACCTTCACATTAGTGCATCTGATTAAATGGGTCGTTGCCTACAACAGCAGTTTTAAATGTGTTGGTTTTGAAGGTGCCACAAAGCTCTTTCCTTGGGTTTTCTTGCAAGCTGTTGACATGGCTGTCTTCCTGTTGGTGCCAGAAATACATGTTGTGCTCAGAACGGGACTGATGAGGGTTTTCAGCTGCTGAACTCTTGCTTCTCCTGCACCAACGTGTGTGTTCGTGTTCACTGCTTTTCTCAACCAGCTAGTGCATATGTGTATTTTTATTCATTGCATATTCATTTCTCATTTAACTGTGCACAATAAAACAATCCTTTAAATCATTGGACAGACAAGTATGCCTGTATTTGTACCTCTGATTTGTTACTGCCTAGGCTTGTTTTCTTGATGGGGATATGTGTGTTCTTTTTCAGAGTGTTGGAAGCTAAAGCTACCAAAGAAGTCGAAAGAAAACTAAGCAGGTAAGTCAGAAAGAAAAGAGAGAATGAACTGAAGGGTATGTAGGAATTGGGAGCTTAGACAATTGGCAGTTTGCATGATTTGTTTTAAAGAAATGTTGTGAAGCTTCCTTATAAAAAGTAATTGAGCAGGGGGTCCTTTGTGAAGCGGCGTCCTCCACTCCTTTAAATATCTTGCCGAACGTATTTTCTTTTGCTACATTTAAACTGTTGCCAGAAGCAAGCAAGAGCAAAAAATGAATGCAGGGTTTGTTTGCTGTGTGTGTTTTTCATCCTTGCGTAGCCAAATGGATTTTTATTGGCTGGAAATCATCGCTGGCCTTGAACTCAACACAAGCCGCATCTTGTGAAATAAACATTTGTTCCTTTCTATGTGCTGTATTAAGGAGTGTGAGAAGTAGCTGCTTGCTAATAGCCAGGGAAATTTGAAACTTCCCATTACTACAGTAGTAATAGAAACTTTGGAATTAGCTTAAGAGTTTGGAGTGGGAATGGGGGGGTAAATACCTGACCAAATTATTTTTCAGTACTTTTGTGCTCCTCCTTTATCTTTGCAAAGAGGTAGACCACTATTCCCATAGTGCAGCTAGGCAATTGAGAATAAGCAGTGCTCTGCAAACCCAGGTCACTCAGATAGAAACTCTGCAAAGTACCTGCTCAATAGCTTTCTGTTTTCTTGCATTACGCATATATGTCAGATAGTATTCTTTTTGCACTTGTAAGGAACTGATCTTTTAGTGTGGCAGCACCTACACTTTGGAACTCCCTGCCTATTGATATCAAGCAGGTGCCTTCACTGTACCCGTTTGGGCACCTGCTTAAAGCATTTCTGCATATGTAAGCCTATCCAGTTATGTAGATCTTGATGTATTTTAGTGTTTTTTTTTGCTTTTAATTATTTTGATATGTCTTTAATTGTTTTTACCTTTTTATTTAGGATTTAAATATTTATTGTATACTGCTTAGTAATTTTGTAAACTGCTTAAGTGGTATATACATTTTGTTAAATAGAAACTAAAAGCACTTTTGATTAGGGATGCCTACCCAAATATGTTAAAAGTTGACCTGTGTTTTATTTAGTAATTTTAGCTTAACTACTGATTTTAATTACATTCTGAACTTTTTTGAAAACAAATGCACCTATTAACTTTTTTTTAAAAAATGTATTGCATATTTCTCTTTTTTATACACTATTTACAGTTAAGCCATCTACAGATGGTTAAATAATGATGTCTAGCCCCACCCAGACCCCCCTCCCCTTGCTGCACTGTGTTTGATAACTGCCCTCCCCCTTAACTGGCCACAATGTGGTCTTAGCCAATAGACAGGAAGTTAATTATTTTAAATGTCTGTATACCTCATTTCAGCTCTAACAGCCTCCCGAGCATACACCCAAATGTTGAAAAATGAAAACTGTATCTTGTCAAGTTTTATACAGTTAAAAACAAGACATCCTGAAAAACCCTGACTGAGTTTGCAGAGCAGAAATCAAGGCTACTACATCTTGCCTTGGTTTTGGTTTTTTAATGTATAGTAATTGTGATAGTTCTGCACATCAGTAGAGGGTCAAGAAGAGTAGTTTATTGTTAATCTACTGAACATTGCCATTTAATTCTTAGAAACATAGGAAGCAGTCTTAGACCAAGTCAGGCCACTGGGCCCATCTAGTCTGGTATGGCTTACACCAGGCCAGCCCAACTTTTCATACCAAGTGGGCCACAAATGTACTTCAACATGGAACCCGTGGACCGCACACCGCCTTGTTGTGGGGCAGGGGTTGGTGAGGTCAAAAGTTGACCCCAGCTCTTGGTGCTGCCTTCCCAAAACCAGCTAAGTGAGACACCAGGTTTCCCAAGTTCACGAAAATAAAATACATACTTCAACAATAAAGCCCATATACAATAACAGCATTAAAATGAACAAGAGCTATAATGAAAGCATTCAACCTTGCGTTGTCACAAGTGAGGAGTAAATAAGAAGAAATATATGTACTCCCTTTCAAGGGAGGTGTTTGTACTTCTGCTTTTGAAGAAAACCATGCTCCCAGTTGAAGCACTCATCTGCAAATGCTACCAAAAAGGGCCCTGTCTTCCCCACTCCCCAATTCCTTCTCGTCTCTATTCGCCTTGGAAGGAAGGGCCCCCTTTTCTGTCCTAGAAAAGAAAACAGTTGAGAACTCTCATTTATGCAAAGGACTTTGCTCACCCAATTCTTTTCTTTTTAAAAAATAATTTTTATTGAATGATTTTGCTCACACAATTCTTGGCGTGAAGCAGGTAGAGAAGCAAGTGTAAAAACCCTGAACTCTCCAAGGATGCCTTTGTCATTGGGAACACAGCTGTAGTTTTCTTGGTCAAATCTGTTGCTGCAGGCGTGTTTAAAATGAAACTGGCAGTGGAAGGATAGTGTGTTTCATTACAGGAGGATTTTTATAGGGTGGCATGGGACTCCTATCAAGCAAATGAATGGTCAGGGGCCTTACACCTCACTGGCAGAGGGTGGCTTAATTGCAGTATCATTTTTACCCCTCTAATCTGTGCGCGTGTGCAGCTAGGGTAAATTTGAAATAATGGTACTGCTTATACTGAAATCACCCAACCTGGCATCTCTGGTGCTAAATAAATAATTGCAACAGAGGAAATGCTGACTAGCATTAGAACTTAATGCCATCAAAGCATAACCTGCTGCTGCTACACCCCTGTTGGGGTTTAGAAGTGAAACTCAATAAAGGACATGAACTTTCTTTAAAGCAATCAGCACCTTGCTGCATAAAAACAATATAATGTTGCATTTGTGGTGAGGATGTTTAGAGTGCGTGACATAAGCTATCTGGCCAGAGCTTAGGAGCTCATGCAAGGCGGCTCTGTAACAAATTTTCAGAGTGTTCAGTAATGGTCTGAGTCTCCTTCCTGAGCCAATTGCTGCTGCCTACAGCACTGCTCATGCTGTGGAGTGATTCATCATAGACAGGCAGGAATCTTAATGAAACTCTGAGCAGAGTTTCTAAGCATGTGGTCAGATCTAGGGCTGGGCGATAGCTTGTTTTCAATATTGCAGTATATCAGTTAAACATCTCGATATATCACAATATCTGAAATAAGGAAGGAACTGTGCAGAGGCGAACAGGACAATGACCTGGCAGCTGCTACTACTTAGGGGTCTAAAACGGATAAATGACAATATTATCAATCATCTCACACTCAGTTTCATCAGCAGGCAAGCCAAAATGCATCCCAACAGGACTTTTGGGTTTGGCTACCAAATGGTCCTGTTCAGACAATCCAAAGTACTGCGATGAGTCATAGTGAATAGAAATAATCTGGGACTGCCACACTGCCAGCAGGCCTGCTAGGAGGCAGCAGCAGCAGTGGCATAAACAGCTTGCCATGATTGCGGTATGTGTCAGCAGTAGCAGTGACAACCTGCAAGGCCTGGTGGTGGCGGCAAAATCAGTGGTGGCCTGCAAGCCCTCTTGGCAGTGCCAGGAGCTGGCGGCAGTAGCAGCCTGCGAGGCCTTGCAACAGCAGCACAAACAGTGGCACAGTGTTTTGCTGGTGAGTTATCACAATGTTGAAAACCAGATATCGCCTAGCCCTTACACACATTGTGATTTGCAATATATTTCCAGCTCAAATATTATGAAACAATTAATAGGATGTGAATTTCAAAGCGGTTTGGATGATATATCGCCCAGCTCTAGTCAGATCTTGCCATTTGTTATGCCCTCTGAAGGCACACTAGCTTCAGAGAAAACTAATGATTTTCCTTCTTTAAGGATCTGAATGAACTCCCTTGGCAAAAGATGCTGTTAAGGTGCTGGCTCAACAATTGTGCTTGTGTACTCTGTTTGGGGCAAAAATACTGACTTGTTTGTTGAACCTTCAGGAAATTGTCCCCCCTCCCTTTAATTTAATAAATGTTTCTGCACCATTTAACTTGACATGGAAACCCCATTGGATATGCTTGTCTGACATAAACCCTCCACACTGTTTTCTTTCTTAAGATCATTTATACCCTACTTTTGACCCTTTTGAAATTGTAAATCACAGCAGGGATGTGGGCACACACAAATCCCAAACAGCTGTGAAACATAAAAAAAGAAGAAGAGCTGTTTTGACCTTGACTTGAGCGTGCAAAATGAAACAGACTTGTGGAACTTACTGCCCTGTGTGATCTGATGGTTTAGGAGCTGCTACTGAGAAGGCCTGATTTTACGGCTCAATCTTCCTCACTGTACAAGATGGCAGTACATATAATAGAATCTCTTCTAATGTCTGAAATGCCTGGGGTAGGTTTACAGGACAGTGGAAACTTGGCCTGCAGCAGTTAGTGCAGAGATCTGTTGGGATTGCAACCCACAGCTGATTTATTTTGGGTTGCATCCAAAGTAGCTCTGAGTAACACATTCCGTCAGTGCAAGAGTTTCAGTTTGTGCATTGGGATGTCACTCGCCCCTGCAGAATCTTTCCTGGGGTTCCCCAAGACTCTTTAGTAGATTTGGAGAGGGTGCATGTGGGGAGAGAAGGAAAGTCCGTCTGGGCAAGTGTACACCCTTGCACTGACTGGACTGTTAGTTGTATACTGCCCCTTATTATTACATTTAGGTTCCAGCTCTCTTCCAGGGATCTCAGAGTGAAGCACATCATTCTCCCCCTCCCCACAACATCCCTGTGATGTAGATTACGCTGAGCAATTGTGACTGACCCAAGGCCTCCCAGTGGCCTTCATGGCTGGGTGGGGATTTGTGCCTTTCTCTTCCAGGTCTTAGTCTGCTTATAGGACTGCTGCTCAAACAGTTTGTGTGCCATCCTTCTCATGAAATAATTTAAAATATTTATTGTTTATTTACAGTATTTATAGCCCCACTCTTCGTAATAAAAACAGAGAAAAACAACGTGCAGTAATTTAAAAATCATATAAACAGGACCAGTAAACAACCAGACAATTCTGTTATAAGGTCAACAAGCAAAATTGCAACAACATAAATTAATATTTCCAATTTATTGAAGTACAGGCCTCAAGGTCAGCCTGGCTGCCAGGTGGTGATGTGTAGGTGGATTTGGTGGCCTTCTTATCTCCCTAGCAGCCAGCACAGGCAGTGTTCCGGAACCTTCAAGGTCTTGGCCTAAGTGGATGCTATAAATGACTTCCAAGTATTTGGCGGTTCACCATTGGAAGTTGTGATGAGTCAGAAGGGGCTGTGCAAGCACTCCATTTAACCCCTTCCAGTGCTTGCATGCTGCTTGAGTCAAGAGCAACACTGCCAACCTCCTCCTGCCATTATTATTATTATTATTATTATTATTATTATTATTCAGATGATGGCTTACCCCACCTTCCAACTGCTTGACCATAACTTTTGCAGAGTTTCTAGCTTCCCTTCTTCTGGGTACCTTGACTTCCAGTGCAAGTCATATAGACCATAAGTCTCATATTCCGCTTCGCTTGCCCCCAAAGTAAGAGTACTGTGATTGAGTTGACTGTGTATGGATAGTTTGCTCAGCTCCATTGCTGATTTGCGGGAGTCCTTGAGCCAGAGGTGATTAATGTTTGCTTAAAGGTTTTGTCGTCTTGACCTCAAAGCTTTGAACTAATCATTAGCTGCATTTCTAAGATGGGTATTCCATAAATGCACCAAGCAAAAGGCACATAATTTGGGTGAGGCCAGCTGTCTTAAGGCCTGGAATCTAGCACAGGCGGATGTCTGTTTCAGCTCTTTGATTTGCCCTTTTGTTCTTAAACCAAATGTAAATGATTCTTGGGAAGGTTGGCTTCTGTTTTTTTTTTATTTATTTTTTTTTAAATGATATTTATTAAAGTTTCACAAAAATACAGAAAACAAAGAAAAAAGTATAAATTACAGCAAAAAAGTAAAAAGTAAGAAAAAACATACAAAATAAAACACAATTAAAAACACAATGATGTTCCATAACCTATCTTCCTTACTCTTATTTCCCCAGACCTCCTCATACCTCCCTTCTTTGTATTCCAATTCAGTTTGTTGGTTCAGCAAATCCTTACCATTAATCTTTTACCCAATTGTTAACCTTTTTTTTTCATGTCTCTTAAAGCATTACAGCTAAAAACCTCTTAATTTCTATCCAACATCCTTCTAAAGTTCCTTAATTTTACAATATTTCTGTAAATAGTCCTTAAATTTTTTCCAATCTTCTTTCACCGACTCTTCTCCCTGGTCTCGGATTCTGCCAGTCATTTCCGCCAATTCCATGGGAAGGTTGGCTTCTGCTTGACACTTTGATGTTTGTGAATGAAATTGCCTGTTGAGCCTTTGTAAACAGACTGCCTGGGTGCTTAAACATACAAAGGGTATTCGAAGGTAAAGTGCGAGCTCAGAGGTGTCCAGGGGGAAAGTTTGTACAACATTTTTGCATCTTATGTGTAATAAACTTGTGAGATTTTGACCATATGCAGTCAAAGGCAAACTGATTGAAATTGTGCAAGTTAAAATCCGGGCAAGGCAGAGAGATGGAGATATGCCTGTAGTATATCTCACTTTCAGCAAAGCATTTGACAGACACTTTGTGATAGGCTTCTTGATAAGACAGTAAAATCACAGGCTGGGCTTTTGTTCCCTACCAAAAGCTACCCTCCCATCTTTGATTTTCTTCTGTGATTCATTCTCTAGAGGTGCAAAAGACATGCTATTTTAAATATTTAACAAAAGTTAAATACGGCTTGATTGTAAATAGAACCTCCAAGACAGGCATGTGCTTGTCCATCTCCATCCGTTTTTCAGGCAAGATCCCTAAGGGGAGAAGGGAAAGCATCCTCACACAGCTGCTCTGAACAGTGGATCTCGACAGAAAAGACTAACATTGCCTCTTGCTTAAACTCCATGGGCACAAAAGGTTCTCCTAAAGTAGGCATGTGCAAAGTCCATTTTGGGGGCCTAATTTGGCAGTATATGTCCTGGGGTAAAACCCTTAAAAAAGCTCAACAACTTTGGTTGGCCCTCACACATGTTCACTTCATCAAATCTGGTGCTCTCTGAAAAAAGATTGGGCACCCCTGCTCTAAGAGGTGTATGACCAATATTTAAATGATCAATACAAGACAGTTAAAGACAGGTATATTAAATATAAATAAAATATAATTAAAATCAACTGTTCAGCTAAAAACATTTAAACACATGTCTGGATACATGCCTGAACAAAAATATTTTTAGCAGTGTGGAAAAGAGTACACCAAAGGCACTTTTTCTGATGTCACAGTGTTTCCTGAGTATTGATACTGCCTAAGTATCAAGTGAGAGGCAGTGTGGTGTAGTTTGAATGCACGTCAAAGTAGATAAATAGGTACTGCTCTGGCGGGAAGGTAAATGGCATTTCTGTGAGCTGCTCTGGTTTGCCAGAAGCGGCTTAGTCATGCTGGCCACATGACCTGGAAACTGTACACCGGCTCCCTCGGCCAATAAAGCGAGTTGAGTGCCGCAACTCCAGAGTAGTCCGCGACTGGACCTAACAGTCAGGGGTCCCTTTACCTTTAGTATCAGGTGAGAGGTAGCGTGGTGTAGTGGTTAGAGTGCCGAACCAGGACCTAGGAGGCCAGGGTTCCAGTCCCCATTCAGCTATGACACTCAGGAATTAAAGTTTTATGATCGCTGTTCTGTTTTTGATCTTCTGCTCAGCGGACTGTGTGGTATAAAACCTAGAAAGTATTGAACCTTTTGTGGCAGTTACAGTTGGTAGCATATTGTGCAGTTTTCAAAATCCCCAGATCTCTTTCAGGTCTATCCTGAGTGTATGCATGCTTCTAGTTTATCTGAAGTTGGTAGAAGAAAAGATTGCTTTCTTAGTTTGTCTTGCATGGTACTGTGATAGACAGCACCTAATTACTTCCATATGAAGATTTATCAGCTGCAGCGCAAAAGGTGTGAATAGTGTGTGTGCATTCTGTTGTCTGGGCTTCTTTGAACTCTGGGTGTGAGCTGATCTCTGGGTGTGGTCTTGTGCAGGCAAACCTCATTATCTGTGGATTAAATCGCCTCCCTATCTGCTTATGCATGCTGCTTTATAACACCAATAGCCCCCTGGGTCCCCACAATTTGGAGTGTCAAGTCTCAAGAGGACTTGAATTGTAATGCAAGCATGATTTGCATACACACACACACACACACACACATATATATATATATATATCACATTGTGATTGCTTGGATCTATTGACTACTTGGGTAAATGCTACACATCTGTAAAAGGTTTTCAGTGGAGCATATTATGAGGGGGACAAACATGCTTGCTTTTGGTCTAATTTACTGTCCCTGTAATTGCCTTAAATTGAGACTTTGGGGTTGGTTGGTTGCAACAAGATGCGATAATTGAGGACATGTGGCACTTAAGTGGGTCAAAACGAGGCCAATAAAACTAGGAGTAGAATTCCATTACAGCTGGAAGGGCTTCATAAAGCAACAATTGTCAAGCTGTTTGCTTAGACCCGTTGAGTCAGGCTAGCGCCATCTTGCGGAGTCTGCTGTGCCTTTTTGTTGATGCAGGGAGCAGACTGACTTGGCAGCAACTTGAATCCCCTCACAGTCCCCACCTTGCCCTACCGGGACCAAGCTATACCTAGCATGCAATCATGTGACACCTTGCCCAATTCTAGCTAATTAGTGAAAAGCAGCCTCTGGAGGCTTGCAGTCTTCTGTGGAGCACAGAGTGGGTGAAAAGGCTGCTTAACCCGTCTGGCTGCTCTCTACTTTAAATAACTCCTTCCCCAGCTATGTTCATGGAAGTAAGGGACTTAGCTCACTTAAGGGGAGAAAAGCAGTTGAAAGGATTAAGCAGCCAGCCCCCCCCCCCCCCGCCAATGCCCTGTGATTGCAGCTGCCTTTTGTCAATTAATGCAGGTGGAGTGTCCTGAGGGTGGGTCTGTTTCCTACTCAGTGATTCACCTTTGTCTTCTTCAGCACAGTCCCATGTGGAAGGAATTGGTTTGGAAGAGAGCCTCCCATGGCAATTCAGAAAGTGATTTCCTGGCCTTGCCTGTTGTTGTTTGGCTTAATGACCCTCTCTGCTTCAACACAATTTTCATATTTCCCCCTTACTTTTAAGGCAGTTATTGTTACAGCGTCATCTACTTATCTTACTGTTTTAAAATCTGTCCCATTCCTTTTTCTTGATGTGTTATGGCTTTTTCAGTTGCGAGCCTCTCTGAGTGGTACAAAATTTGGTACTGATTTAGTTATTTAATTAATTTGAACAGCAGGAGCTGTAAATACATAGACAAAGTTGTTTTGTGGTTTTGGCAATGTGATGCCTTTAGCTGGGCGAGCTGGTGTCTGCCTTCTCTTCCACACCCAACCGTGTATGCTTCTTGTGAGGGCAGAACTCAAAATATTTCACCATCCTGCAGGCCTCTCTTACCTTCGCTACCTTTTCCCCAAACCCCACGGCCTCTTTTTTGTTGTTGCTAGGTTTGGGAGAAGTGGAGGGTTTGCTGTTTGTGCAGCTTAGTTGCCAGCACTTCCTTGGGCTACCCTTCCTTGGTTTGGGAGCCTGTGAGGCACTCCAGACCTTCCTTGCCTCTGAAAACAGCAGTTCCTCCTTTCCCTTGTTTCTAGTTTTGCCTTGGAGTAAGTGTAACAAATCAAATATTGGAGCATAGCACTTACCAGATAAAAAAAATATATTGCGTGACTTGCACCTTGTTAAAAGCATTTCTAGTCCAAATTCAAACTGAATTAAAAAGTGCACACCATAATTCTTTGTATGCTCGCAGAATTAAAAGGTATATCTAGGAAGATACTGCTAGGATTATTAAAGTTGGAGTGACAGACATCTTAATGCTTTTCAGTATAGTAGGCAGAACTGGACTTCTAATTCCTAGCAAATTAGTGTGGGTTTTATCCAAGTAAGTTTGACCCAGAGTAGAATGAATTGGGGTCTGTGCCCCGCAGGGAAGACATTGGTTTTGTGTCTTTGGAGGTCTAATTGTAGCCCTGTCCTTCTCAGGGAATTGGTGCAAGAGGAGGAAGAACAGTTGATGGAAGAAAGGAAAAAGAGGAAAGACGACAAGAAGAAGAAAGAAGCTGCTCAGAAAAAGGTGAGTCAGAGACTAAGGTACTTAGTGGGTAGTGATGGCTTTGAAATGGGCTTAGACAAATGCATGGAGGAGGAGGAGACTCTTGATGGGTACTAGTCATGATGGAACAGCAGGAGCATCTTATTGGCCACTTTGAGAAACAGGGTGCTTGACTGGACAGGAGCCCTTTGATCTGATCCAGCTTCAGGGCTCTTTTATTGGCCTAAAATGTATGTGTTTGTGAACCTCGCATTGCATGATTATCAGATGTTTTAGCCTTTAATGCTGGGAGTTCTTTGCACATAGGGGGAGAATCCTTCAACTTTAAAGGGATCTGACTACAGTTTTATAGGGAGGAGTGGAGACAACCTTGCTTCATATTTATGTTGAGAAAGGGTGCGTATGCTGATAATGCCCTATAAGCTGCCAGTTTGTGCCCAGAGTTGGGAAAGCAAGTCTCTGATAATCATTAATTGGGTTGTTGTTGTTGTTTTTCAGGCCGCTGAACAAAAAAACAAAGGTGAGTTATTTTATGGTTATTGGCTTGGCGTAACTTTGATACGACTCTTTGTCTGGTGAAGAGCTTTGAGTGCGCCTTTGGTGGGCTGGAGATTCTTCCATGAGAAAGCCTACAACCTGGCTTTTTAGTGATGAAGCCTTTTCTATTTGAGATACCACCTTTTTTCTTTCCAGAGGGGTGCATAAAAGAATCCTCACACCTTTGAGCTTCCCCCAGCCCATGTCATGTTGAACACTGAACCCCTATTCTAAAGTACAGGCTGGAAGAGATGAGCAAAGAGCTTTGAAATAGGAGAGGAGGAAAGTGCATGGGAGAGAAATTCCTGCCCCATGCCTTAATTCAGGCATCCCCAAACTCGGCTCTCCGGCTGTTTTGGGTCTACAATTCCCATCATCCCTGACCACTGGTCCTGTTAGCTAGGGATGATGGGAGTTGTAGTCCCAAAACATATGGAGGGCCCAGTTTGGGGATGCCTGCATTAACTCTTGTAATTCAAAGCTCTTTCCTAGTTGTTCGAGGCTGGAGAGCAAAGTCCCCCTCCCCAGACCCAGTGGTCTTCCTTAGATACCAGATATTGCTGCACATTTTAAATGCCTGCATTCTGTCTAAAAGCAGGAAATTTGGAACAACATCCAAGGATTGCACAACGGAAATCTGCTTGTGCAATGTCGCTTCTGGTTTCTTTGATTTTCCCCTCCTGCACCCCTCCATGCACTCACAAACTTGCTCTGGAGGGTCACCAAAACTCCGGAGCAGATTTTTTGGGTGTAGGTGAAGCTTCAGGGGAGGAATGGAAGGAGAAGCCCCATTGCAAAGGCAGACACCCTCTCATGCTATGTTGGCTCCCACCTTTGGGTTTTGGGGGGGGGGGTTTAAAAAACTATCCTGTACAGTGGTACCTCGCAAGACGAATGCCTCTCAAGACGAAAAACTCGCAAGACGAAAGAGTTTTTCGTTTTTTGAGTTGCTTCGCGAGACGAATTTCCCTATGGGCTTGCTTAGCAAGACAGAAACGTCTTGCAAGTTTGTTTCCTTTTTCTTAAAACCGTTACAGTAATACAGGGTGCATTGCTTGAAGAGGTGCAGTTGCGACTTGACTTCGGGGAGCAACTCATAGCACACGGTGTGGTAGCCTTTTTTGAGGTTTTTGAAGATTTTTTTGAAAAAATTGAAACCGTGCTTCGCAAAACGAAAAAACTCGCAAGACGAAAAAGCTCGCGGAACGAATTAATTTTGTCTTGCGAGGCACCACTGTACTTAAATTTCTCTCGTTAGGAGATATTTCCAAGATAGTACTGCAGATTGCACAAATACATTTGCTCTGCAAATCTTTTGTTGAGCAGATTGATTTTTTGGTGTCCCTTGATGTCTGGAGTCATCTAATGTTTTGTTTCAGATTGCGTTAAGTGCAAAGCAGAGGAAAAGAGGGATTTGGGGGCAGTTATAAGACTTTTAAAAGGCTTCCTTTATTTTGATTGAATTTTACTTTTCTCATGAATGAAACTGGCTAAGAGTCCTTTTGGCATTATAAGGGTGCTCGGAGTAGTATCTTCCAAAATACTAGGCATCTTAGATCAATTAGGAAACAAAAGCTTCAGTGCACTCTAAACTTAGTATACTTAAGAATGGTGCATTTTTAATTTTTTTTTTAAATGATATTTATTGAAATAATTTTTTTTTTTAAGTTACAAAAGAAAACAAAGTAGAAAAAGAGAAAAACAAGCCACTTCCAACCATACAAATACACAAAATAAGAGAGAGAGAAAACAAAAATTCACCACAAAAATTTAAAAACAATTAAAAACAAATCCATTATTTTCAACTCCTCAACTGTCATTACCCTCTTTCCTTGACCTCCTCCTCCTCCCCTTCCTTGTGTCTTAGTTGTTAATTGTCACAGCAAATCCTTTCCATATTTCATAATATTCTGTCATTACATTACCTTAAACTATTTTAATCTTATCTTACTATAAAAAACCTTGGAACTTAAAACTTAAATCTTATTTTTACCAATTTCTCATAACCATAATATTCTTACATAATTCTTTAAACATTTTTACTAAAGCCAAATAATTTCATTCCAACATTTTTCTAACATTCATCAATTTTATAAAACAATCCTAGTGATGAAAAAAAGAAATAAAAACAAATCCAATCTTCATCCAGCGTCCCTTCCTCCTGGTCCCGGGTTTGTCAGTCCTTATTATCCCATCAATCTGGCGCATTAACCTGGTGACCTTATATCCGAGGCCCTTAAGTCTCTTCCATGTCCCTTCCGCAGCTCTTCTTCATATTTGTAACTGTATTTTCCCTTGTCTCCTGCTCGTTTCACTCGTGGGAACTCCAGCTTAGCAATATTTTTGACCCTTCTCGACAGATCAGCCCCTTTTCCATAATCAACACTAAATTCCATGTGGTATTTAAAAACATGTTTCAAAAACCCTCCAAAATTGAGAGCCCCCACAATCCCAAACATCTCACGGCCCATTGTCAGACTTGAAAAGTCCAAAAATCCCTGCATAGGAGGGTCTATCCAACCCCCCATTTCCAAACCAAACCAAACTTTTTCTTTCCAAATCTGGCTTTTTCAAGTTCATTTGTCAAATCCAAAAGCTCATATTCCTGTTGGGCCTGTTCTGTCAGGGCACACTCCTGATTTAATTCCTGGGTGGGCTCCACATATTTTCCCACTGCCTGTTCAAAATTTCCCACTGCCTGTTCAAAATTTCTAATCGAATCAGCCATCAAATTCGTCTTCTCATGTAGCTGTTCCAGTAGGGCATTTGTTTTATAGAAAGCACACAACAGAGCTTCTGAATACATTGTCCTGCAAGGTCAGATGTCTATTCCCACGATTGTAATCTGTAACAGCTGCCAGCTCCCAGGAGTTGGTTACAGTTTCACAGTCTCCCTCTAGGGGGAAAACTTCTATTTGATCTTTCTTTTAAAGGCAAGTCTAGCAACAGAGTTTCCTTTTTTCAGATATTTTGTCAATATTTGTTCCTTTAAGGTGCGAAAGGAAACAATGGAATCACTATGTTCCTCTTCTTTTAGCTATCTGTCAAAAGCGTTTATCTCTGGTCAATGAGCTTCATACGTCAGTCCTGACACCCCGCTCCAGGATCAGGACGGTGGAAAGTTACTTTACTTTAAACTCACTTCTGCAGGTTTAAACAGTCCAAAAAAGATCCCCCTCTTCTCCTGCTGCCGAAGGGGGGTTCAACAATTTTAAATGATGAAAGCCAATCCTTTAGAGGCGATTTTCTGAGCTCTAGTTTACGTTGTCTTTGCTTTATTCTGTCTACAAAGAAACGGAAGGCTGACTTCCTGTTTAGACCTTTCCGTTTCAGTACCAAATTGAAGTAAAATTTTTAAGTCCAATTCCTTTCTGCTCGCAAGTCCTTATTTAAAGTCCAATTGTTCAAAGTTTAAGTACTCACGGGTGCTTATTTTAGAAGCCAAATTGTCCCAGGAAAAAGGCAGCGCTCTCCGGCAACGGCTGTGCGGCTTCGCTCCATGGAAAAAGCAGTTGACTCACAGCACCGCGCCACTTCCCCCTCTTCGCTTCAGAGCCCGTTAGTGGGTTCCTTTGCGGGTTGGGGGGGCGCTAAGGGTGCCTGCCGAGTCCCATGGTCACAGGCTTCATCCGCCTGTGATTTTTAAAAGGGTCCCCGCTTCGCCGTAGCGGAAAAGACCCGAATAATAGGCTAATTTGCTTCACTTAAGGGTGTCAGACCAGCGTGTAGTACACACGTGCCCAGGGTAGATAAAAATTAATTAACTTTTTAAGAATTAAAGGTGCCTCTTTAATTTAGAAAAGCAATAATAGCCAGGTTTAAAAGAAAAATCTGATCCCATATAAGTCACAGTCTTTTTGGTGGAATTACTTCAGTAAGTGTACATAGGATTCAGCTTTAGCCTGCAAGTAAGCGATCTTGCTTAGTTAGTCTACTTACATGTGCACAGATGGGTAAACAAAAGACTATTGTTTTCAAGTGGTTATAATTTTGCAGTGCAATGCTAATATGGGCAGTATTGCAACAAATTCTGGATTTTGCTTCTTGGCTTGTAATTAAGGCCCTGCTTAATTACAGACTGCAGCGCTTTAAATATTATAGTGCCTAGACAGTATGGATTTTGTTCAGGAAGCATGTATACATTTTGAAATTGGAAACCTGATTGAAGACTGCAATCCACAGGCAGGCACAGGAATGCTTTTGAATACCGATTGTTGGGAACCACGGGAGGGGAGAGGGCTCTAGCTCTCAAATCCTGCTTGCAGGTTTCCCACAGGCATCTGGTGGCCACTGTGAGAACAGGATGCTGGACTAGATGGGCCCATTTGGCCTGATCTAGTGGGCTCTTGATGTTCTTAGGGGATCTTGTACTGTCCCATAGCTAGGTCTGTGGCACTCACCCTACTTTCAGCAGACCCTCAATCGGCCTTTTAACATCTTTAGGATTGCTCTGACAATTACGTAAATTAGTCTTTCTTAAGGTTTAAATAAATCTACCCTACTGGAGCCTGGTGGCATGTTTCATTTGTTTGTTCCAATTGTGATGGATGAATCAGAATTGTAGAGTTGGAAGGGACCCCAAGGATCTTCTAGTTCAGGGGTCGGCAACCTAAGGCCCATGGGCCACAAGCAGCCCACGGGGGGTCGTTTAACTGGACCCCGAGCCGCCCACTCGGCGAGTCCCTGCGCGCTGCGCTAAATCAGTGCAGCATGGCACGGGGACTCACTTCCGCAGTGCCGGGAATTGCGCAGACGCCGGAAATCACGTCAATGCAGATACTGGAAATCGCGTGCGTACATGCATGTTATCCACCCCACAGGGATTTCTGCTGGAGTGAACCAGCCCAGGCAAGGTAAACCTTGCTAATCCCTGCTCTACAACCTCCTGAGGGAGATGATTCCACTGTGGAATAGCTCTTACTGTCAGAAAGTTTTTTCCCTGATCTGACAGCTCTTACTGTCAGAAAGTTTTTTCCATGATCCCCTATTTCCCTAATTGGGATCTCCTTTCTTGTCATTTGAAGCCTTTGGTTCGAGTTATGTGACAGCCCTTGAGATAATTTGAAGATGGCTATCGTATCTCCTCTCAGTAAACATACCCAGCTCCTTCGACCCTTCCCCATAAGGCTTCCAGACCCTTGATCATCTTGGTTGCCCTCCTGTGTGCACATTCCAGCTTTCTGGAATCTTCCTTAAATTAAAGCTTTATTTCCTAAAAAGTAGTATAAAGTGCCCCTTTTCTTATTAAAACTAAAGTTAGTTTCCTTTCACATCAGAACTCCCAGAAAATCTTGCACACTCTTAACTGTGCTTTGGTGAGCCATTGCTGTTTTATCTGTAAAAGGGCAGGTATTTCCTGTCAAAAGTCCCCACCTTGACTCATTTCCTGTTCCTTCTCATGGCTCTAGGGGAGTCAACTGTAGCTATCCATCCTCCCCAGGGGCCTCCATTGGAACTTTTGCATTTTGCATGTCTCATCTTGATGATATGAAATCCACATGTGCCCTTTAGCACCCCCAGACTGGCAGCTCAGTGAGGCACTCAAAAGGAAAGTACGTTGCTATGTTTGTAAGTGACAGTGAAAGCAGAGAGGTCTAAATGCAGCCTGCTTTGTGCCAGAAAAAGGAGTGAAACCAACACTTGCAGGGTGGTTCTTCAGCTAGTGAAACTGTTTCCTGTCTGCACTGAAGATATTAAAGCAACTGTAGTTTTGTTTTCATGCCTAAGTGAAGACTTGAGAGAAGAGTTCTACTCACTAACTAGCCCTGTAAAACTATACCCTTCCAGCAGTTAAGTGATGTTTATGCAGCACATTGGATGTGCTTCTTCTAATCTCTACTGTAGAGTTTAAAAAAAAAATTAAAACAGGTTTAAAAAAATTAAGACAAGGCTTATGCATCTTGAAAACATGTTCTTTGCTCATCTTCCTTGCTATTAAGTTTTGAGGCAAGTCAAGGGCTGCACAACTGCTTTAAAGTTTCTGTTTATTGCTAAGAAATTTTCCAGGGAGAATTGGAAGTGGGAAATTGAATGGTTTTCTTATGAAAGTTAACTGAAGCCATCTTTGAGCATTCAAGTGTGTGAGCCTGGGTTGCATTGGAGACAAACAAGGCAATTAAAATCACTCATCTCTAGTAACTCATGGACATCCATTGATAATTGAACATGAAGCTCACCCCTCAAGTCTGCCTTTCCTCCATCCTTCTTTTTTCTTTCTCCTTTCTGACTACCAACATTGAGTTCCTCCTGGTGCCTGTTTCTCCATGAGATTTGTCCAGGCCAAACTTGTCTTTTTCTCCAGAGATGCTCAAGCCAGCTGTTTATTCTGTTCCTGACCCCTCCGCTCTAAGCCACTGGGGTGCTTCATCATTCCCATCATCCCAACGGTTCCATTGCCACTGGGGAAGGGGAGGGTTTTCTAGCAAGAGCAGAAGCCACTTAGTCTGTCATGTATATAAAGCATACAGTCAAACTTGGAACTCAAACATAATCCATTCCGGAAGACCATTCGACTACAGAATTGTTCAGGTTCTGAGGCATGGCTTCCGATTGGTTGCAAGAGCTTCTTGCACTCAAGCGGAAGCCACGTCGGACGTTTGATTTCTGAGGAACGTTCTGGGTTTTTGGCGTTTGGGAGCCAAAACATTAAAAAACGGAGCCGTTTGAGAATCGAGGTTTGACTGTATAGCTAATGCCTTTTTAAACCCCTTATGTAAGTTCTATGTTTTATAAGTGTTTTTGAGAACAAACAGTTGTGTGTTTTGTTGAATGAATATTTGTTGTTGTTTTTAGTGGTCTCCTAAAACAATTTACTAACATCTGCTCTTCCTTCCTCTTCTCTCCCGTTCCCCCTCCCCCGTCAAACATCTTGCTTTGGGCAAGTGCAGTGCCGGAACCTGCCAAGCCCAGTGTCAATCAGCTATTACCTGCCACCTCCACTGCCGGCACAACCACAGCACCCAGCAGTGTTGGTGGCAATAATAATGCCAAGAGGGCTTTGGTCAGCAGTCAGCAGCAGCAGCAGCAACAGCAGTCGTCGTCGTCCTTGCCTCGCTACCCACCTCGCGAAGTCCCTCCGCGGTTCCGGCACCAGGAGCAGAAGCAACTCTTGAAGCGAGGGCAGCCACTGCCGGGGATCGCTGCAACCCTGGGGGCGGCATCTAAACTGCTGAACGGCCAGTCCGAAGGGAGCCCAGTAACAAGCGAGCAGCCTGCAGTGGGTGGCGAAGGGCAGAGCAGCAGCAAAAAGCAAGCAGGTGAGAAGGCAGCAAAGACTTACAGGACCGTAAACTCTCTGGCTCATTTGGCAGGGGGGCTGCACGCTTTGGAGGAAGGCCCAACCCAGCTCTTTTCCATGCTCCTTAAGACCCATTTCGCCTCCATTTCTAAATGTCACAACTCTGCAGAAACCGGATGTTCTTTTCCTGTGCTTCATGCCAAGACTGCGGCTGCAGAACCTGCCAAGGCACAACACATGCTCTCTTTGCCCTCAGCTGTGTCACCTGCCTTTCCACACTTGGGGGGAGTGGAGCGGGCAGGAGGAATAATACACTTGCTGGCGTCAGTTCTTCCTTCACACTTTTTACCAGAGGATCGCTAGAGAGTTTCTCCACTTAAGAATATAGGACTGTTCTCAATGTAGTAGGAAGGTTGGTGCACCCATTGTGTGACTTAACATTTTGAAGAGGAGCATAATGGGGGCACATGCTTTCTATATGCCAGCAGTTTACTCTCAGAGTGATAAGAGGCTGGATGTTAAGAAGTCTGCACGGACAGCAAGCTGTTGCGGGCACTTGTCAGTTGATCAGAGTGACCAGAGAGGTGAATGAATCTGGAGCCCTGAGCAGGGATGAGTTGACCATTGCAAGACCACAGCAGACCAGAGAAGGCCATAATAGTCTAAGCAAGAGAGCTCCAGAGCTTGGCCAGAGTTCTTAACGAGAGGGAGGGGCCAAGATGAGCTCCATAGCCAAGGCACTCTCCCACCATTCCACTAGCTGCACTTCAGCTACCAGTGGGATGTGGTGAGACGCCCCTCCTGTAGATCTTAATGAGTGGGGAAGGGGGAGAGGCAAGTCATTTTAGGTATTGGGGCTCATTTCACATGTGGAATATATGGACATACCTGTGCCTGCCCTTTTGCTAAGAATACTACAAGTACCTAAGCCATGTACTTTTGCAACATCCTGTGGTCCTTGTTTTCCAGAATTCTGGATAGTCTTATTGCCTCTGTTTCTTTGCTCACTGTACTGAATGTTTCTTTTTTGCTGTACCATTTCCAATGATGATGACGATGTCTTGTCGTCTCCTCCTCCTCCTAGATCTGAACCACAGCACACTAGGATCCCATTATGAGAACTCTCAGTGGGGAACAGTCTCTTCCAGTGGTGACTCCAGCACAAACTGGGATAAAGTTATTGTAGACGGCTCAGACAAGGAGGCATGGCCCTCAATCACCGGCAGTGACGTGGAGCTGGCTTCAGAATGTACGGACACTGACTCTGCTTCTGCCTCAAGTTCTGGGTCGGAGAGGAACCTCATCGCCATGGCTTCAAGGGGCCCAGGCAGTGAAGTGAATGGCCTGCGGAATGGCGGCAGCGGCCACTGTCCTCAGGCCAAGTTTGGCAACAGTAGCAACAGCAATAACGTGGGCAACGGGAGCGTTGGCAGGTCGTGGGGCGTGTCCCTCGGCTCCCTCGTGAGCTCCTGCTCGCCGATGCCCGCCGATGCTCCTAACGGCATGTCGGAAAGTAGCAACAATAGAATGAACACTTGGAGCGCGCTCAACTCATCCAATGGAGGATTAAATCCCAGCACTTTGAATTCCAACGGCCACCGCAGTGCCTGGCCTGTCTTGGAGAACAATGGGCATGCCCTGAAAGGGCCCGGAGGAAGCGGTAGCTGCAGCACAGGTTTAGGTCAGATAGCGAACAATCAGAGTATGAACTCGTCCAGCCTTGGCGGCTCCTGGGCCAGCCTCCAGGAAAACTGTGATCCCCAAGCAAATGGTACAAGGAAGGCTTCGCGGAGTGGGCAGCCTCAGAGCCTTAACCCCGAAGTGAATGGACCAAATAATAATAACACTACTAACTTTATGACCTCTAGTTTACCAAACCCTGCTGGTTCGATGCAGGTGACTGAACCGGCAAGTAGTAATACAGGGCCTGGGGCCTGGTGCGTGAGTGCCAAGAGCAGTCGGCCTCAGCCCCAGGCCTCCTCTCCAGTAATAAGCAGCACTTCCGTTTCTCACCTGAGCAATGGTGAAGCAAAAAATGGTGGAACTCCCAGTACTCTGTGGGGCACCTACAGCCCCGCTTACTCCGGAGACACCTGCTCAAACAGCCAAGCCAATAGCGACACTGTGAATGCAAACCTAATGCAGCCTGGGCTCAGCGGGACCAGCAGCACTAACTTTGAAATCAATGGGGAGAAAGGAGCAGGGGCGTGGGAGGCAGCAGGCGGGGGGGCCAGCGCCCAGAATGTGGTGTGGGGGGGTGGGATTGGAATGGGCTCTGGAGGAGGAGGCAGCGGCCGGAGGGGTCCTGCCCAAAGCACCACCTTAGCCGACGGAGAGTGGAACAAACTTCCAAGCAACCCTCACGCCTCCAAGGGCGGCAGCGGGAACAGTAAGAAGTTTACAAACATGCGGAAATCATCCGAGGAGGAGAGTGCCGCAGTCGACATCCAGAGTTTTGCAGCAATTCAGAATGTGGAGCAGAACGGCGGGTGGACGAAAAGCAGTATTGCGGATAGCGACGGCAGTACAGAGAGCCCCGAGGAAAGATCCGCCGCGGAAGGGGCGAACCGCGAAAGGAGGAAAGCTGACCAGCACGCGTTGCTCCAGAGCATAGTGAACAGGACAGATCTGGACCCCCGGGTCCTTTCCAATTCTGGTTGGGGACAGACTCCGATCAAACAAAACACTGCCTGGGACACAGAGGTTTCTTCAAGAGGGGAGAAGAAGACTGACAATGGGACAGAGGCCTGGGGGGGCTGCGTGACCCAAGCCTGCGGCTCAGGGGGCCTCACGGAGAGGTCCAGCCTGCATGGCAACAACGCTCCATCCAGCCAGGGTTGGGGCGATCCAAAGTCTGCTACAAGGTGGGGGGACTCCAAAGTCTCCGGCACCCAGGGGGGGTGGGAAGAGGGCTCTGCTTCCACTGCACAGGCCAAGGGCAATCAATCATGGGGGAGCGGCAAAGAGGACAGGTGCTCATCATCGCAGTGGAGTGACCCAGACAAGCTCAAGCAGGGGTGGGGAGATGGGCAGAAGGCAAGCCCCGGGTGGGCGGCCCCAGCTGTCGACGGCTGGGGGGAGAACCTGAGAAGCAATCATTGGGGCGAGGTGAAGAAATCCAGTTCCGGCAGCAGCGACAGTGACAAGTCGACCTCTGGCTGGAAAGAGCCGGGCAAGTCCGGCGCTGCGCACTGGGGGGGAGGCGGCGGCAACAACAACGCCAAGCCAACGAGCTGCACGGGATGGGAAGAGTCTGCCAAGCCAAGCCAAAGCCAGGGGTGGGGAGAATCTCCTAAGCCAAGCCGCTCCCAGAGCTGGGGGGGAGAGGCACCCTCCAAGCGCCCTCCTTCCCCAGACTGGAGCAAGCAACAAGAGGTGGGCTGCTGGGGGGCACCGTCTGCGGCAAGCAAGCCGCCGGCCGCAGGATGGCTGGGAGGACCAATGCCATCCGCAGCCAAGGAAGAGGAGCCCACCGGGTGGGAGGAGCCATCCCCTGAGTCCATTCGCCGCAAAATGGAGATTGACGATGGAACTTCTGCTTGGGGCGACCCGAGCAAGTACAACTACAAGAATGTGAACATGTGGAACAAGAACACACTGAACAGTGGCAGCGGCTGTTCAGACCAGCAGGCACAGGGGCTGCAGCAAGGGCTTTCTTCAAGCGCCGTGAGCAGCATGGAGACTGGTGGCGGCAGTGGCAGCAGCTCTGGTAAGGCTCCATTTTCCATGATCTGCCTGACTGAGACAACCCTCAGGCGCTACTTTGGGGGGGGAGGCTACTGGAGTGTCTCTTGAAAAGCATTGTTGTTTGTTTTGCTCCAAAAAGCTAGTGGGAAGTCAAGCATATACCATCGCTTCCAGGTGTGGTTTGTCTGGAGAGAAACAAACCATCTTCCCATGTTCAGGTATCAGAAGTCAGACACCGGCTCATTTCCTGGTGGAGCAACAGGAACAGGGCAGAAGCAGAGCAAGCACTGTATTAGCTGCATTGCACAAGCATGCTGCTCATTTGCGTTTAACCATTGTTTGTTTTTAAGCTATGGTTTAAAGTTGGGTGTAAACCATGGTTTATACAATTGTGTAGAGAAGTAGCCAGGAAAACATTCAGTAGTACATCTTAGCCTTTTCAAATCAATGAAAACTCACAGTTGCTGAAAGGTCCTGGGAGATTTGCAGTAGGTTGACTGATTTTTGTGTCTTGCCTTTCAAACAATACAAAGATACCACCACCACCACCCTTCAGCTGCCTTCTTGTCAATTCCTACTTGTATTTTGTTTTAATTGCAAGGAGCAAAATAAGAATTTATATCCTTGCCTGTGAATATTTTTGGGGGATGAACAAGTGCCACACATGGCATTTTTCTTGGGTATTGATCAACAGGCATTAATCATTAACATAGCAAATGGGGCAACTCAGTCAAATGGGCAGGGTATTATTATTATTATTATTATTATACTATCATCATCTTTGAAGATCAGTTTGTGTTGGTGGTAGGATAATGTGAGCTTTCCATTTGGTTATAGAACAGCTTTCCTCACAATGGAACTGAAATTATTACTAAAAACGTCACTAAATTTTCCTTAAACAATCCAGAAGTTAGCCTAGCCATGTGTTGCCTGGCTTTGGGACCAGCTAATAATGTGAACCTCTTTTGAAAGGTTGGGGAGAGCCTCTTCCTGCTCCTGTTACTGTAGACAATGGCACATCAGCTTGGGGCAAGCCTGTTGATGCTGGTACGAGCTGGGGAGAATCGGTCGGTGATGCTATGAGTGCCGGTAGCTGGGGGAACTCATCTGCTGGGCAGCAGGCTCCTCATAAACCTGGTACGTGCTTTTCTAGGTGGGCTGGAAGTGGGGAACTGCACTAGGGAAGTTGCTAGCTGTCGAGGTCTGGGGGGGTGCGGGGAACCAAGGGTGCATTTGTTTGGAGAGCTGAATTAAGAAGGGAGGCCCTACGACTTGGGTCTGGGAGATCTGCGTTCAGATCCCTCCTTCGTCATTGGCTGCTGTTAGCTTGACTCTTGTTCTTTGTAAAATGTGAATAACAGCTCCCCAGGTGATAGTGCTGCATAGTGGCTACAGTGAGGGCGGGGGGGGGCGTGTTGTACCTGATGAGTAAAGAGTGAATTTTTTTTTCATCACTATCAGGACCTAAGTCTATGCAAGTTCCAGATGGCTGGTGTGGGGGCGACATGCCTTTGCCAGGAAGCCATCAGTCGAACTGGGAGGAAGAGGACGACGTTGAGATTGGGATGTGGAACAGCAACTCTGCCCAAGATGCCAATGCCTCTCTACACTGGCCACCATACCCTAAAAAGATGCCTTCTAAGGTAACCGCGTTTAGCTGCAGAGCAAGACAGAGAAAAGCTCCCTCTACCTCTTAAACTACCTGAAGCCTGTGCTCCATTAAAGTGCTATGTAGGTGTTGATCAGTAGCCATATATCTAATAATGAAGTTTCTATGCTGTTTGTGGTTGCTTGTAGGGAACAATGAAAAATGGAAACAAGCAAGACGAAACGTGGATCAATCCATTTGTGAAACAGTTTGTGAATCTCGGCTTCCATGTAAGTTCTGAAGTGGGGCGTGCCTGGCAGGGGGGCAAGGACTCATCCCATGGCAATTCATTCTTTTTCCAGCTCGCTTCATATTACCTGCTTTTTTCACATTTTGCTAAGATGCACTCTGTGATCTTCTGCCTGCCTGCCTGCCTGCCTGCCTGCCTGCCTTCCCTCCCTCATGAAAAGCAGAAGGGGTAGCCTGGAGTATACCAGTAAGCAGAGGCTGACTGTAATTAAGCTCCTCTTGGTTATTCCTTTAGAGAGAGTCACCAGAAGAAATGATGCAGAGCAATAAGATGGATGTATCTGGAGGTAAGTGCAGGCATGGGGTTTTGGTGGGGTGAATGAAAGGTGACTCAAGATAGAAGGGGGGGTGCAGAGTATCTCAGTGATAGAGCGCTGGCTTGGCATGCAGAAGGCTCCAGGTTCAATCCCCTATGGCAGCATCTTCTGGTAGGGCTGGGAAGGACTAGCCTCTACCAGTCCATTTAGATGGGCCAGTGATCTGTCTCTGTATAAAGACAACTTCCTATGTTCCTGTTTATTTGTGGTCTTTTAAAAATGGTGTGCATTTCTAACCCAGTGGCTCAGGCCTTGTTAAAAAATCAGCAATCCCAGTTATAACGTGCACCTAAAGCAAATGAAGTTGAGTGTATTGTTGTCAAAAAAGACTCCGTTTCACCTGCATTGTCTTCTCAGGAATTTCCTGCACAAGGTTTGGACTGCTATTTTCATCCTGGCTGGGGCTGATGGGAGTTGCAGTCCAAAACAGGTGAAGGGTGTCAGGTTGGGGAAGGTTGCTTTAGGACAGGGGTGCCCAAACTTATTTCAAAGAGGGCCAGATTTGATGAAGTGAACATGCATGAGGGCTGGCCACAGTTGTTGAGCTTTTTTTAGGATTTTACCCCAGGACATACACTGCCTCAGGGACTGGATTAAATCGACCGGCAGGTCAGACTTTGGACATGCCTGCTTTAGGAGAACTTTTTGTGCCCATGGAGTTTAAGCAAGAGGCAGTGTTAGTCTTTTCTGTCGAGATCCACTGTTCAGAGCAGCTGTGTGAGGATGCTTTCCCATCTCCCCTTAGGGATCTTGCCTGACAAACGGATGGAGATGGACAAGCACAGCCTGAATGCTGGAGAGTACAGCCGGGTGATAGGAAAAGGCCCAGGCGCCCGTCCTCAGATTTCCAAAGAGTCTTCCGTGGATCGAAATCCTTACTTTGATAAGGTGAGAGAGCCTGTCTCCTCCCAAGGGACAGTAAAAAAACAATTGCTGCTGTACTCAATAAAATGAATGCTCCTGTACTAAAAATAAATAAACTGAAGTGTTACTAAAGAGTTGCATTGCGCTCCTCACCATGTCTACTCCAAAGTAAGTCCTTCTTAATTCAGTGGGGCTTCCTCCCAGATAAATAGAATTCGGATTGCAGCTGTAGTGTGCTTCTGCTTAAGCCTTAATTTTAATTCTAGGCTGCCCATCTCCAAATGCGTGAGTGGGAGACTGACTCTGGTGCCTCTAGAACCCAGAGCAGGGGAAGATTCTGAGGAACGCTGATGTGTTTTCACTGAAAATAGTTTGCAGGGTTGGGGGACTAAGTTCAGTGCATAAAATGAAAGGCCAGCACCCTCCACCAGGAGCATCTAATGCTGTTGCTTTTGCTATGAGTCATAGGTCCTTAAGAGAAGAGTCTGCACTCCTGTTTTCTCAATGAGGGTGGGCATCTCAGGAAAGCATTTTCACTGCTGTTGTGCTTAATGTTTGGTTTAGTGAATTGCTTTGAGTTCACCTTCCTCCAACAATGTGACTCATAAATATTATCATTAGATATTCCACAAACTCATCCTTTTGGCTCAGGATTGCTGCTAGCCCAACAGGACTCCCCCTGCTCTGTGTCTGCCAAATGGGCTTGGGAGGGATGGGGAAAACCCTACAATAGATTGCGGGAGGGGGGGTGTTCCATTGCACTAGCAGCCATCCTTTCACTGATGGGACCCTGACTTCATCCTACGCTGAATACAACACACTATTATTTTAGCAATAATTTTAAAGTTTTTTTTGTTTTGTTTTTTGTAAACTGCTTAGAGGTTTTCTTACAAATCGAACAGTAAATAAAATAAAAGAGTATCTGCCATCTGCTTAGAGAACCATCTGGCTCTGGACTGCAGTGGCACTAACCTCCTCTCTCCTGTTTTCTGACTTTTTTCCCCCACCCCGTTGATGCTGGACTTGTCTGCCTCTTCCTGTCCGTCTATCCGTCCTGCTGCTTGGCTTGCTGTCCAACCCTTGCTCCTTCAACTTGTCTGCCCAACCAGGATGGCCTTGTTGTAGCAGACGATTCCCAGAACATGCAGTTTATGTCCAATCAGAACGTGAAGTTTCCCCCTTCAAACAGTGCACTACCTAACCAGGCCCTTGGATCCCTAACAGGGCTGGGTATGCAAAACTTGAATTCTGTTAGACAGGTAAGGCTGTGAGCATCCTCTTTACATGATGTTTCAACAAAGCCATTGGGTACTTCCTCAGATTTTAGCATGCTGTCTCATCCCCCTTGATTTACAGACATTTAGAGAAGATGAATGGCAGCTTAAACCTTTTGGTCCTCTTCCAGTTATTGCACACATGGTTTTAAAAAACCTGCAACCCTCTAGATCAGTGTTTCCCAAACTTAGAATAATCATGTGCCCCTTTTTGCAAGTTTAGTCTTACCGGCAAACCCCTTCTGGGGCAAAGTTAATTTGTGGGTATTTTTCATAATAATATTTTATCTCGACTAGAGCAAATTCTTTTGGGTACCATTAGAAACCCTTTCGCTTACCACACTTTGGGAAACACTGCTCTAGATACGTATTTCTCGTAGCCTCTCCAGATCAAATATCTTTCATGCAGGAGAATCTTCTGTCATCCTCTAGATCAGGTTTCCCAGATTCATCCTTGGTGCCATACAAAGTATGTGGGGGCTGCTGTTGTGCTTGCTGGCTTCCCTCCCCCAGGGTTAAGTCATCTGCACGGTGTTGTAAAAACAGCCATTGTTGGAGAGCACCTTTCTTCCTTTTCATTTGCCTCATTACACCATCTCCTCTTTACATGTGCCTGTTACTCTCCTCTGCTTCTCATTCGTAGTTTCTTTTTAACTTCTCAACCCTCCAACTGCTGTCCGCGTATTTACAATAGCATATGGAGAACTGAAGGCAGCACAGAATCATAGGTTCATAGGTACCCAAGCGTCACCTAGTCGCAACTCCCTGCAGTGCAGGAACCAGACCCATCTGAGGGCAGTGTGTGCCTATTTTTGCAAGCACAGGCTTAGCCTTTGTGTTCTGGTTGTTGTTGGCATGTTCACTTTAGTCCAGAAAGGGTGGTTGGGGCAAGAAGAGAAGCGGTTGTTCCACTGCAGTATGTCTTCCCTCAGGGCATCCCCCTCATTAACCAAGGATCCTGTTACTGGTGAAGGACCTGGTGGGTTCTCCTTCTGTGGCAGATAGATTTATCATACTGACTGGAGCTCCATTGTGGTGCTGTAGCTTGAGCTATATAGGTTTAAGATGGTGTTTCCTAAACTTGGGTCTCCAGCTGTTTTCAAACTACAGTTCCCATCATCTCTGACCACTGGTCTTGCCAGCTAGGAATGATGGGATTTGTAGTCCAAAAAAACAACAACTGGAGACCCAAGTTTGGGAAACACTGGTCTTAAGACATGGAAGAGCCTGATTCAAATTTCCCCTGAGCTTCGAAAGATCACTAGCTGGCTTAGGCAAATCCCAATCCCTTCACTTGAACCTACATCCCACTTCCATCGTGAGGACAGTGCGTATGTGCCCACACACCTAGGCAGTGCTTTTTTTTTCCGGGAGGACGCAGCGGTACAAAGACCCTTAAACATTTTGTGAATCTAAGATTGGCTTCATTGAGGGGCAGTACAGTGGTGCCTCGCAAGACGAAATTAATCCATTCCGCGAGTCTCTTCGTCTTGCGGTTTTTTCGTCCTGCGAAGCACAGCTATTAGTGGCTATTAGTGGCTTAGCGGCTATTAACGGCTTAGCGGCTATAAGAAAAAGGAAACAAACTCGCAAGAACTCGCAAGACGTTTCGTCTTGCGAAGCAAGCCCATAGGGAAATTCGTCTTGCGGAACGACTCAAAAAACGGAAAACTCTTTCGTCTAGCGAGTTTTTCGTCTTGCGAGGCATTCGTCTTGCGGGGCACCACTGTATTTCAATATGAGTAGGAAAATGAGAGTACTCCCTAAACATTTTTTTTTTCAGGGGAGGGAAAAAGCACTGCACTAGGCACGCTTCCCTCAGTTCCTTGCAGGAGTGCTGGGATACAGGCATTCTTTTTTGCTTCCAGGCAAAAGAGTTTCAGGGTCTACTAAGAGTCAAGAATATAAGAATGTCAAAAGAGCTCTGCAGCAGCTGGAGCCTCACAGTGGCCAAGCAGATGCCCCAGTGGGAGGAAGCCCACAAAGTAGCTCTCTCTGTAGAATTCAGAGGAAGATGGAAACTCAGTCTTACTCTCTGGTTTCAGGGTGATGCTTGTTTGCTTCAACGTACATCTCAGCTCCAAGCTCACCTTCTTAGAAATGCCGCCTTCCTACCAAAACAGCACTAAGCTGAACAGTTGTCCCTTTCCCTACATGTGCTGAATGCAGCACTTAAGGGCAATGCAAGAAGCAGCTTCAGTAGCTGGCAGACCATAATTTCTGTCACTCCTGACCTAAGCTGCCACTTTATGATTATGTACTCCTGCTCCTGTCTTTGGAGAGGGTGGGAACAGCTGCTCAGCCCTCTTTTTACGTTCTCTCTGCAGAATGGCAACCCCAGTATGTTTGGAAATCTAGCAGCACAGTCCCGGAGTATGCAGCCGTCTCCAGCACAGCCTCTTAACTCATCTCAGCCTAATCCACGTGCTCAAGTGCCTCCTCCATTGCTCTCCCCTCAGGTGAGGCTTGTGAAAGAGAAGTTGGGTGGATGGGTGTGCTAGTTTTGTAAAGACATTCCTCTCTTCAAAAATGATGGCTGCCAGGCTTGGTCTCAATAGCACCTGCCCTGGTACAAGCAAACACAAGTCACATTCTCCACCTCCCACCTCTCCTCTTCTCCCTTCCACATCCCATTAAGAGACTCCCCACCTCCAAGTTTTAAAAGAGCTAAGTAAAGGGCCTCCAAGCCAAGCAAGGCTGCCAGTATCTCTTGGGGCAGTTCTTCCTGCTTGTGGTGAGAAGGTGTTGGTTGCGTGTCTCCCTCCCTCTATCCTAGCCAACTTCCAACCTTCATGTCATTGTCATGCTTTTCTCCACTTTGTAGGTTCCAGTATCCTTGCTGAAGTATGCACCAAACAACGGGGGCCTGAATCCACTCTTCGGCCCGCAACAGGTAGCCATGTTGAACCAACTCTCCCAGCTCAACCAGCTTTCCCAGATCTCCCAGTTACAAGTAAGTGAGACACTTCCTCCCCCAACTTTGCTTCGAAAGTGCTCATCCTCCCTGACTCTGCCCTCACTTCTTCCTGACTTTTTGCAGCGATTGCTGGCCCAGCAGAGGAAAGTGCCGAGCCAGAGAAACATGTCCTCTGCTGCGGGTGGCGGCCGCCAGGAGCAGCAGCAGCAGGTAGGGTTTGAGGAAACTTTTTGTTTTCTCTTTCATTTTTAATATTGGTTCTGCCTTCTCTTGAGCTGAATTGATCGGGAAAGATCAGGTTGAATTGGGTCTTTCTCCGCTGACCCATACGTTATCCCCTTCTTCACAAATCTCTTGTTGCCAGTTCAGGACTGTTTGCCTGAGAACTGGAATATTTCACGGGAACGGTGGACAACCCTTTGTAAAAGCTAGGATGCACTTAGCAACGCACCTTGGCAAAATAGGTGAATCATCTGTTGTGGAAGAACTAGCTCACTTCTTAATCTTAATCTCAGGGTTGTGGGTTCGAGCCGCACGTTGGGCAAAAGATTCCTGCACCGCAGGATGACCCCAGAGTGGCTGGGGAAACCCAGCCAGATGGGCGGGGTATAAATAATAAATTATTATTATTACAGTCCCTTCCAACTCCACGATTCTATGATTCTCCTATTTTCCTTCCTGCTGCCTTCATGCATGGTCAAAGGAGCGTCTCTTTTTTCTCTCTCTCTCTGCTGGATAAAGTTATTCTAAAGGTTGTTCTAATCGGACCACTTTATTTCAAAGTACAAGTGCAAGTTCACCACCTATGTTTTGCAGCCCAGATCAAGGACTCACTTTGTTTAAATATTGTACGTTAACAGTGACCATTTTGCAGGTTGAAAAGAAGATAGGTTTTATTTGCAAATAACAAAATTATTTTCACATCCATTGCCAGCAATACATAGACAACGTTATTTAAGATTGCATCCATATTGTGGATTCAAGTCATGTTGGTTGCGTGTGTTTTCTGAATTATCTCTGCTGCTCTGTTTGACTATTATAAGAATGATTATTATGGCCTTTTTTGTTGGATGCTAAGCCAATTCCACCTTTGTGCACAGGTTGTAAGGGCAGAATGTCTGTAGAACATATGACCCATTAGACTGAATTAGAAGTTTAGGATGCCGCTTTAGACAGAGTCAGGCCATCCAGCTCAGTACTGTGTACAACACTGACTGGCAGTAATGGCTCTCCAGGATTTCAAATGGGGGGATCTACCTGGGCGTTGAACCTGGGACCTTCTGCACACACTGAGCAGCTCAGGTGCTGATAACACCAAGGTTGCAGGTTCGATCCTTGCATATTCATGCATTGCAGGGGGTTGGACTAGATGGTCCTAAGGGTCCCTTCAAGCTCTACAGTTCCATGATTCTATAGCTGCCTGCTATATATGCCGTGGCTTCTGTTTCACAGCCGCAGTGGAGCCACTTCCTAGTTGTGCAGGCCTCAGACAGGACATCTGTCTCAAATCCATTTTTCCCCTCTATCTCTCCTTGAAGAGTCGCGCGCTCAATATGCAGCAACAGATGATGCAACAGTCTTGTCAGCTGGATCCAAACCTACTCATGAAGCAGCAGCAGCAGCAGCAGCAGCAGCAGCAGCTGCTCCCATCCCAACAGCAGCTCCATCATTCTGCCATGAAGTCTTTCGTGGAGAACGTTGTGCCCCACGCCAACCCAGAGCTGCAGAAAGGGCCGTCACAAATCAATGCATTCAGCAACTTTCCCATAGGTGAGTGTCCTCTCCAACTCGTCTTATGGCTAATCTGCATCAAGTGACCAAGGCTGTGAGCTGGGTCAGTGCTTGGTCTTAGCCTCTCTCAAAAGAGAGCCAATGGCTGCCTGGCTAAGCCTCTTGTCTCTGATTCTGCAGCCAGCATTAACAATCCTGCTAGTCGGTTACCTAGCTTTCTTTTGGTGCCTGACTTCACCAGATTAAAGACATAATCCTCAATGGAAATCCTCAATGGAGGTCCCCCTTTAGGCTCCTCAAAGGAAACAGGATTCCCATTTGCAAGTGAATGTATAATTTAACAGGTTTTCTATTCAATTCCATTCAATCAGCTGCTTTGATCGGCAGAATTCAATATTTTAGTGTGGCAGCACCTACACTGTGGAACTCCCTGCCTCTTGACGTCAGGCCAGCGCCTGCTAGAAACATTTTTATTTAGACAAGCCTACCCCAAGGTTTAGAAGGTTGATGTGAGCTTTAATCCGTATTTAGCCTATGGTTATTTTAACTTGTTTGAAAGTCTAAAATTTATTAATTCCTTCTTATTGATAAATGTTATGAATTGAATAAATAAAATTGTTTTCTCCCAAGATTCAGTTTGAATTCCACTCTTCAGTTTGAGGCTTAATTACTAGAGCCTTCTGAAAAGTGTCCCGTCTTGCTGTTTAAGAGCTGCTGCTTCTGTTTTGTTGAGGGACAGTCTCCCAGCTCAAAAAATCACAATGCCTCTTTTGGGACCTGAGTACAGCAGCAGACCTCTCCTTGCTTGTAGTTCTGAGCAGCTGGTTTTCATAGTGAATCCTGCCTCTTGACGCTGCTATAAAACTTAGGGAACAAGCTGTACTACCAAAATGATTAAGGTTTTAAATGATAATTTTAGGTTATATTTTAGTGATCAAGATTTAATATATTTTTTTAACTGCCGCTATATCTGAATTGTCTCTGTCATACCCAATTGCAATTCAATGTATTACTGTTGTGTTTTATGATTTTCCTGATATTGTAAGTGACCCGGAACTGGTCTGTGATGATAATAAATTCTGCCTCTTGACAGTGAAGGTAGCAGAGGCCTGTTTTATTCAGACTGCTATGCTTAGCTGAACTGGAGTCCAGGGAGTGTAACCCAATTTCTTCGATGCAGGATTGAACTCAAACTTGAATGTAAATATGGACTTGGGCAGTATTAAGGAGCCACAGTCCCGGCTGAGAAAATGGATGACTGTGGACAGTATTTCTGCTAACACATCGTTGGATCAAAATGCCAGCAAAAACGGTGAGTGGAATGAGAGGAGGGGGAGCAAAGAGGCCCCAAACACTGTCTTCCAGGTGCAAAGAGGACCTCCTGAAGATGAGTGCTGCAGAGAGAAGGGGTGTAATTTGTGGATGTTCATTGTGAAAGGTGGCAATAAAGCTTTCGTACCGTACACCTTTTATTCTGACTGAAGCAGGCTTCCTCAACCTCGGCCCTCCAGATGTTTTTGGCCTACAACTCCCATGATCCCTAGCTAGCAGGACCAGTGGTCAGGGATGATGGGAATTGTAGTCTCAAAACATCTGGAGGGCCAAGTTTAAGGAAGCCTGGACTAAAGGATGCAAATCGGTACAATACCTGAAAGGTTGCATATTTTGGGTGCTTCTTTTTCTGAAATTAAGAGTTGATGTAGCGCTCAAAAAAATTTTTTTCAAAAATCCTTCGAGGTTTATGCAAAATGTGACAAGAGTGGCAAGAGGAGAGAGGAGTGGGCTGCGAGTAGGCAGGGGAAATGGACTTGGGGCCACATGGGGGCAAAATGTCATGTAGGATGTCAAAGCTGCCTCCCTAGAATCTCTGCCTCCCGAGGGCCTTCTGATGGTTCCCTCACGGCAAGAAGTGAGGTTACAACGAACCAGGCAGAGGGCCTTCTCAGTAGTGGCACCTGCCCTGTGGAATGTCCTCCCATCAGATGTCAAGGAAATAAACAACTATCTGACTTTTAGAAGACATCTGAAGGCAGTCCTGTTTAGGGAAGTTTTTAATATTTGATCTTTTCTGTTTTTTTAATATCCTGTTGGAAGCCACCCCCCGAGTGGCTGGGGTATTTTTTTTTTTTTTTTAATTATTATTATTATTATTAGGGTTTCCCCAGCCACCCTGGGCGGCTCCTTGCATGGTTATTTTCTCAGAAAGGCCCTTGCATGGTTTGAAGCATAATCCCACAGTCACACTGGGGTGTATTTTTTTGGTTGCCAAATAAAGTCGATGGTCTTGGGAATTTGCAGCAGTGGCCTGCCAGATTCTGCCCATGCAGGCACATCTCATTTGCCTTGGCTGCCAGCCATAGCTAATTTAGAGGAGAATGAAGACCTTACCCTGGACCAGGATGACACCAGGGTTCAAGTGGGGATGTGACCTGCTACACCTTGGCAGGGACTGGAGGACTACTTCTGACTTAACTCAGAATGATGTTCTGATCTGTGGGTGTAAAGGAAGGAGTTAATCTTGTGGTTGCTGTTGGCAGCTCAGTGGCCAAACTGATCAGCAGTCTCCTCTCTTCCAGGTGCTATTTCAAGTGGCTTTAGGTTGGAGGAAACTCCCTTTGTTCCCTACGACTTCATGAACAGCAGTAACTCACCAGCCAGCCCTCCTGGATCGATTGGGGACGGCTGGCCACGTGCCAAATCGCCTAACGGTTCTAGCAGTGTCAATTGGCCACCAGGTGGGTGACTTGCACCAGTCTGTTCCCCCAAGATTTGGGGCCTGGGGCACAGGAAACCAAGTTCTTCCCTTCTTGGGCGGGGGAAGGTGGTGGAAGCAACTGGTTGAAGGGGGACTTGAGAAGTCTTTAGGGAAGGGTAGAGGAGTTCACCTACGTGCCTTCTCTGGCCATGACAATAAATTGTGGACCTGAGAGGCAGCTGGAAATAAGAGTTGTGTGCTAGGAAGTTCCACAAGTTAAGTCTATGATGGGGAGGAGGAGGACATGCATATGATCTTGCAGCTGTGAAGGGGACTACAAAGGTGCTCCTAAGAGGACACATTTCTCTCCAAACTTTGAAAGAACTCTGGGGAAAGCCCAAATCTTTTTCTGAGAATTATTGGAGAAGGATCAGTCCTGTTGTGAGTTGAAGTGGGTCCCCCATCCCTGCCCTTCCCCTGCAGTCTGAAATAACAGCCTCGGCCCCACCGGCACCATGTACGGTGATCATCTGCTCAGCATTCACTTGGAGGCTGAATTGGGCCCAATAGTTCTTCCATGGAATAAGCTCAGCCTCCTGATACTTTTTTCAAAATGCTAGAATTTCGTCCTGGTGAGCCGTGGAAAGGTTATCCAAACATCGACCCTGAAACTGACCCGTACATCACTCCCGGCAGCGTCACAAACAATCTGTCGATTAACACTGTGCGGGAGGCCGACCACCTCAGGGACAGGAACAGCGGTATGTATCTGGGAGCAGAGGCTGGTCACTTGAGAATTCTGCACAAAAAGAGCCCCTTCAGTGGTCCAAAGGTTGTGCCAGTTTGTATTTTTCTGAGCTTTTTGTTGTTATGCCTGATTTAAGTGGCTTGGTCTTTGGCAAGTCTCTAGAGGAAGGAAATACTGCAGATCTTGAGACTCTTGCTGAGTCCTTCTCCATACCCAGCACAAGGAGCTGGCCAGGTCTTGCCTGACCTGACCTGAGCAAGAAGGGTCCCCCCAGCCCATCTCAAAGATTCTTGATGCTCTCCACCTAGGAGACATTCTGGAAAGCCCAGGTGTGAGGCAATCGGGTCCACTTGGATTTTGCACGTCCTCCATTCTGCTGCAGTTGGGCGAAGCAAACCTTGCATGCTGCTTCTGCAGAACTGCAGCCATGGTGGAACTCACTGTCCAGTGTGCATCTTGGCAAGAGTGGGAGAAGAGGGCCGGAACACCATCGCCTTAGGGTTCTTCCTCCCCCCTGCCTTGAGTAACTTGCAGCCAGCCATGGCTTGATCCCTGAGTTGAGGTCTGTTGGTCTGAGCAGTGCTGGGGGAAGAAAGGGTTCTTGTGGGCAGGAGAGAACTGAGCTGTGCCTGGGTGACCAGAGCTGCACCCACCTCACTGGGCTCTGCATTCCAGTTTGCAGCAGGGTTCAGCCTTGGAACCTGCATTTCAGTGCTGCGGCGCATATGAAGAAACAAAGGTGCCTGTCTCTCCCTTGCTGCTGGTGTCCTCCAGGGGAGTGATGAGCTGTTGACTTTTTCCTGTTAGGGTCATCCTCATCTCTGAACACCACGCTGCCTTCAACTAGTGCCTGGTCATCCATTCGTGCCTCCAACTACAATGTTTCCCTCAGCAGTACAGCACAAAGCACTTCTTCTTCAGGTGAGGTCGGGTGCGTCACACACAGGCCATGTCTGCCTCCTCTTGGATGCCGCCATGAACTCATGCTTCTCCACCAAGCCCTTATCTGCCCAGAGTCCTGTGCTGCCCAGATCAACCCACGGGGAAGATTGGGGAGGGGCACCAGGAACAGCTCTCCTTTTCCATTCTTATTTTTTTTCACATGCCTCTGGTTTCCTTTCCTCCCAGCCAGAAACAGTGACTCCAAATCGACGTGGTCTCCTGCTTCCATTAACAACACCTCTCTGGCTCACGAGCTGTGGAAGGTTCCTTTGCCACCCAAGAGCATCACCGCTCCCTCGCGCCCACCGCCAGGACTGACCGGGCAGAAGCTGCCTCTGTCCTCGTGGGAGAACTCTGCGCGACTCGGGGGCAGCTGGAGCAATTCTGATGCCAGATATACCCCTGGTGAGGGTCTGGGTTGCCTTTGGCCAGGCTGGCTTTTTGCCTGAAGGAGTGAGAAAGAGAGGGTGGGGTCTGCAGAAGGAGAAAGAACACCTTTCCTTGCTTTTGGTTCTTGAGGCTATGGGAGAGCTGCCTTGCCTCAGCTGGTAGCATTGCCTGCCAGAAGGGCAACCCAAGGTGGTGGCGAGGGGGGGCCTGGAAATTAGGACCATGGGCCATCAATCAGGAGCTGAAACAGGGCCTGAAGTTCAGACCCTCCCCGCACTCCGTCCTCTCTCAAATCTCCCTGCTTCTTGCAGCATCTCCAGCGCCAGCCTTTTGAACTGACTGGTGGCTGGGAACATGGCAGCCTGAGGGCATGACCAACAAGCCCTGTACCACAGTTATCCTTCTGTTGCAAAGTCACTGTTGCTTTAGAGTGGCTGGTTTGATTCCCACGCACGCCTCATTCGCTATGGGGTCAAATCTGGCCCTTTTGTGGGTGGGGCAGAGGACCTTAAAAAGAACCCTGGCTTTCCCATGTGGGGCCTGCAGGCACCTTTTTCCACGACGGCAGTGCCATTTTTCTCTTGCTTCCGGCAGGTTCAAGCTGGGGTGAGAGCAGCTCAGGGAGAATAACCAACTGTCTTGTCCTGAAGAACCTCACACCTCAGGTGAGTGAGGGCACAGCTTGGCCAGGAGCCTGCAGGGAGGTTTGGATCCTGTTCCCCTTGCCCTGAGGGCTCAGGCAGGTAGAGACAGTGAGTGATTGTGTGTGCCTCTCTTCCCCCCCCCCCCATGCCCTATCCAGATTGATGGCTCCACCCTGCGGACACTGTGCATGCAGCACGGGCCGCTGATCACATTCCACCTGAACCTGCCCCACGGCAATGCATTGGTCCGCTACAGTTCAAAAGAAGAGGTGGTGAAGGCACAAAAATCTCTCCACATGTAAGTACACCTGGGAGGAAGAGGGGAGGTGCTTTTCTGTCCTGCTGCATTGGGGGGGGCGCGGTGTGTAGAAGGCAAGGATTGGGGCCTCAAGGGAAGCCAAGAGCAGCAGCGTCTAGCTGGCACACTTCCGTGTAAGCGGGTGGTCCCTTCTGATGCCCCTCACTGGGCAGGGCGCAGACGTTTCCCATAAGAAATGTTGGTCCTTAAGATCGACTCTGTTTCAGATACACTGCTGCAGGTGCATTTGCTATGAGAGATGGAGGGCAGGGTAGGATTTAAAAGCACAAAACTCTTAAAATTGCTTTGAGCACAGGGTAGTCTGAGGGCTGCAGATAGAACTGATCTCCTAGAAACACCAGAAGCTGCTTTGGGCTATGTGACACCACTGGTCCATCAAACTCTGCATTGTCCCCACACTGACTGGCAGCAGTGGCTCTCTTTTCAGGCAAGGGAGTCTTCCCCCCCCCCCCAGCTTGCCCTAGAAATGACCTGGGGGGATGAACCTGGGACCTTCTGCCCTGCCCCTGAGCTACGCTGCTTCCCCTGAAAAATAAGATGCTAGTCCTCATGTTTCTGAATGAAGGGCTGGTCTTAACTGGAAGCTGCCTTATACTGAGTCAGACCCTTGGTTCCATCTAGCTCTGTACGGTCTACTCTGACTAGCAGGGGTTCTCTGGGGTTTCAGGCAAGGGGGTCTTTCCCCAGCCCTACCTGCAGATGACATGGGGGGGGCAGTGTTTGAACCAGGGGCCTTCTGCATGCAGAGCAGGTATTCTGCCACTCTCCTGCCTCAGAAGGGCCTAACTGGCGCAGGCCAGAGCCTGAATAGTGGGGACAGGGATGCATGCTGCAATCTCTGTGTGCGAGGAAGGCAGGTGGGCTGGAGTAGCGGAGGATGGGTCGGGGAAGAGAAGATGCTGCCTGCTTTCGAGGGCTTGTGCCCGCCTCAACCCATTTCTGGGCCTCTTTCCGGACAGGTGTGTCCTCGGGAACACTACGATCCTTGCTGATTTTGCCAGTGAAGAGGAGATCAGCCGCTTCTTTGCACAAGGCCAGTCTCTCTCCCCCTCCCCTGCCTGGCAGTCTCTGGGCACAAGTCAGACCCGCCTGGGGCGCCTCGATGGCTCCCACGCATTTTCCAACCGCAACGACCTAAACAGCCACTGGAATGGTGCTGGGCTTTCAGGAACGGGCAGCGGAGACCTCCACGGCACATCCCTCTGGGGGAGCCCTAACTATTCCACAAGCCTCTGGGGTTCCCTGGGCAGCAACGACACCAGGGGAGGGCTGAGCAGCCCGTCCCCCCTCAATGCTTTCCTCTCCGTTGACCACCTGGGGGCCGGAGGGGAGTCCATGTAGCCACCTCTTCTTCTTTCAGTGAACAAAACTGTGACCTCAAAGCAGCACTAAATTTGGACTCCCTCCCCGCCCATCCCTCCCCGCCAACCCGCCCTCCCCACTTGCAGCCTCCAGGGGTCACCTGTGGAAACGGTTACTTCGTGCGCACATTTCCTCCCCTCTTCCCCGCCCCCTTTGTTTTAGCCCAAAACATCCCAGTTTGAATACTTGAATCGTGCAGGCCAATAATTATAATGTGAAAAAAGTTATAGATTTTACACTTCCAGGATATAGTGCTATACATAGTTTAAAGAAAAAACAAAACTACGTAGAATCAGCTTGCTTTTCATGTGTTCCATCGCTTTTTTATTTTTATTTTTATTTTTATTTTTTGCTTTGTGGATTCATCATCATTGTCATCATCATTCTTACTATTTTTGCAACTTGCTGATGATGGAGTTTGAGCTTTCTTAGGCTTTGCACAGACTCTGTCCTTCTCCCTGCCCCACAATCGTCAAGGTGAGGGCAGCAGCAGCAGCAGCTCACGGGTGGCGCTTCCTGGAGGACAGACAGAAGGATGCTCCTTGCTTTGGACCAGGCTGTGCCCCACTATGCCTTGACGCCTGCCTGCCCACCTAGCCGCCACGTGGCGGCCCTCCAGCGCCCAACAATCGAATGATGAGACTGGTACCTAGGATGCCGAGCGGAAAAGCCTTGCACCTGTTTGTTCATGTGGAATTAAACTAAAGAATGGAGCTCTGCAGTTTCTGAAACTGCACGCACAGCTATGACTGGCAACCCGGCCTGCTTGTCTGGGCAGGGGGTCCTGCACTTTCAATAGGCGTTTGGTATTTTTGTTTTTGTTTTATTTTGGGGGGGCTCCTGTGTTGGGGTGCTGCCTTGTTTACAGAAATCTTTTATTTTCCTTTTTTTTCTTTTTCTTTTGAGAAACAATGTTTACTCGACCATCACTTAAATATTTTTTAAAAACAAAAAAAAATTGTGGATGTTAAAAGATGCTTTCTATCTCTGGGAATAACGAGCAGTGTTTGGCCATGTTCCATTTGTGTTTTTTCTATTCCCACCTCCTAAATCTAAGAGCATGGCTCTCAGGAAAAACCAAGGTCCCTACGTAAAACTCCTTGTAGTTTCTTATAGGAAAATAACTTTTAGCACTGATTACCACTTGCTCTGTAAACCTTCTTCTGCCAAAAATTGCTTCAAATCGCTGGAGTTCGACATTCTGTGCTTTCCAATGCTGTCTTTTTAATAGTGTGGGGTGGGAGAGGGGTGCTTGGCTCTTAATCTCTAGTTTCCCCCCAATTTTTGTAAAGCCGGCCCCCTTGTTCCTTTCCTCCTCCCCTCCCCCCCTTTGGTGTGGCCCTTCTTCCTGCTCTCGTGACTGTGTTCAGTGTTTAACCTTAAAGCTGAAGTAACTATGCAGACTGTAACCAAGAACTTGGGCTTACAGAATTTTGTTGTATAAATTTTAAATGTTTTAAAAGTTCCTGCAAATACTTTTCTTGTGAAAGTGTTAAAATCATCTTCTCTTTTGCCACAAATGGTGTTATTACCTGAAGCTTGTTTAGTTGGAGGATGAAAGACTAAACAAGGATAAAAAAAAGAAAAGAAACCAATTTTTTTAACTGTGCTGAAAGACGCTCTCATTTCATTGCCTTGATTCTAACTGTTGTGTCTGAAGATGCAAAAGTCGCCAGTGGCTTTTTAACTGTTTACAAATAGAGTGTGATTGTAAAATGTACAGTTTGGGTTGTGTTCTAATTATGAAGTTTCTCCAGATATTAATAAATCATGACATTTTTTGGCTGCTTACCATGGAACGGTCTCATTCGTGATTTGTATTGTCTGTCCGTGTCTCTCCCCTCCCCCCCCCCCCGGACCCTCTACTATTGGTGCACAGGCACATTTGCTAGATTATGCTAGGTTAACAAGGGTTTAGTATTTGTGTGTTTCCTTTTAGGGCCAGCTCCCACCTTGACAGGACACTTGGAAATTGAGGAGCGTGTGGGGAAAAAATGCTGGGTTTTGGTTTGTTTTTTTAAACTCTGGCGTTTAATACTTCCATTACAGCGACTTGCACAAAACGAAACAGTAACTGCTCTTCCTCCTCGCCCTTTAATCCAGTTACTTGTCCAGCTTTTTCTGTCAAGGAGATTCCTGTCTCCAAATAGGAACTAACTGCTCAGACTTGTCCCAGTGTTGGATTCCAGTGCTGTGCTGTTCCTCCCAAGAGTAACTACTCGTAAAAATAAAAATAAAAATTCCAACACCAAACCAATAAGGCTAGTTTGCTTGACGGTTGAGCCTCCTCAAGCCTTTGCATTGAAAACTGACATCAGCCACCTGCCTTGATGGGCTTGCACTGTTCGCAGGGTTCAAAGCCACCTCAATCTCTGAGCTGGTCAGGTAGAAATTAAAAGGTTGGTTTTGAGCCTGTTGACACGTCCTGTGTCTGACTGGAAGGATTCAGGCTGTCCAGCTTCTCTCCAGGTTGACCAGCTCCATTCCCTCGCAGTAAGAGTGAGGCCTCTGGGCTTTGTGCTGTGGAAAGGAGAGAGAGTGGGGCTCCAGGGATTGTTTTGTACTGGGAATGCCGCAGGGGGCTAATTTGGCTGAAAGGGCCCAACCCCTCTCTCCCCTTCCTGCTGATTTCTGTTATTATTTATTGAATTTATATACCACCTTACACCTTGGGGGGGGGGGGTCTCAGGGTGTTTCACAGAATAAAATCAAGATCTAAAACCACAAAATACATAATAAAAATAAAAACAACAACACAATATCCCCCCTCCAAAAAAAGCACATTTTAAAAGGGCATAGGATGTAAATCAGATCAAAGGCCTGGTTAAAAAGGACCGTTTTCGCCTGGCGCCTAAAGGTGTATAATGAAGGTGCCAGGCAAGCATTCCACAGATGGGGAGCCACTGCAGAGAAGGCCCATTCTCGTTTTCTAGGGTCAGTGAGCAGATGCCACAATGTAGGACACTTACTTTATGGGTGAGCAGCCAGACAACTTACTGGTTGTCGCCAAACTGACCTTGAGCAAAAGTCTCTTCTCGTAGTCTCCACCATAATTAAGTTGCATGAGCAAATTTGTATCTTATACCCACTGGCCCCCTTGGAGATTCATAACAACATGCAAATAAGGTTTTTTTGTTTTGTTTTGCAATATGGAAATGAATAGTTGTGTTTCATCAGAGTTCTGTGCCAAACTACCCTGTGCGCTTCCGTGCCAAAGCGCCACCTCTCCAAACTAGAGACCCACAGCCCAGGGAAGTGTGCCTGGGCCTCACTCACCACTTGCTCCCTGGAGGGGTTGTGCAGAGCAGGGCAAGGGCTCCACTGAATAGGTTCCATGGGCCAGCTGGAGACGGAGACTTCACTGGCCTTCCCGGAGTCTATCATAGGGTCGTTCATGCTGTTGGAGCTCACGTCCCAATGGTTGTAATGAGCGCTAAAAAGATCGGAAGGAAGATGTCCAAGATGCAAAATGGGAGGAAGCCGTATCTACACATGCTAGACTGTACTGGGGCATTAGATGCAAGGAAACACACATTAAAACGTGGAACACCCAACTCTCTTCCTTGGAAGCCCATGACTTTCCCCGAGGAATGAAAGTAAGGCCAGCATTTTGCCACATCCTGCTTAAAAGTGATATAAAGCGCACCAGGATCAACTACGGTGGTGGTTCAGGGAGAAAGAGTTGTAGATTTTGTCAAAATGCCAATGCGGTCCTTCCACCAGCTTTCTGACCGCTCCAGGATTCACCAGAGCTTTTGGAAAAGGGGAAGTAGCAGAAGTAGTTGTGCTGCAACTATTGGATGCAGCCCAGTGTTGTGCTGCAACTATTGGATGCAGCCCAGTGTTGATAGGAACTACTGCCATGGCATATTCTCAGGAAGGATATTCGAGGTGGCCTGCTTCTGAATAATGAATACCAGTTGTTGGAAACCACAAGAGGGGAGGGGGCTCTTGTGCTGGGGTCCTGCTTAATGGATTTCCCATTGGGGCATCTGGTTGGCCACTGTGAGAACAGGATGCTGGAAGGGATGGGCCCCTGGTGGCACCCCTTTGGCCTCATCCAGCAGCTGGGCTTTTCTTTAAACCCTTCTCCACTTCTTAGCAGTAATAAAATATTGGGCTTCAGGCATCTGACCCAACTCTGATCAATGGGATAGTTGGGCATGTTACTTTGACCCCGAATGGTTAAAACCTCTTCTCCTGGCCACCAAGCCAGGATCCCACCAAGCATCTACCCCCATCCAGCAGAAGGAAGATCCGTGGTTAGATCAATCCTATTCCAAGATTTCAGGGAGGGGGAGGAGGAGGAGGACCTGGGGAGAGCAAGCCGAAGGGAGGAAATTGAAAGTCAGATGCTGCCTTGGGAAAAGCAGCCAAGAAATTAGAGCGCAAGGCTGCAGTGTGGGGGCTTATCTCTGCATTTCTGCCGCCGGTTATCAAACTTTTCCTGAGTTCCTCTTTCCATGGCACTATTAGAGGCCTTTATGTTTGGGGAGGTTTTTTCCCTTTAGCACCAAACAAACCAGCATAAGTGGAAAGTTTATGCCAGCTGCTTGGCCTCAGGCCAGCCAGGAGGTTAGCTGTGACAATTGAAGGTCAGTCCTCTGGGCTCAGCCTGTCCTTTCCTTGGGGAGTTCCCACCTCCCTGCCCAGCCTGCTCTCCACCCTGCTGGGCTGTTGCCTGCTGCTGGGGATCAAGCATGATTTGCTTGCTGGGGGGTGGGAAGTCGCTAAGCAATGGAAGCCATTTGCATATGCTAGTCTATATGTACAGAGGGCAAATGAAGGTGGTTTGTGCAGCTCATCTTTTAAAAAACAGGAGGATGAATTTACAATTGCCAAACACAGAGGAAGTTGTCTTGATCTGGTCAGACCGCTGGCCCACCTACAGTCTCCTTCACTGACTTGAGAGCGGCTCTTTGGGGTTTCAAGCTGATATATTTAAAAAATGGGCGTTTGCTTTTACAGCCCAACTCTCCATCAAGGGATTCAGAGTCCATTATCGGTCAGAGAAGAATGGGTGGAGGTAGGAACCAGTCAAAGCAAAGTAGATCTTTATTTTCCTGTTGCAAGTGTCCCCCACCCACCCCCACCTTTGCACAAAGGTGAGGAGCATCCAGAAGAAAGGTGTGTACGGTCTCTCCCAACCCTACCTGCAGATGCCGCTGGGGATTGACCCTGGGATGTTCTGCATGCCAAGCAGGTGTCCCATCACTGAGAAACTTGAAACTAAACACTGTATGCCCCTGTGCCATTACAGCTGCAGTCCTTGAACCCCTTTTCACCAGAACCCTTCGTGCTCCACCCCTTACACCACCCACCATGGCTGCAGTGACTGTTACCTCGGCCGGCCTGCGGCCCCGATGCAGGGGGCATCCTGCGGCTGCTTGCAGTAGCCGTCGGGGCCCATGCAGTCGTCCTGGCAGCTGCAGCAGGCTGTGTCCAGGATCTGCAAGTGCAGCAGTTCTTCCGAGTTGCTGAAGGCTGGGTTGTCCAAGGAGACTGCTGAGGCCAGCCAAGGCTCCGACCAGTAGTGGGCCGAGACATCGTCAAGGCGGCAGAAGCGGCGGTAGCTGGAGGGGTCAAGAGTTTATGATCCCTTATGTTGCTATGAGTCATAGAATCGTAGAGATGGGATCCCCGAGGGTCATCTAGTCCAAACCCCCCCCCCCCATGTAATGGAAACCAATCCAAAATCCTAATACTGCAAATACAATTATTTTAAAAAGCAAAAACAAAACATGCTGAAGTAGCATGTTGTTGGGAAGTCCTTGGTAATTAAAAATTATATGCTGATGAGGGAAGAGGATGTTGCTGAATCTTGGGCGCCAGAGATGGAGGGAGCTGTGGCCCAGCAGGAACATGAGCTTTTGGATTTGACAAATGAACTTGGAAAAAGCCAGATTTGGAAAGATAAAGTTTGGTTTGGTTTGGAAATGGGGGGTTGGATAGACCCCCCTATGCAGGGAAGTTTGGACTTTTCAAGTCTGGCAATGGGCCGTGAGATGTTTGGGGTTGTGGGGGCTCTTAATTTTGGAGGGATTTTGAAACATGTTGTTAAATACCACATGGAGTTTAGTGTGGACTATGGAAAAGGGGCTGATTTGTCGAGAAGGGTCAAAAACATTGTTAAGCTGGAGTTCCCACGAGTGAAAGGAGCAGGAGACAAAGGAAAATACAGTTATAAATATGAAGAAGAGCCGCGGAAGGGACATGGAAGAGACTTAAGGGCCTCGGATACAAGGTTACCAGGTTAATGCGCTAGATTGATGGGATAATAAGGACTGACAAAACCCGAGACCAGGAGGAAGGGACGCTGGATGAAGATTGGATTGTTTTTATTTCTTTTTTTTACTACTAGGATTGTTTTATAAAATTGATGAATGTTAGAAAAATGTTGGAACGAAATTACTTGGCTTTAGCAAAAATGTTTAAAGAATTATGTAAGAATATTATGGTTATGAGAAGTTGGTAAAAATAAGATTTAAGTTTTAAGCTTTAAGGTTCTTTATAGCAAGATAAGAATAAAATAGATTAAGGTAATGTAATGACAGAATATTATGAAATATGGAAAGGATTTGCTGCGACAATTAACAACTAGGATACAAAAAAAAGGGAGGAGGAGGAGGTCAAAGAAAGAAGGTAATGACAGTTGAGGATTTGAGAATGATGGATTTGTTTTTGAGTGTTTGTGGTGTATTTTTGTTTTTTGAATTTGTATTGTTTGATGTGGTTTGTTTTTTCTTTGTTTTTTCTTTCTCTTTTTCTGCTTTGTTCTCTTTTGTAATTCTAAAAAATTTTCAATAAATATCATTTTTTTAAAAAAATAAAAATTATATGCTGGTGGATGGTAGGAAACCTCATAGCAATTTAGAAAAAGAAATTATTAGTAAAAGAAATTAAAACATTCAAAAAAATTAAAATGGCCAATATACGCACCATCATTCTAAAAGCCTGAGCAGGGCTGTCTAAACAAAAATGTTTCTAGCAGCAGGCACAGAAAAGAGTACAGTGGTACCTCGGGTTACATATGCTTCAGGTTACATACGCTTCAGGTTACAGACTCCGCTAACCCAGAAATATTACCTCAGGTTAAGAACTTTGCTTCAGGATAAGAACAGAAATCGTGCTCTGGCAGCACGGCAGCAACGGGAGGCCCCATTAGCTAAAGTGGTACCTCAGGTTAAGGACAGTTTCAGGTTAAGAACAGACCTCCGGAACGAATTAAGTACTTAACCCGAGGTACCACTGTACAATGAAGGTCCCTGCCTGATGTCAAGAGTCTGGGAGTTTCAGACCATAGGTGCCGCCACACTAAAATATCTATTTCTTACAAATGTGGAACAGGTATTATGTGACACCTGTATCAGTGCCAGTTCTGCAGGTCAAAGTGGTTGAGAGGATGTTTATGGGGGCTAGGCAAGATGCCCACAGTGAGAACTTCTGCCCAATCTTTTCATTCTAGGAGTGAGATTGCACTCTGCATATTCTCAGAGCCTAGAAAGGGGATTACACTCTGCATATGCTCAGAGCCTGTAGCCAGAGATTCAAGCCTGGAGTGCTAAAGAGCTCAGGCTGAAATGAATCCCCCCCCCCGTCTCTCTCTCAACACAAAGCTCAGTTACACACTCTCTACCCCCTCCCACCCCACCCCCGGATTTCCCTTGGAGTTCAGCCAGAAGCTGCTGGCTGTTTGCTTTTCCCTTGAAAGCAGGCCTGGCGGGAGGAAATAGATCCCTCAGCTCAGCCTAGCAGCCCCCATCCCATTTCCCACCCACCTGCAGCCCCACACTAGATGGGAAAAGACAAGAGATCTATGGGTGAAGGGTGGTATACAAATCTAATAAATAATAATAAGGAAAGAGCAATAAGTGAACAGCCCCTGTGAGCCCAACAAGGCCCAGAGAAAGGGAAGCAGCAGAGACTCAGCACTGCAAACCGCCCCTGTGGGTGCCCTTTCTAAGAGAAGAGGCTAATGAGGAATGTCATGAACAGGGGGGAAGACATCATAGAATTGCAGAGCTGGAAGGGACCTCTAAAGGTCATCTAGCTCAACCCCCCTCCAATGCAGGAATCACAGCTAAAGTAGCCCAGACAGGCCAACCTCAGCTTAAAAACCTTTGATGAAGGAAAGTCCTTCCCCTTCCAAGGTCAGGGCCAGATTAAGACCTTTAGATGCCCTAACCACCTAACAAGATTTGGGTGACCCTATATATATCCGATTCAAAATACAAAATTCAATTCAAAATATAAACAATAACAAACCATAAAACAAAATTTTATTTATTGAAATGAAAGAAAACCTACAATAAGGATGGAAAATAATGTTTATCTTTGTGTACTTTATAGCTGAAAAGTTTTCTCCTACTTTTTCTAATTGCAAAGTCGTGGATCGGATCCTCCAAACTAATCTTACCTTAACGCATCCACTTCTGTACTTAGTAGAGATAAGACATCAAGCCTGCCTTGTTGCATAGTTGTTCTTTTGGGATTTTTAATAAGTGGACCCTCTGGACCCTCTGGACTTAATTCATTCTGGCGGTCCGTACGTACCCCGAAAAGTCTGCAACATGAGGCGCTGCTTCTGCACACGCACGTGGCGCAATAGAGCGCTTCTGTGCATGCAGCGAAACCCGGAAGTATACATGTCCAGGTTTGCTGGATTCACAACCCAAAAAAGTTACGTTACCCGAAGGTAACGTAACCCGAGGATCCACTGTACTTCAACTGAGAAAACGAATGCTCAGCTGAGCAATTTGTGACCGTTTATTGTCAAAAATCCAGCCATGGAAAATGTCTAACCCTAATCCCCTTCCCTTGATGCCCTAAGCTTGTACTTATTTTGGTCCACGTTTAAACCAGCCCTGTCCAAGGTAGCCAGTGCATGGATTAAACTGGCAGGGAAGGCAGGAAACCAATGGGAGCAGTGCCCCAGTTTCTCTCCCTTCCTTCCACCTCCATGGAGTCCAGGAAGGGAGGAGAAGGGGCAGGGTCTCACCTGCTCTTGGTCTGATCCGCTCTGGCCTCCAGCAGCAGCATGCGAACCCGGCGGATCACCAGGCCGGCAATGGCAGCTCCGACCACCACCAGGCTCAGCAAGAGGCCGCAGGCCACCCCCAGCAAGCCCTGCTGGGTCACCTTGTAATCGCAGCGCACCCCCAGGAACCAGAAGTCGCTGCCCACGGGACACCTGGGGAATGCAAGGGGGAAAGCATCAGATAGAGGCCTTGAAGGCAGAGACGTGTGTGCAAGGGCAGAAGGACCGGGCGCAAGGCCTTTGCGCTGTGACACTCACTGGCAGACAGGTGTGTGGTTGACAGCATGTGTGCAGATGCCCTCGTTCTTGCAGTAGTCGCGGTGGCATGCGGAGGTGCAGACGGCACTCCCGTCTTCCCCGGTGGAGACGCACTCGTAGCCGGCTTGGCAGGCAAAGAGCACGGAGCAGAGGTCCAGGTGCCGCTCTGTAGGAACAGGCAACAGCTCAGAGGCAGAGCCCCTGCTTGGCATGCAGAAGGCCCCAGTTTCTGTCACCAGGTAGGGCTGGGAGAGACTCCGCCCAAGAACCCTGGAAAGCTGCTGCCAGTCAGCATAGACCTAGGTGGGCCCACTGGCGAAAGGCAGCTTCTGATGTGTCTATGGAAAGCAGCCACTTTGTTTAAAGTCTTGAGGACTAGAAACTTGTGGGGAGGGGGCCATTGCTCAGTGGGAGAGCCGCTGCTTTGCAGGTGCACAGGTTCTGTCCCCAGCGGCATCTCCTGGGCAACTGATGTCGGCTGGGTTGGGAAATGGGCAAAAGCTTACCCAACGTCGTGCTCTGCAGCACCCGGGCATTGCCAACCCAGAGCCCCGGCCGCAAGCGCTCCGAGAGGGATGAGCGATTCAGGGCAGCCCACAAGCCAGGAGCCGCTACCAGGAAGAGGGCATCAAATGCCACCACCACACTCCCGGGCCTGCAGAGAGAATAAGAGAATGGTAGAATTGCAGAGGTGGAAGGGTATCCCAAGGACCATCTGAGTCCCATGTAATACACAGAAGGTGGCAGAAGGGGCAGCCCCATCTGAGTCCTGAGATACACACACATACTGCCATTTCTAACACAGGAAGTTTCAGGGCCCAGTCATCACCCATAAGCAAAATTATTTTGCAGGGACAGGTTTTGGAAATGTGACTCATGAATGCACCAAATACTTTAGGAAATTGCTTGAGTTCCACGCATTTTTAAACACCTTCCTGCAACCAGCCTCTCCTGGTGATCCAACTCTGCCATCAGATGGAGCTGGCCAGTAGGTTGCCTTCTTCCCTGCCCACCTCCTGCACCCTCAGAGATTCCTCAGAGTCATCAAGGCCTTCCTAATGGCAGCTGCCTTCCAAGGAGCCACCCAGGACGATTTTGAACTTTTGCATTTTCACCTGCTACACAGTGGTGTCAGTCATTTTGCCCTCCCTGAGCCCTGGGATACGGCGGACAAGAAAACCCAGAGAGAGAGGTGGATGGATGGATGGATGGATAGATAGATAGATGGATGGATAGATACCGGATTGCCTTCACTTCCAGTCGCTGAAATCCCGGCAGAGAATCAAAGAGAGGTGTGACCTTAGAGAGAGAAAAGGGGAAGGGGAAGGAAGGGAAATCAATTAGTCATTGATTTATGGAGCTTCCATCTCCAACCCTTCACCAAAACAGATCCCGGGGGGTTTGCTAACATGAAATAAATCACGCATAAAATACAATTAAATTATAACACCTGCAACAAAACAGACACAATTTATTTTAAAAACCCCTCAGGCATTAAAACAATGAAGCATCATCAGTTCAAAATAATAAACTCTAGGAGGGGCTGGAGAACCTCAGGTCTGGAGATGAAATGTGGCCCTCCAGTCCTCTTCACCTGGCCCTTGGAACTATCATGAGGCCCCACCCACTTTCCCCAGGCCACACCCCTCATTGGCCCATGCTTCACACCCTCCTTGAGTGCTTCTGCCAGGGTGGAATGATTTCCTTGTACTCTAATCATGACTCTTGCTTGCCTGGATGAAGATGAGAGGGAAGGGTGCATAGAAACTAGCCGACTGTTCAAAGGCCAGATTCCCATTTGCAGCCCCGCCACCTTTGCCTCTAGTCCTGCCTCGCCCCCATGGCCATGTGGCCCTGGGAAGGTTGACCAGCAGGGAATGTGGCCTTTAGGCTCTAGGACCTTGGGCAACCCAGTTAAAATCCCACCCAAGTCCTGGGTAAACAGACATGGCTAACCCACCGTTTCGTTGACGCTGAGCACCAGGCCCTGGTACTCGAGTGAGTCGGGGTTCCAGAAGCTTCTGGAAAACTCCATGGCCAGGACCAGCTCACAAGGGATATGCAGGAGAGTGGCTGCAGGAAGGGAGAAGGAAAATAGGACCCACCTCAGGCCAAGGTTGCGGGTGAGGGAAGGAGGGAGAGAGGAACAGAAAGACAGAAGAGATTCTTTAGTAGTGATTCCTGCTTTGTACCTTCCAACTGTATGAATCTACGATTCGATTACCACCTTCAGGGCCCCAAGTGATGGCAGCTGCCACAGCATGGCAGGTTGGTGAGGGTGGATCCACCTGCCCCACAAGTGTAGGGAGCACAGAGGAGAGCCAGGAGTGGGGGTCTTTGCAACAGAAAACTTGCTTCAAAGAGGCCAGTGGCCACAGCTGTAGCTGGACCAGAAGAATGGGTGTAGAAACAGCATTTCTTACAGGTTTTGTTTTCATTTTATGCCCATGCTTGTGGGTTTCCCACAATGGGCACTGGGTCAGCCATTGTCAGAACATGGTGCTCCGTGGGGTCCCGTTTGGCCTGACCAGGAAGTCATCTTATGTTTTTACCTTCAGACCCAGACCAGCTTAGTTCCAGCAAGGTGGTGAGGTCTCCTGTGTGTTAAATTCTACCTGGGGGTGGCTGGTCCATTAGGGCAAATGGGTACGGCTGCTGTAGCCCAGATTTCCTCGGGAAAATCCTTTGCCAGTCCCCACCTTCTGCCTTTTAACTTAACAACCAATCCAGGGGGCAGCCCTGGCTGTCCTCTTCCTCCTCCCCACTTCTGTAAAACTCATGAGGGGAGAGGAAAGGGTTGAAACTAGAATCAGTTAGCTCCAGCTATCAGTGGCCTCTCTCCCTTCAGCCTTACCAGGCCCAACAGGCACCACAGAATCATAGAAAGGGTGTAGGAAGGGACCCCAGGGGCCACCTAGTCCAGGCCCCTGCAATGCAGGAATCAGAGAGAGAAAAATCCCCGTCAGATGGCCAACCAACCTCTGCTTAGAAACCTCCAATGAATGAGAGTCCACCACCTTCACAGACAGTCCTTTTCAGCCCCCACTAAACCTGTTTACAGGGAACTCACCTGCCACAGAATCCCCTCCTAGCTCACCAACCTTGCCCCCCAGCTCAGCTCTGCTTCCCTCCCTCGGTTTGCAGAGCGAGGTGCCCCACTGACCTTTCAGGCGGGGCAGCTGATTCTCTGCCACAAAGACCTGGTGGGCTCTAGGACGGCCTTCCCTGGGCACGGCCGGCTGCAGTTGCGTTGTGGACTTCTCTGGTGTGGCTGGCGAGAGCCAGGTGCTGGCAACGAGAGGTTCCTCCTTTGCAGTGCTCTTTGGTCCTGGAGCTGGCAAAGGCGGCTGTGTGTGCCCACTGCTCCCTGTCGGAGTGGCTGTTGTTCGGACAAGGCCCTCCAGACTAAGCGGAGAACGGGCAATCTCCCTGATGGAGCCACCTTCGGCTGTGGCGCTGGGCCTCTTCACCCATTCCCAGCTCCTTGTCCTGCCTGGAGAGGTCCACAGCCGGTGGGTCACGGGCATGGTCCCAGTGTCTCCTATCTTGCTTGTGGGCACAGCTGTTCCAAAGCCCAAACTGGAGGAATTGACTGCTTGGGAGTGAAGCTCTGGATTCAGCGAAGGAGCTGTGCTCACATCATCTCCCTCTGGAGTGAACAAGGCAGCCTCAGAGCCCACTGGGGTCTTGGTTGAGCTGGGAGTCCAGCCAGTGGGGGCACCCTTTCCTGGGAGGCTGCTGCTGCTGGTGAAGGGCTCTGCTGCCTCTGTGGCTTGCCAAAGGGACCCCTCTCTTGTTGCCTGCTGGGTGGGGCGTGTTGTGGCTTTATGACGGTCCTCCCTGGCGTCGCTAGGCACCCCTGTTCTTTCTCTGTAATTGACAGAGACCTCCATTGGAGTGGGGACCGTGGTGGGCGAGGTGCCTTCTTCTGCAGTCCCCTTGGGTGTCAGCTGCCTTGGCTGTGAGGATGACTGTACACGATCACCCCCTTTCATGGGCCAGGCACTGCCAGCCTCCGAGGGGCTCTGAGATCCAGGCTCTTCTGTGGCTGTGGAAGCCCCACTGGAGGCAGTCTCTGCAGCCGTGAGCGGGTCTGTGGAGTTCTGAAACATGGGCACGTCTGCGCTGGCATGCCCACCTGCTCTGGAAGCTCTTGGTTCTTCCATGACACCACCTGGGCCCACAGACGAGGTGAGCAATGTGGACCCAACAGGGAGGTTGCTGGCAGAAGCAGGATGGGTGGCAGAGTCTGCCAATCTCAGGGGCAAAGCTGTCCCCAAGTGGACAGATGAGGATGAGTGGGGAGCCACCTCTGTACGATGTGGGGATTCTGCAGAAGTAGGCTGAGCATCCACTACAGGCCGTGCTGCTCTCATGGCTTCTGTGGAATTGTGCACCGGGGCTGTTCCACTGGGAACAAAACTGCCTGCGCTTATGGCTTCCTGGGTCGTCTCCATCGTGTGACCCAACCTTGCCCGGGATCTCAGCAGCGTTGGGGGTGGAGCAGGGGTGGAGCCGGGATCAGAGGGTCCCACGGCACCCCAAGACTCATGAGATCTGGTTTCTGGCTCCACGCCTGGTGTGCTGCCCCCTGGCCCCTCAGCACCCACCACAGATGGGGCTGTGCTCCAGCCCTGTGGCAATATTTGTGTTGTGATGGTTGCCACATCCTCTTCCTGGGCTGCCCCAGTATCAGCCACAACCGGCTGTGGAGTAGAAGCCAGAAGAAGGGTCCCCTGAGTCTCTGCAGTGGGTGACTGGGTCTCCTGGGGCCTCAGGCTGCCGGCTCTGGTGGGCATCTTCAGGTCATCTGTAGGTCCCACGCTGCGTGTCTCATTCCCACCTGTCGTAGCACTTGGGGGTCCCTGGCTCTCTAGCCAAGGGTGCTGAGGCTCAGCCTGGGTCTGTGTAGCAGCTTGCACTTTGGAGGCCAGAAGCAGAGAGGGGCTGGTAGACTGCCAGACCTCAGGGGCTTCCTCTCCAGCTCCAGGGCTGGAGGATTCTTCCGAAAGAGAAGAGGGCCAAGAATTTTGACCTGCAGCATCCTTTGGGGAAATGGGCCCAGGAAGCAACGCTGACTCAGATGAGAAGGTCGCAGGCTTGGTTGTGATGAGGGGTGGACTCGGGTGGGGCAGCGCGCCAGCCCCCAATGTGTTCTCTTGAGTGGGGAACTGAGTGCCTCTCCCAGTGGCAGCTGCTGCTCTGCTTTCTTCCACCTCCGTCGGCCTCCTCGGTGTTTCTTCTTGGCTGGCATCAAGGACAGCAGATCCAGTCTGCAAGTCTGGGTGCGAGGCAGTGGGGACAGTAGCATCAGTGGATGAGGGACGATGCCAGGTGGTGCCAGAGGGCTCAGCGCTGCCATGGAGGAGGGTCTTCAGCGTCTTACTGGTGCTTTGCCCTACAGATAGTGAGTCCTGCAGCCCAGAGAAATCTGACCCTGTGGGGTGGAGGGAAAGCAGAGGCAGTGAGCTCCCTGGGGGGAAGTCGAGGGGCAGCACCACCTTCACTGCCACCCCTACAGGCAGAAAAGCGGAGGCATCTTCAGGATCTGAGCTGCAAATGTCAGCAAGTGCCCTTTGTTCAACCAGATGCAAGGAGGTTAAAGCAACCAGATGCAAGGAGGTACCAGGCAGTGGTGTTGCGCTGATGCTACACGCTGGCAGCCCCGGGAGGGTGAATAAGCCAAAGCCCCCAAACCTCCTGTTCCAAAAATGCATTTAAACACAGAGCTCTCTCGGTGCAACTGTAAAGCTCCCTTGTTATTTTTGCAATTGGATGCTGGATGTAGTTGTTTATGCAACCTTGCTATATTTATAGCACTGAAGTGTTTTGTTGTTGTTTTTTGTCTGGTGTTCTCTATACTGTTGTGGTGTTTTGTTGCTATTAGGAAATTATTTTTTGCACTTTGAAATGCTCTCCTCTTTTCTTTGTTGTAAGCTGCTTTGAGCATGGAAAAGCAGCATACAAGGAGAATGATTTGCTTTTGATCTGGTTTTGCTGATTTGGGGGTGGAGCAGCTGCCCTGCTTCTCACCAGATTTCTGCACCATGCATAGACACCACACACACATCTGGACCGTAGTTACACAGTTCTCAATCCCAAGATGAAGTTGGGAACCAAAACCTTATGCAAGAACATGGGGTGGGGCAGAAATCTCCCCCCAGCCTCCCAGGGGCCACAGCGTAGCTATTGGGTAAGAATGGCTCTGGAGCTGCTGTCTCAGTGGCAGTATATTCGACAGAAGCCCAGCTAATAATCCAGAACAGGCGCTCAAGACAACCCACCCAGATATTCTGCATCACTCTCTCCGTGTTGCCAAGGCAACGAGCTTTCTCTGGCACAGACCGCTATCTGACACGGCTGGTTCGGAGGAGGAGGCTGGCACCGTGTCTGCTGTGGAAGAGATCCACGTTTTGTACGAGGAACTCCTGGATCCTCTGCATTCATACCCACACATCCGAGACACAGGACTTGACGGGTGGGGGCAGAGCAGAAGGCAGAGACCCAGGGAATGAGGAAGGGTGTGCATCAGCGACTGTAGGATAAGTGCCACTACTCTTTCCTGCATCCACACACACACAGCTGTGATGTCATCCATCATAGCAAACATCTGGATTCAGGCAGAGCATCATGCACCCCATAGTTATCAGTCTCTGATAGGCTTGCAATGACTACTTCTTGCCTGATTGCCAGTGGGGAAGGAAAATCCTTCCCCGGCCCCCGCCGTCCTCTAAGCAGCCAGGTTGTCCTGAGAGCACTGCATGTCACTCATACAGATGGACTGAGAGAGATAAGCCCAGGCCAGTAAGAGCCTGTGGTATATTAAGCTGGCAGCCAGACCACCGGGCCAGTCTAGGCCGCCCATTACCTTGCTGATTAAGAGTTGAGTGAAACCTTGAAGCCTTTGTACTCCTGCTCTCCACCTAAGGTTGAACGATCAAAGAGGGGCATTGTATCAGGCCTGCATCTCTTGTCCTGGAAACGGGAGGCAGAATATGGCCCTCCATGACTATCTGGCCCTCACCTGCCTTGCCATCTCCTCAAGTGCCCTTGAAGTGTAATGATGTCACTTTGCTTGCCTGGGTGGAAGACAAGAGCTGTGCAGAAATAGCTGGTTTTTGTGTGGCTGGAAAGTGGAAAAGTGGAGAATGGCAGTGGAAACTGCTGTTTTGCCTCTGGCCACACTCACTTTTACCCACGACTCTGTCCACAGCTGGCATGTGGCCCCCAGAAGGTAGCTCGTAAGGCAATGTGGCCCTCAGGCTCAAATATGTTCCCCACACTTTGTCTTATAGAGGAGAAGGTATATACCTAACCACACTCTTCCAAAGGAACAGAGTCATAACTCGCTGCCCTCCTCCCATCCCAACCTAGAGATGAGCATCTAGATGCCTGTTGACGACGTAAGTGTGCTATGAATTTGTCTGGCATTGCTCTCTTCTAAACACAGCCATGTGTCAAGGGCGAGAGCTTCGTTCCTCCATCGACGAAAACCCTAAGCAAAGGTAAAGGAGAGTTTGGGTCACTAGCAAGAGGTTTTTGTTGGGGTTGGTAGGCAAGCATGAGATGGACATATTTAATCTAGGGATTGTGAAGGAAAGTTAGCCAAGGATGGGAGCCCCAACAATTCTGCTGGGATCCCACAGAGGCAGCTGCTTCCTACTGTGGTTCTGTTGCTTTTTTCCTCTTGCGTAATATTTCCATTCTACTCAGTCTAGGAATGCAGCTCTAAGAAAGATACCCAGCTCTGGCACAAAGCCAGCACCAACCCCAAAAGACCTGCCTGCAGCTAACTGCACACCCACACAGATACATCCTCGCAGCACTATAAGGTGAGACAATGTCTTTCTGGATAGGAGTCGAGCAAGGGGACAGGCGGCGGCAAAGGTGCAGATACCTGTAGACAGAGCAGCACCCTGCAGATCAGACGCCTCCTGGAACATAGCAAGGGAGGAGAAAGAAGAGCCATGTGCAGAGTGCTCCTTCCTGCCCCATGAAGGAGCCACAACCAGCCCCCAAAACATGGCAGACATTAGGAAGAACATGGGGCCTCGCAGCCGGGCATTATCCTTTGGGGTAAGACTTGGGGGCAGAGGTCCGGGCCCCTCCCCACTTAGCAGAAGGAGCAGCTGGTATCCCGAAACGCAGCAAGAGCAGCGTGGGACATTTTGAAGCCAGTGAAAAAATGCACATGGTCATCTAAAGGGCATGGTGCTTGCGGGTGCTTTAAAGCTATGAACTCCATTGTCCACAGCTGGAGGCTGCTGTGCTTCTGAATACCAGTTGCTGGAAACCAGAGCAGGGAAGAGCACTCTTGGGCTTGGGTCTTGCCTATGCGTTTCCCACTGGGGCATCTGTAGGCCACTATGAGAACAGGATGCTGGACTAGATGGGCCACTGACCTGATCCAGAAGGCTCTTTTTATTTTCTTTTTAAAATTTGACACCCTCTTCTACTTTCTGCCTTCCGTTGTTTGTCATTGCTGCAGCACCCCCTGTGGTGCCCTTTCAGCTCGGCACACAATGTGGTAAAAGGTAAAGGGTAAAGGGACCCCTGACCATTAGGTCCAGTCGTGGCCGACTCTGGGGTTGCGGCGCTCATCTCGCTTTATTGGCCGAGGGAGCCGGCGTACAGCTTCCAGGTCATGTGGCCAGCATGACTAAGCCGCTTCTGGCGAACCAGAGCAGCGCACAGAAACGCCATTTACCTTCCTGCCGGAGTGGTACCTATTTATCTACTTGCACTTTGACGTGCTTTCGAACTGCTAGGTTGGCAGGAGCAGGGACTAAGCAATGGGAGCTCACCCCGTCGCAGGGATTAGAATTCCCCTAAATCTGCCTCTGATGCTGCTGTCCTACCTTACTAGGCTGTTGTCAAGATTAAAATATGAAAAGCCCCAAGAACATTCGAATGCACTAAACAATTATAGTACTGCACATGGCCATCATACTTATGTAAGCAGTTTAGCTATTTAAAAAAAAAATTAAGTGTGGCATGTAAATCTTCCTAAACGATGAGCAATAATTTATTAATGACTGGGGGAGGGGGTGCAAAAATGTTCCCTGTTGGAAGACCAGGTGTATCTTCCATGAAGGAGGGGGGTGGGGGGCTGCCCTGTGGCTCCCAGATGATGCTGAGCTCTCATCACCCCAAACCAGCACAGCCAAAAGTCTAGGATGATGATGGGAGATGGAGTCCAGACACATCTGGGGGGGGGGGGCAAAGACAAGCCACTTCAGTGATGAAAATTGGGGTGGGAAAATTGGTGCAGCACCAGTGACTCCCAAATTCACCCTCCCCACACCAGCCCCAGGTTCAGACCTGCCAAATCTCCACCACCCACACGGGATACCCGCTGCTGGCAGTTCCAGGCAGGCAACAAGTGGGGGAGTGTGGGGGGTCCTTGGGCGAGCGAGACGCCTTGTTGGGGTGCCCCATGCCTGGGGCCAGTTGGCTCCCCCAGCGGGCGACCTTCGGCTCCAGCGTCCCCAGCGGTGCCCAGCACCTCAGCTGGCGAAGAAGGGCTGTTGCCCGATTTTGGAGGGCGCTGGCAACATCATCCAGAGAAGCGGGTCTCTGAGCGTGTGCAGAGAGCGCCCTAAGCCTTGCCCACCCCGGGCAGACAGTACCCGACGGGGCGGGGTCTTCCCCGATGCCAAGGACAGCGAGACCGATGGCCAGCCGGGCGACCTTCTGGAGCCCTCTCGAGGGAAGGAACAAAAAGAGAAGAGGTCCTTACCGGAGGAGGGGGTGATGGCGAGGCCAGGCTGAGGGGTCCTACCGGCGCCTTGCTGGTCCCCGCGGGGCCGCCGACGCTGCCGCCCGCCTTCTCGGCCGCCCCCCTCGAAGTCCACCTGCAGCGGGTCTGGCAGGGCCGCCGGCGCCGGCGCCTCCTGCCCCTCGACGGGGAGCGGCTGCTTGGGGAGGAGATCCGAGCAGGGGGGCCCCTCGGGGGCGGCCGAGGCGTCCAGGCGTCGCTCGCAGCCTCCGGAGCGCCCTGCGCGGAGAGAGACAGAGGAGGGCAGGAGAGGAGCCCGCGGTACCCCGCGGTGCCCGACGGAGCGCCCGGCCCACCCCGCGCGCCCCTCGCCCGCGCCTTACCTGCGGCGGCCAGCAGGGCCAGGAGCGCCACGAGAGAGCAGCGGAGGCGGCGGCAGCAGCGGCGGTGGAGGTCCATGCTGCGCGCCCGGTTCCCTCCGAAGCGCGCCGCCGTCGCTGCCAGGAAGCGGAGCCCCCCCCCCTCTCCGCCCTGCTCGCCACCTCCCGTGCGCGACACGAGCCAGCGAGCGCGCGGCGGGCACAAAAGGAGGAGGCGGAGAAGCAGCAGGAGCAGCAGCCGCCGCCGCCCCAGACCCGGAAAGCGGAGCCCCCCGGCTTGGAGACGGGAAGTCCCCGCCTGCCCCCAACTCCGGGACGCCCGCGGTGGCACGACGGGAGGAGGCGAGGGAGGCAGCAGCCCCAGAGCTTGCCGGCGCACGTGGGGAGGAAAAGTTGCTCTCTGAACATCTGCAGAGTGCCCTGACTCCCCACGCCTCCCCCTCGAGGGAGGGGCGTGTGGGGCCGAGAGCAGCCAAGGGGGTCTCTTGATTGCCCTCTCCGGGGCAGCCGCTCGGGGACTTCGACTGACGCCCTGCTAGGTACTTCAATCCCAGAGACTCCCTGGCCCTCTCGGAGCCTCCATCGAGCAGGCCAGCTGCAAGGACAGTTCAGGCACTGGTGGCCAAATGTGGCACATCAGGCTTCTCTCTCTGGCCCTAGATAACACCCCCCCCCTCCCCATGCTCCTTCCTCCTTGGCTGAAATGTGTCCTTGAACTCTCCAGTGCCTTCGTTTGCAGAGGTGCAGGTGGGGAAACTAGCTTACCGTAAAGAGGGAAAATTAGCATTAGTTGCTCTGGCAATAGGGTGCCCATCACTGTTATGTGGTTGTCCAGAGGAGCAAGTGGAAAAGTGTGCCCACCCCAACCCCTCTCCCTTGCTTGGAAACCAAGAAGTCACCTCCACGTGGCAGAGCAGGAGCAAGAGGCCTTGGTAGCTGAGCAGTTGGCCACCACTATGTCCCATCATGCTAGCTCAAGGAAGGGTGCGGTGTGGTCCTGCCTGTTGGGGGCCCACAACTCCCACTATCCCTGGCCATTGGCCATCATGGCTGGGGCAGATAGGAGCTAAGGCTTCCTGGTGGGCCACAAAACCCTCACGCCCCTGCTCCAAACACAACAGCAGAGCAAGTCCCAACAAGGCAAAGCTCTTGAATTGGCAGTAACTGGCCACAGAATACATGGGGCTCCAGAGGGCCTTTGCTGAGAATCTAAGCCAGGGATGGGTGTGGGGACCTCTGGGCCAAAGGTTCACAGGACCCTCCCTGAGCCATAGTTTCACCCCTCACCAGCTCAGCTTAGCACATTCCTTGAGCTTTTCTGCCTGGCTGGAATGTGTCCTTGAACTCTGGACACAAAGTCTGGATGGAGGATAGAGAGGGGTGTGTGTAGAAATCAGCCTGCTGTACAAAAGGGAGAATTCACATTCATGGCTCCACCTACTTTTGCCTCTGGCAAGTGGCCCCTCGAATGCAGGCCTCAGGCTGAAAAAGGTTCCCCTTGTCTGACCTGAGCTCAAGAGCTCCTTCCACCTCTTGGCTCACCAGCCAAGAGGTGTCTTTAACATAGTTTGGTCAGTAGAGCATTAGACTCTTCATCACAGGGTCATGGGTTCGAGCCCCACAATTGGGCAAAAGACTCCTGGAGTTCCCCAGATGCAAGCAGGGAGAAGGACCACACCCCTTAAGTGGAAGAGAACAGGAAATGTAGCTGTAACCCTAACCCTGAGACACGTAATACACACATGCTTGGAACCAGTGAAAATCAGAATAAAGGAGTCAGTATCAGTCTTTTTATTTTGGAGGCCAACATATATTACACAGCTTTAAATACAGCAGCCAACAGGACTATTCCTCTGAGCGTAATAGTGATTCAATACAGCACAGAGCTTCCATGACACGGTCCCCTCTTCCTGCTGACATCATCCTAGCCCTCACGACAGAACAAAGTCACCTGTGGAAGGGAGAGGGAGACACGTATGGTTTAGAAACTCAAAAAGATCACCGAGAAGTAATACACACAGTGAAATACTTCCTTATAAACTAGGGGGTTCCACTTCCTTTTGACATGGTTTTGACTGATCATAAAGAAAAGGGAGGTTGTTATAGAGCTAAAACTCAATCTCTCATTCTACCCCCACCCCTAGTCACCTTTTCAACTTCCAATGCCAGTTATTGCTTCCTCTCCACTCTGGAACAGCCTTCACTTACTCTTCTTGCACTTTGCCTTGCATTTTACTTTAGAAAAAGTGCTCCCTTTTCCGGAAAAGCTCTAGTCTAGGGGCATTCAGCTACCTAGTCATAACAGGACCTTTGCTGTGTTCCTCTGTATTTGGCAAAATGTGTTAGGCCAGCTTGCAGTAGCCTCAACTCCAAAAGGACGTCACAGGGGGATGATGTTTCCTTAGCAACAGGGTAACTTCCCACAGCTGCGTGTTGCTTATTCCATGAACATGGAAAGGTGGCTTATGGACACAGATAGAAGGCTGTGTCCTCAAGCAAGTGTAGTAACACCAGCGAGGAGAGGCAGCAGGCTCCCAAGGCCTTCCCAAGCAAAACATGAATCAAATAATCCACCCTCCCAAAGAAGTTTTAACAGGGGCTGCTCCAAGCTACCCAAGATTCTCTATCTAGCAGAGCCCGATGCCTTTGCAGTGAGAAGAGCATGAAGTCCTCCTCAAGACGTCCATCTTCTGCTTCCTTTGCATCAGATGCCCTCTGAATGAGGAGAGCATCACTCCATGCAGGTTTTCTGCCACAAGACCACTGCACACTCCTTCCAGCAGGAGTCTCTACTTACTCAGCTCAACACAAACAATTATTCGTACACGTCCTGCTTATCGGCAATGTAATCTACAATCTCTTGTGGACACATCAGCTTCTCTGCTTCCACATCAGGGATTTCAAATCCTGAAAAAGATGTGGCCTGTTTAGTCCAGAGGTGAAGGAATCTCAGTCAACAAGACAAGGGATCATGCTGTAGTTTTCCAAAGGAGGGGCAAAGGGGGTGCCATGTAGTGCAGGAAAGTTAACAGAATGATCTGTGTCCCCTGGGAGTCAGGGTGTAAACATACAAGAACAGCTCGTAAGCACATTATTGCTTATGAGATTCTCCCGGAAACTGCTTAAAGTGCTACTAAAGAGTAAGGGGAGGGAAAGGGAATTTAACAGAAGCAATTTATCCAACTACCAATGAGCATCACTATAGTTTGGGTCCCCAAATCTTTAAGAATGTAGTATAAACAGCAACAACTGGAAAACACTGGCCTGTAAGCGCTCCAACTGGAGAACAGCCTCTACCAAAGGTGTCATGTAATTTGAAGAAGCACAAACTCGGGATAAAAGGCAGAAACGTGCTAAGAGGAAGGCACGTTTGGCAAATCCTCACCGTGATCAACTCTCACCCGGAAACCTATGGCGCCACTGTGAAAGGATGTGTGGATCCAGAATTGGCCTCCACAGTCACCTACAGACTCACTGTTAAGACCATATTAATGGAAGACAATCTTACATGGCTACAAATGATCACCAAAGAAGAAGCAGTTTGGGTAACGTACCAGGCCCCTTATATCAGTGAAGGCAGTTCAGCAAGCTGGGCTATGCTAAAATGCATGAGCTCCATCTTTTTCCAGTAGTCTTGTCAGAAATGCAACTGGAGATGGACCACAACCCAGTGCCCCCCCTTTTTTTCTAGATGAAGGTAGTCCCTAATTCAGCTACTGGCATCTGCACTTAAAAGGACCAGGGAAACAGCTGATGGGGATGTCTCTCTTTGCCGGAGGCTCTGGAGCGCTGCTGCCAGAGTAGATGATACTGGACTTGAAAGACAAATATAATCTGACCTGGTATAAATTCCTACAAGTCCAAATCACATATCAGTATGCACAGCAGTGCAAGATGGGCGAGCCTAAGCAAGGAAGTGGTGTAATGACCGATGTGCCATGGAGAACTGTGGGAAACACCAATATAGAGAGAAACTAAGTGAGTGTAAATTTATACTAAAAGGTCAAATAAGAGAGAAAAGGGAAATGTGTGCATATCTAAGGAGAATGAAAGGATTGTCACATTAAAAGCCTAGTTGGGCAGTTTGTATAATGATGTGAGTAGCCAACATGGTGTTCTCCAGATGTTGTTAAACTACAACTCACAGCAGCCCCAGCCCAGTCAGAGATGGTGAACAGCACAGCAACATCTGGAAAGCAGCATGTTGGCTATCCCTGCTAGAATGAATGCCCAGACTGCTTTGCCAAAGGAATGCCACAGAGTTGATGTTCCCTGACACTGTGGCAGAGACATCAAAGGGCACACTAGGTGGGCTGTTGCCAATGTTATGGAAGATGAAAACATCTGCATTCCAGGCCTGTCTAACTCAGATGCTCAGAGCAACTGCCCAGGAGTGTTACTTTGTTATGTATTAAATTCTGTTTTTTCTCAATTAAGACTGAGCTCCACAGCAGGCACACTCTGACCTTGTGACATTCTAACAGGCACATCTTGAGATGTATTTGCATACATCAAACACATTACCAAATTCATCTTCCATTGCCATGATGATCTCCACTTGGTCCAAGCTGTCCAGGCCCAGGTCTTTCATGAAGTGGGAAGTTACCGAGAGCTGGAAGACAAAATAGAAAACCCCAAATTATGGTATAACGGACAATGTCAATAACCATCAAAATAATGTCAAAAGTAAGAAAATAGGGGCCAAAGACTCCAGGGAGATTTGGGTTTTATTACATATAGAGGTCTTCTCTCCACTCCACCCAGAACATTGTTCTGACTTTGTTCCCATTACTGGACAATCTTAAAGTGAAATTCCCCCCACCCCTTATTGTTCATTTCCTATTTCCTCTTGGTGTCTGGATGCTCACTTGTTTCATTAAGCCAGAGAGACAACTTTCTTCCTATCATCTGCTATGGCCATAACAGATGACCTGTTTGGGCTGGCACAAAGTTTTAGGAAGATAGGGAACACACCTTTGTGGTTCATTCAAAGGTGCAGTTTGCTCCAGTGCAAAATGTATGTTAATCATACACATGAAGAATCTGGGACTCAAGAAAAAGAGGGTCAAAACAGAAGCTGCAACACAGTTACTCACTTTTTCTGGATCTATCTTATCATACAGTTTCAGGACGTAAAGAACTCGATCTTTGATGTTATCCAGGGTCAATGGAGGCATCTCAGAGTAATGACGACATAATTGAAGCAACGTTCCAGAGACCTATAGGAAAAGCCAGAGATATGTTTTTCATGATTTGGGAATATCCTCAGCACCCTCACCTGAAATACTAACTCTTTACAGGTGACACCTAAAAAGAACTGGTCATTAAAGCTCCCCAGATATTCATAGATGGAGACACTGCAATGTGCATGTTTGATTTTGAAACACATCTCCTGAAAATCTGAGCCTGACAGATCATTCTCAAGCCCTAAAATTTATGGCAAACTAAATGCACCTTCAAAAAAACAACTTTGGCTGAAAAGCAGAGTCTCAGAATATAATTCCTAGGGATCAGATGCCACAGGGAACTCCAAAAGCAGGGAGGGCAGTGCAAGGGGTTTTCCACTGGGCATTTGCTGCCTTGGTGTGCACATAAAATCTCCCATTTCATGGCAAAGCACCTTGCGCTTGTGAAGGAAGCCCAGCCTACAATCCAGGGCCAGTGTGGTTCAGTGCCCAGACTAGGACCAGGGAGACCTCAAAGTTCAAAATCCTCAACGCAGCCACAGAGCTTACTGGGCAACATTGGGCTGGTCTTGGTCTCTCTCTCTCTCTCTCTCTCTCTCTCCTTCCTCACAGGGCTGTTGTGAGGATAAAACGAGATGGAAGAACCATCCTTGCCACCTTGAGCTCCTTGGAGGGGAGGCGTAGCACATACATAGATTCACTTATTTATTTCATAAAATTTACATACCGCTTGATTGCAAAAAACAACAACGGAAAGAGATTTAAACCTCAAAGTGGTAACAAATGCAAGAATAAACGAAACTGGGACTACCCCACCAAGGAAGCAGCAGCAGCAGAATCATCTCCCCATGGCAGCAGTAAAAGGCCAAGAAGGGCCACGAGGGGGAGGCACCACCCTCATGCAGCGGGGAGTCGATGCTGCTTCAGGTTTTGACCCCGTTCTTTGTCGCTATTCTTGATCCAGCTTTAGCTGTGTTAATTAATTTCATTATTTTCAGCCATTTGTTGGTTGAAAGGCGGAGCAGGAAAACGATAAAACGATAAAACCCCGAATCTTGCGCGATCCGCTGGGGATCGGGATCCCCAGCATCGGGATCCCGGGATCGGGATCCCGGCATCGGGATCCCGGGCGGCCTGCAAAGCCCAACCCTGCGCTGCACCGGACGGGCTCCCGCCTGCGCTCTTCACCTGCGGCGTCAGCCTGGCGGGTCCCGGCGGCAGGAGGGGGGCCAAGAAAGCGAGGCGGGAGGCGGGCGGTAGCGGGAGGCTGAGACGTCCGAGCGTCGAGGAGGAGGCGGAGAAGAAGCCGCGGCTCCCGCTGCAGCACCGGCGGCGGAGGCAGGTGGAGGAGAGCAGGAGGACACGGGCCGCCATGATGACCCCGCGAGTGCGCCTGCGCCGACGCCCACAATGCCCCGCGCCAGCCCGCTCGCCCGCCGGGCTTCAAGGGTATTGAGGAGGGGAGGATCCCGGCATGCAGCGCGCCGTGTTTGCATATGCAAAGCAAGCCCCGCCTTCCCCTCAGGCTCACGTGGTGGCTCCTCCTCTTGCCCCGTCCAGTGACTCAAATGACAAGTAACGGACCTCAGTTAATTTCAATGGGACTACTCCGAGTAAAACTGGAGTAGCGTCGATAGCCCTCCAGGCTGCCTCATTGCCCTCTTCCCTCCTGCAGCCCTAAGGTTCACTGCCAGACAGCACCTCCTTTGCATGCAGATGGTCCCAGATAGGGCTGCGGATATTCTTCTGGTGAACTACTGCCAGCCCAGGCAGACAATATGGAGCTAGATGAGCCAAGAGGTCTGACTCAATAAAAATAGATTACAATGTTGCCATTAAAACCAGCCTTTTATTCAGAACAACAGGGACTGGAATCTTTGCCCACTTTGAATCTAGGCCTTTCGGCATGTTATGTGGCTGGCATCTCCAGGAAGACCTAGGAAAGACTCCTACCTGAAACCCTGCCACCAGTTAACAAAGCCAGCCTGCAGGGCACATGGACAGGATGAAACCCTTTTGGGGAACACATGCCTGCAGAGTATGTAGCTGTGTAGTGCATGTGCGCGCACACACACACACACACACACACACACACACCTCCCACCCCCACTGATCATTGTAGAGGTGTGGGAAACCTTTGGCACTCCAGAGGTTGCTGAACTACAACTCTCAACATCCCTGGTCATTGGCCATGCTTACTAGGGCTGGTAAGGGACGCAGGTGGCCAATTTGGGCTTGCTGATAAGAAGGTTGGTGATTCCAATCTGCATGACAGGGTAAGATCCCGTTGCTCTGTCCCAGCTCCTGCCAACCTAGAAATTTGAAAGCATGCCAGTGCAGGTAGATCGATACCGCTGCAGTGGGAAGGTAAATGGTGTTTCCGTGCACTCTGGATTTTTTCCATTCTTTTTATGGGTAACGGTCTGGAAGCCTCATTCCTGTCAATAGAATTTTTATTCTACGACAGACAGCAGGAGGGTAGAAGGGAAGGAACAGGAGGGACCAGTCAGGTGCAGTACAGCACTGCAGATCCTCTCTACTTACTTTGTACTGAGGAGGGCAGGGATCCCCCGTAGAAGCAGAATTGTAGAGTTGGAAGGAACCCAAAGGTCATCTAGCCCAACCCCCGCAATGCAGGAAACTCAGCTAAAGCATCCATGACAGATGGCCATCCAACCTCTGCTTAAAAACCTCCTAGGAAGGACAGTGTACAACCTTCCAAAGGAGACCGTTCCAAACTGTCAAACAGCTCTTACTGTCAGAAAGTTTTTTCCTGAAGGTTAGTTGGAATCTCCTTTCTTGGAGTTTGCAGCCATTGGTTCGAGTCCTACCTTCCAGAGCAGGAGAAAACTTGCTCCATCTTCCATGAGACAGTCCTTTAGAAATTTGAAGATGTGTGCCTGAAATCTCAAATACAGTGGTACCTTGGTAGTCAAATGGCTTGGCTTCCGAACAAATCGGCTCCCGAATGCCGCAAATCTGGAAGTGAGCGTTCCGGTTTGCGAACGTTTTTTGGAAGCTGAACGTCCGACGTGGCTTTTGTAGCTTCCAATTGAGTGCAGGAAGCTCCTGCAGCCAATCGGAAGCCATGCCTTGGTTTTCAAACTGTTTCAGGAATCGAACGGACTCCCAGAATGGATTAAATTTGAGAACCAAGGTATCACTGTACTCCATCCCACTTTCATGCCAGCTATCTGTAGACCATTCTCTGCAGCCCAGGAGGATAATTATGGAGAGGGAGACATCATAATGGACAGTAAAGGATTAGCTGCTCCAACACTTGCTTTCTTCTTCCCTCCCCATTCCTTTTTCCTTTTCTGTTGTGTCTATTACTTCTTCCTTTTCTATTGGGTCTATTACCATTGTGAGGCTGGGTGAATGGACTGTCTTATCTTTCAATGATACACATACAGCACTTGGAAAATTTTAGGCAATTTATAAGTGTTTAGAAACAAACCCGTCACCTTGAAAACTTTATACATTTTTTGAAAAAGAATTTTTAATATTACATTTAAGACACTCCAGAAAATGTTTTTAACAGTTCAAAGCCTGCCCAAGAGGGTGAACAGTAAGAACAATAGATTTTGAACAATGCTGTGCCCAGGGAAGCCCATAGGGGTATGCAGAGAAAACGTTCAAAGTGGATCGTGTCCATTATCAATTCCTGAGACCAGCCTTCTGGGATAAAACTACCATTGGCCCCAGCAGGCATAACTATACTGGCAATGCCAGAATAAACAGAATATAACTTTCTCCTAGGGCCACTTCATAACACTTTTGAAATTGGGTTATTCCTGAAAGCATTCAACTTTTCGGAGAAATGGATCCGCTAGTCCTTACATGTTCAAGTGCAGGAAATCTTGTCCAAATTAACTCATCTAACCAAGCGAGTCCCTCAAAGCTGTTGTGTAACTGTAAATGTAAACACTGCCGTCCTTTTGCCCAGCCAGCAGACAAGTGTCAGTTACAGACCACCTGGCGAGAGACCAGCTCCCTTCAGAGTTAGGGGGCAGCAGAGCCGTGCACTGCCCCCAAAATAAATCCCAGACAGCAATGGTTCCAGATGTTAGCACAGCTGCTGCAGAAGCACCCTTCACTTCACCCTCCAAGTACCTAGAGCCAAAAACAATATCCAGATTAATGCTGCCCCATAACATAACTATTTAAATTTTTTTTAAATAGAACTAAAATGAAAGAGCATAAAGTCAAAATAAAAACAAGAAACACAGAGGACTCACACGATTAAAATCAGATTTAACATTTTTCTACAACTTTATACAAGGCTGTTTTCTTAAAATCACAACAGTGCAATAAAATCTGGATCCTTAAAAAGCCTGCTTAAATAGAAGTGGAAGTTACAGCATGTTTTAATGATCCTCATCATCAACCAGGAAAAAAAGCTGTTTGTGGAAGAGGTCCAGGATGTTCAAAGGGCAGAGAAGGTGGCAGGCAGAAAGTGGTCTGCACTTGAATGATAACCCATCATGACACACGCCAGCAGAGGCTTCATTAGGAACTCCTGACATGAAGAGCTGCAGAGGAAGCAGCTCCCTTCACCAGAGTCCAGGAAGCTCCAGTGCTTAAAATCAGATTTACACAGGAGGCTGGCAGGAAGGAGGCAGTGCCCTCCCAGTGACCTAGAGCTACAGAAGCATCAACAGGAATGTAGCTCCACTGGGCTGGAAAGAAAGTGGAGGAGGGGAAGCATGTGCCTTGAATACAGGACATCCCCGGTCCTTGCTGCGCCCAGTTAACCTTATCAGAGGTAGCAGGACTGGGAGAAACCTCTGCCAGAGAGCCTGGGAGCTGCTGTCAGCCAGAGTAGGAAGAAATGAGCTAAATGGGCAGTCAGATCCCCATACCCTAGTTTGGCTGCAATCTGCTCTAACTGCTGGTTTTATGGGTGGAAACAACAACAGCAAACAACAACAACTTGCCTTCCTGTGATTCCCAGGGGAAGGGATAAGGACATCAGCCTGGCACTCCTCGCTGTCTTGGGGTTGAGCACAACCACCTGGAAGGCAGGGTTCACCCATGAGTTGCTCTCCTTGGCATGCGGGTGGCTCAGAACTACAAACAGGAGGCCCTGATCCACAAGGAAGGAAAAGCAAGTAGAAATGTTAATTCAGCAAGCAACAAAAGTAGCAGCGACTGGTGGTGGAATTGAGAGGAGATCCAGGGCTCAGGAAAGTGGTACCCCCTTAACAAGATTGTGACTCTGTTTCTAACCCACCTCTAAGACTCAAGGCATGCTGCAGTCTGAAAGCTGCACGCAGCTTGCTGCAAACCTGACTGAAAGCAGACCTTCTGTTAAAATCTCAGATCGCGAAACATTTTGGTCTGGCTCTTAGATGCCAATCCAGAAACATTTTAACCGAGGGAACAGAAGGCTACATTGATGGAGACTTTGCTGATGGCCTTACACTGCAATGGGATGTAGGAGGGAAAGCAAGCTCCTAGGAATGCAGAAGTAAAGGGATTTAGGGCCTTCAAGGTCAAAGTTGGACCTTGGTGGTGTCTAGAGCTAGGGAGCTAGTGCAACACAAAGACCAGAACACCAGGGGAGGGCACGGGAGAAGTAAGTGCAAGGGTGCAACTTGAATCCCAGATCCCCTTTTCCCCAAGATGACTTGCTCCTTGACCCAGCCCAAACTGCAGCACTGTGTATTTCACAGAGCAGAACCTGCTTTAAGAGACATACCGAGTCAGAATAGGCTTTGTGGCAGACAGATCCTGGGTAGGAAGAACCAAGGGGCACCTTTCTCAGCAGCTGCCCAGTTGTCAAGTTCCTGCAAAAGGAGAAAGCAAATGTCACCTGCTCCTGTACAGAGTGCAGCAAAAGGGGAGGTGGTGTGTAGAATCAAACAGTGAAAATGTTCTGGAAGGCCTGTAAACACCATCTTGATAGTCAGGATAACCCCAAGACTAATTGTTAGTCGCTGCAAAAATGAGGTCACGTATGTTTATCTGCTTTGAAGCCTTTGTTTTGATTCAGTTAGGAGAGGAGAGACTTCTCCCGCCAGCTGCCTGTCAGCTACTCCCTTATCCAAGGAGATGGATGCGAGCTGGGAAGGGGCCTCTAAGCCAGGGGTGTTAACTGGGCTACTGATGCCAGCTTGCGTAGCTTGCTTTGTGTATAAGTAATGCTTAACATAGTAGCACCTTGCAGACAAGTCATGATGGCTGCTTGCTGTTTCGGCATCTGCCCTGAGTCTGTAAAGGCAGCAGGTCTCTTCAGGCTGCGTTGTAAGTTTACACCTTGCTTTAATAAAGCACTAGAACTGACCATTCTGCTGTTTTTGGCATCGTTCTTTGGCATCCTTGCACCAAACCACTTGAACAGGCCCTCCTCGGGATAAATGGCCATGAAGGCAGCCTGGGAAACAAAACCCTGCCTCTGAGAGAGGGACAAGTTACAAAGAAGGGCCTGTAGCTCAGTGGTAGTGCACCTGTTTTGCATTCAGAAAGTCTTGGGTTCAGTTTCTAGCCCCTCCAGGTAGGGCTGGAAGAAACTCCCCAGTCTGAAACCCAAGAGAGTTTCAGTCACTTCTGGATTTCGATCGTTTGGGAGCCAAACATTTGAGAACTAGGCTGTTCAAAAACCAAGGTACAACTGTGTTAGTATTATTATTAGTAGTAGTAATTTACCACTCCATACCCACAGGTCTCAGGACTGTCCACAGGAAATCCACTATCAATCATGACTTTCTGGGCTTGCTAAGATTAGCATGTTAAAAATACTGTTTCCACCCCACCCCAAAATTTAAAAAATATAAGACAAACGCATGCTGTTGAATTACCAAGTCTTAATTTTTAAAAAATCATTTAAAAATATTTAAAGTGTCCTTTACTAGTCTCCTCTCCCCACAAACAAATATTTCCTCCCATGTGAGTGGGGGTGGAATATACGTTTATAGAATTGCAGTGTACCTTTTTCTGGTTTCCTTATGAAATATAAGTCAAACATCAGAGTCTCATTAATTTAGGACACTTGTAAGTTTTTAGATTTAAAGAAAAACTTTGTTCTGGCAGTGGTGCAAGTAAACTCTATACAGATGCTTACCAGACCACCAAGCAATCTGTGGTAGTCAAGGCAATCAAAGCCTCCTCCATCCCATCCACTTCAGCAAAAGCCAAAACAGTCTCTTCAGGAGGCATCAAAGCCTGCCTCTCTTTACTCCTAGAAACAAAAGAAACCCCCAGGGATGTTGAAACCAAGCTGAAAGAAGTAGAAGACGCCTCAAAGACAGCAAAACACCTTTTGTCTCCGTTGCTGCTCCAGGAGATCAGTGGACCCCCAACACCAACTTTCCTTTCCCACTGCTGCTGCCGCCACCTCTCACCTTCCTGTCTCAGAGAAAGAGAGGACTTCCACTTCTTGGTCTTGGAGTGACCCACAACTACTGACCAGCCTCCTATTCTTTAGTCCAAGAACAGCATTTATGTTTCCAGTTTTGACGAGGGGTTGTTTAACACAGCCATCTTCAGAAGAATAAAACAAGAACCTAGAAGAAAAGGTGACATGGTAGCTTTTGGCCCCGATTCCAAGCATGGTTGTAATCCCTCCCTTATGTCAACGACACTTACTTCAGGCAGGTATGCTGAGAACCTTAGTGTATTGGTAACATCTCTGTGCTACCGTGCAAGAAAAACAGGGTTATTTGACAAGGCAGTCCTCATAATTCCTTGCCTCTGTCTTACAGTATGTATTGTGAACTTTTAGTTTTGGGTGTATTTATGTTCACTACAAAAAGGGTCTGCTATGTTCAGCTCTTTTAGAGAGCACTGCAAGGAAATTCTGTATTTCTGCTTCTCCCAAAGGCCACGAGGTCATTGATGGGAGGTTTCCTGTGTCTTTTTCTATGCATAACTGTGATAACACAGTAGCCTGTAGCACCGCTTGCTGAAAAGGTAAAAGGTAACTGTACTGGTCTGTAAGAAGCATTGCAAAATCCGCATTAGAGCAATACCTTTATTAAGCCAGCTGAAATGTCGCAAAATACTGTGCAAGCTTTTGAGTTCTCCAAAACTAACAACATAAAAAAGGCCCTGCTGAATCAGACCAAATACCAAAGGCCCATCTTGTCCAGCATCATAGAGGCCAACCAGATGCTTCTGGGAAGTCCACAAGGGGAACCTGAGTGCAACTGCAGCCCTCTCCTCGCTTGTGATTCCAAACAACTTGTATTCAGAGGATGCTTCCTCTGAAAGTGGAGGTAGAACATAGCCATCATGACTAGTAGCCATTCATGGCCTTATCCTACTCTTTTAAAGCTATTCTAGTTGGTAGACATAACTTCTAGGAGATCTCCATCAGGCTAGATGGCAAGCAATGCAAAGTGGGGTAGGGGGAGAGACACAAACGAGGTGCGCTTGAGAGTCTGCACACTATTTTGTGACATATCAGCCGGCCTAACAGAAGTACAATTGATGAGTTATTAATACCCAAAGAGCAGAGCATCATGTTATAAGAGGGTCAGTCTCACTTCTCTGCAGCAGCATTCAGAAATAACCACAAAGACTTAACTGTCAAGGTTCCTTCCTCAAGGCCACAGCAGTAGAGCCGGCCTCTGCTCAGAGCCCAAAAAGCGTTTTTAAAGTAACACTTAAGGTGCACAATGATTATGTTGCGGAGGAACACACATTTTGGATCTCTGAAAACAGGCACAACTCACCTGATCTCTGAAATCTCCAGTCCTCCCAATGCAACACACACAAGGCTCTGGACACCTGGAAGAGGGACAATCTGAATGACCGGAACCTGGGGAATCAGAGTAACAGGAATCAACTCTCTTCCTCCTCATCCATGCTCCCCCTTCCAGGACAAGAAGAGCCTGGCTGCTGGAAGAGGCCAAAGAGGACACATCTAGTCCAGCATGCTGCTCTCCCAAGGGCCAACCAGATGCTCCAATGGGAAGAAGCCCAGAGCCAGTTTTTGTTTCCAGAAGTTACTCAAGGGCAACTGCAGCAAATTGTTGGTGCTATGATAGCCATCATGGGGCAGACCACACATATTCTATTTCAGCAGGAGCAAAGACCCCTTCTTTCTAACCTTTGTAAAGTGCCAGGTGTGCACAGAGCCCCAGTGGCCGGTCTCCAGATGCCTCCAGAGGGAAACGGAAGCCTCACAAGCTGTCACAACACACAGTGCTGTGAAGTCAGCGGCCTCCCACCACACGGTGCCCACGTCCACTGAGCATGAGCCAGAGCAGCTCTGTACAAAACAAGAGAGAAAGAATCAATAGGGGGAAGGTGGGTGGGAGGGAAATATTGCCAGCGCTCGCAAATCATGTGCCACAAAGAGCTTCCAGCAGCAGCAGAAGCAGTAGTGGGTTGGTGCTCCCCTACACAGATAAGCAGCTTACTGGACACGTGCAGGCACCAGACCAGTGGCTAGCTCAATAAAGGGGCCGAGGCTCAAGCTTGCCAGGAAAGCACCTGCACATCCAGGCCTTCCTCCCAATATGGACCAGATGTGGTCTCCCAGTGCTTCACTTCTAAAGGCCTTTCCCCTGTTCATGCCAGACGCCCTGACGACGTCAAGTACTTGCACATACTTGAACCCGGCTAATCCTGCCCTTCCGCTTCCTCCCCACCTCTTGAGACTGAGAGGGAGAGCACACATGGGCACCCAACCACAATACTTCTGTCCTCCGCACACACACATGCAAAAAAAAATCAGCATTCTTGGCACTATCCTGGAAGCCTGTCCTAGGAAAGGAGAGTGTGATGGGAGGATGCAAGAGAAAGGAGAGCACCCAAGAGGGTGGGGGTCACTGTGCCACTCCTCTCACTCCACAGGCAAGTGGCTATCTGCACCACTACAATATTTTGTTACCTATTCATAACCATTTCTGAGCCGATTAATTTTTTTAACCCCTAAGCAGTGTAAGCTATGTACAATATAAATACAATCTCCATTATAATGAAAAACCCAAACAAATAAAACAGAATAAAAGCATATAAAAGGAAATATAAACGAAAGCGTGAATCAGTCCTAGCAAGCCTGAATAACATTGTCCATGCAGGGCCCAACCTCCAGGGGGAAAAGGACACATCTGTGTCCAGAAGTAGGTAGAATCGGAACAAGGCATTTTTTTAAAAAAAAAGTGCGGACATGCTTTTACATCAATAAAGCACTTTTTTAAAAAGTGACATGGTTTTCTTCTTTAACCTTTAGTTTTGAGGTCATCTGCAAGCTCCCTTTTCTCTGGCTGTCCTCCACTGGGTCTTCTACGGCCACTTCGTTCTGCGATAAAACATCAAGGTAATAAAATGAAGAACCATATGGCTTCCAGGCAGCAGAGTTCCCACCTGCCTCTTAAGCACCAGGCACCTGGAATGCTAATAGTAGGTTGATAAGCAATGCAATAATTGTTAATTAGTCAGATAGGTACTTGATGTTTGGCTAGATTTCTTTGGTTTTATTTAATTGGGGTGTACTGAGTTGCCAAAACTGTAAGTGTAATGTTTTAATGTATCATATATTTTGATGTTAGCTGCCCTGAGCCTGGTTCCGGCCAGGGAGGGCGGGATATAAATAAAATGTATTATTATTATTATATCTGCAGAAGTGTGATTTTGGACAGACAAGGGTACCTAAGCTTGGCTCAAGCACAGTTGTCCCAAATCAAGATTCCTGGAAGTAAAGGTGAAACATGAACTCTCAATATTCCAACCCCTTGTACGAGGTTGGGAACCTTTGGTGCTCCAAATTTTGTTGATCTGCAACTACCATCATGCCTAAAGGGGCTGTTGGGAGATGCAGTTCAGCAGCATGTGGAGCAACAGAAGTCTCCCACTCAAGGTAGGCTATACATCTGTACCAAGGATTTATGCATGAAAGATACTGCCTAAGGGCAGAAGCTTAAACTAGGCTGCCTTCTTTTGGACGCAAGGGTATTCCGTACCTAGTAGGCTAAAAACCAACAGTGACTTGCCCCTTGCTGGGAATGGTCTTGGAATGCTCATAAACATTCTACCTGCTCAGGGATAAGGTTTCAGCCACAGTACCCTGGCAATTGATGCAGCTTCTGTGAAAGAAAAGTTGATCTGGCTGGGAAAGGTGGGGGGACTCTCACACAGGGGTGAATGACTAGTGTTGGCAGAAACCGGCTGAGTAGGCAGGAATGTTGAGGGATGGGTAGCTAAGGGGACCCAAGTGAACTCCAGGTGGTGACCAAAGAAAGGGGGCACAGTAGGCGACAAGAACCTGAGGAATGGGCAGAGACTGAGGGATGGAGGGAGAAACAGGCAAGACATAAAAGCAAAGAAAGGCAAAGACGTAGAGAGGCTGTGGGAAACTTAGGCAGGGCCAAAGAACAGGGAGTATCATGGAGTTCTGGAGGCAGCCAAGAGAAAGGAAAGAAAGAGGTACACAAGGGAGCGAGTTTTGATTATAACTGCAGTTCCTGGAAGGTCAAGCCTGCAGCTCTGACAGAAACGCCTCTGCTTTCTCCTTGGGAATCCCAGAGACCTCTACAATTATGACCGAAAGCAGAGAGCAGTTAGTACTACCCAGCAAGAGTGTGCGAGCACTGATTGATAATTACAGCAAAATGTGGGTGGAGTGAGTAATAATGTTCAGCTGCATTTTTAGCTGCTCTTTTGTTTTATTGAAAACTCTTAATTATATAACTTGTGCTGTAAATATGATGCTCTGCTCTTGTTGATTATTGTTTGTACACTGTTTGGAAAGCAGCACAGAAATTGTATGAATAAACCAACCAACCATAGGCTCCTCTGCTCTTTCTTCCTGTTTGGGGGATTCCTTGTAACACTCAACAGACTCGCCAGCTGATAGCAGCCTTTCTTCAAAGCTGGCCACGTCCTCATCAGGCTTCCAGCTCTTTTCCCTTTGGCCTTGTGACCATGAGGGCATCCTTTCACCACCTCCCTCTTCTTCCTCTTGCCTGCTCCTGGGCAAGGCAGAAATACCTGCAGAGTCCCCTGGCTCAGGGCTGGCATGAGCTTGCAAAGCAGATGTGCCAGGTGTGCCTGGCAAGGCCTGGGAGGCTGGGGTTGCCCCCAGACGGGGGAAAACTGGAGTAGGCAGCTGGGACTCTGGGACACCCTCCAGGGCTAGAGAGAGGAACAACTCAGTTGATGGAAGAGCTTTCCGAGGGGAGCCCACTGGAAAGGGTGGTTCTTTTTCCACGGAAATGGGATTCTCTTCTAGTGCTGAATCTTGCTCAGCGCCAGCCCCACTAGTGTCCTGGAGGCACTTGGCTGACTGGCCAGTGTCAAAAGTCTCTGGCGGATTTACAGCACAGGCTTTGAGCTTTTCCAGTTTAAGGAGCCCAAATTCATCTTCAGGTAGGTGGAATTCTTGGAGATCTAAGCCACAGGGCAGCCATTCAAGACTGGACATCTTACTTCTCTTGCCGTGAAAAGGAAGGGACAATTTGGGGAAACCTGTCCCAAAGAGGTAAAGTGAGGTAGGATCCCGAGATTCCACAGGCAGGCTGGCCCTCCTTCTACCTGCAATCACAAAAGAGAAACAGCTTAGCCTGTCATTCACTGCAGTCATGAGGATCTTACTCTAGAAGGGCTCCTGGGATCTTTAAAGCCACTCTGCTTCAAATTAGCAGCAGGAGACCTGTTGGTTCGAAACATGCTCTCAGTTGTCCTGTGCTGAATCACCCAGATGCTCTAAGCTGTGAACTCCCCTGCATCTCAGGATTCTCCTGGAAGAAATGGACAGATGCAAAGGACCTGTGTGCTTCCAGGTACATTTTGAAAAGCCTTGTCCTCTGCCCCCATCCACCAGCTCAATAAGGCCCCCCAAAAATGGGGAAATATCAAAGGCCACCAAGAGGCCTGTAAAATGAGCATATAGTGATCAAGCTGGAAATCCAAAAGCCCTCCCCATCCCCAATTAGTATGGGGCACAATCAATCAATCAATCAATCAATCAACCAACCAGGGAGCTCCTCTTGTGTGCCAGCTGCACAGCACCTCCAACTCACTTCAAAGGGAAAGGGACCAGTCACAAAAAACTTCCGAAGGAGATCCTGCAGGTCAGCCCACCCACCCTCATGAAAATACGCCACCTAAGGGAGCTTCCTCAACTTGCCTCATGGGGAGGGGTCTCCACTGAAGAAGCCAAGCCAGTTTACACAGCAAATGAGCAAAATATTCCCGAGGGGATATTTACTGAGGCCTTTCATGAGAGCCGTTGAAGAAATTGGTGTGCACTGTGGTGCCCACAAATACTGCATTGGCGACCCTTGCTCTAAAGGGACCAAGTAGAAGCCCCCTCCCCAAGCTGCCCCTGGGTGATGAAGCTGAACGAGCTCTGGGTCCAGGGGGCACATACCTCGGGATGCTCCCCTCCGCTTGCATTTCACAGAGGCAACTTGGGGTGCAAAGTGAGGCAAGGGGTCTCTATCCACTTGTGCCAGATTGACCCCAGCGTTGTTCCGATTCCCAGCCTGCTCAGGAGACCCACTGTCAGGACAACATGTCTTGTCATTTTCTTCCAGGCTTCCCATGAAGCTGGAGGGAACACTGGCCTTTGAGTTCACCACCTGTGAGACATGGACAGTCTCTAACTCAGTCTCAGGGTGTGTGGAAGCAGAAACTGCAGACTCTGCCGGCCATTTTCTGCCACTCTGCTTGGATTCCGCGCTGCCACCAGCTGTAATGTAAAGCACTGTGGCTTTGTCTCTTCCATGGTGGTTTTCCTTCCTTCCCTGAGCTTCACTTGGCACAAGAGAACTCTCAACCTTGTGAATTGTCAGCTCCACGTTCTCTGCTGGGTCCTCCGCTGTGCAGGACATGGCCTTGTGATTAGACCTCCCTCTCAGCCTTCTCTTTCTTCTGGGCTGCACTAGGCCTTCACTCTGTACTGGATCCGCACTGGAAGATGTGCTCTCATTAGAAAGAGACTGAAGAGGAGAAGCGCCAGGGCTGGCACCAGAATCGGGAAATGGGAAAGGAACAGCCTCCCTCTCCTCACCACTTTCTGTCTGCCCTTGGGAGGACGACAAGGCTGGATCTGTGCTCTTCTCCTTGCACACAATTCTCTGTCCTTTCCTACTTTTGCCCAGCTGGGTTTGAATGACGGCCGCCAAGTTCACCTCCCTCTGTTGACTGGACATTCGCCGTGTTGTCCTTACGTAATACTCAACAGGAAACAGGAGCCCCTCAACTACTGTGCAAGAGCTCAGCACATCCTTAGCAGGTGTGGCTGGAGCCCTATCCAGGAGGGGAGATCCAGTTTCTTCAATCTGATCCCCTAAACCCTTTCCACTGGGCTTGCTGGTGGGAGCGTCACCGCCGCTGAGCTCCAATTTCTGAGGTTCCTGGCATCGGCTGCCTTCTTGCTGCATTCCATCTCTATGTGTATGAGAGGGAGCCTCAATGGTCACAGCTAAGCCTGCAAACCGGTCTGCCTCCTCCTCCATCTGTGGAGATTCATTCTGCATGTCTGCAGGTGACACAATATTCTTGACAACTGGACCTCCAGAGCTATCAAACAGGCCTTCCTCACAAAGATGCTCAGGTGAAGACTCCTGGCTTTCACGCGACAGATCATGAAGAAAGGTGGTTTGCCCAGATGTTTCCTGTAAACAATCCAGATGCAGCAACACAGGAGAAACATCGCTGCCTCTTCCTTCTTCAGCTGTGTTCCCTGAGGAGGCCACTGGGATGCTATGGTCCATCCATAAACTGTCACTTCTGTTGAAAACTGGTGACCTGGAGCCCTGGGAGCTCTCTGGCTGGGGTACCACATTTCTCAGTGGTGCATCCCATGTAGATTCTTCTTTCTCCTCCAAAGCCAAAGATGCTCTCTGTTGCACTTTGGTTCTACTTCTTGACAAACTATTCTGGTTTTTCTTAAGAACAGGACTAAAAAGAACCCTTTTGTGGTCCTGGTTGCTACACGAAGAACTCAAGTTTCCTAGCAAGCTGTCTTCTTGGTTGAAGGCCTCAGGCTTGAAGGTGACTGAGGCAGCTTTTGCAGTGCTCTTCTTTGAACAGCCACCATCTGTGAGGGAAAAAATAACAGCACTCTCCCATCAAGGAAGAACACAGCACAGCAAAACGAAACACATTTTAATCAAAAAAGTTGAAAACTACAAAGGCAGTTTAGCATAAAACTGTTTCACTTCCTAAAGAGTGGAGAGCAGAGTTCAGGCTTGACAAATCTACTTTCCTTTTTTAAAAAAAAATTAAACCCAGAGATTCATCAAAGAGAGTCAGGTACAAAAACCACTTAGAATTAAATAATTGAGTGCTGAGGAATTTCTTCTGAGTGCTAGAACTGAGCTCACAGTCCTTGTACAGTGGTACCTCCGGTTACGGATGGGATCCGTTCCAGAGGCCCGGCCATATCCCGAAAAGTCCGTAACTGGAGGCGCCCTTCTGTGCACGTGCCACATTTGCAACCCGAAGTTTGCGTATCCAGAGGGATACGTAAGAAGAGGTACGACTATATACAAAAATACCGCTTCTGGTTAAACATACATATGGTATTTTCTTCAGATTAGCAATATGTGGGAACATAGAAAGCAGTATAACTAGAGGAACAGCTGTATAATATCAGAGCTGTATAATATAAACTGGATTATACTGCATCAGACCATTGGTCAATCTGCCTACTGACTACACTCCTGGCAATGGATCTACAGGGTTTCAGGCAGAGAGTCTCTCCAAGTCCTACCTGGAGATTGAATCATGAACCTGGTGAATTCAAAGCAGATGCTTTGCCACTGAACTGCAGTTCTTCCAAATGTTTGATCTCAGCCTAGAAGCGTGTGATAAAAAGTGTCTCTGAAAATGTCTGGAGCACATCTCCCCTGCACAGTTCATTGTGGCTTATCCATGGATCTCACAAGTAGAAAGCAAAGGCTTCCAGTCCACCCAGCACAATTTTTAAGATGGCTTTAGTCCCAGTTCCCCTCATTTTAGAAAATAAGCACTCACAAATACCCCCCGAGTAAGGGGCTAGTTCTGAACTGGGACACCAGGCCTCATCTGTACATAGCCAAACAGAAAATGTGCAGGATTCTAAGTGAACAGAATCCAAGACCCCAACATGCAAAGTTTTGGAGCAGAAACAACAGAAGAAAACTTAATTTAAGTTTTATGGCATCTCCCTGTAATGGTCTCACTTAGTCCTCAGCCCAAGAGGCCTGCCCAAGCACAGCATTGGGTGCAATACTTACAAAAAGTGCTCTGCCTTTTGGGAAAGGTAGAGTGAGCCTATAATACAAGAGTGAGAGCCATGAAGCAATGACTTCATCAGGGCAGATAAACACCCAAAGAACCATGGATCTGCCTTTCCAGGCTTACCTGCAAGGTCCCCTTCAGCTTCCTCTTGCATAAGCAACAGGTTTTTCTCTGCAACCGTTTTCTTGACATAGTTGTTCACCTTTTCAGCTCTTTCAGCACGCTACAAAAACAAAACAAAACAAAACAAAACAAGGGTAATGGAAAGACTGGTGCTTAATCAGATGTGCATCCATTTTCTGCCAAAAATGTTATTATTATTATTTATTAAATGTTTATATCGCTCTCCATGAGATGATCACAGGGAGGGGTTATAACATAGAAACACAAAAATACACACTATAGTAACAAACAAAACAACACCTCCCCCCCCCCCGTTTAAAAGGCCATAGATTGCTTAATTAACCAAGGCCTGGAAGAAGAGGGATGTTTTTTGCCTGGCACCTAAAGATATGTAAGTAAGGAGTCAGGTGAGCCTCCCCAGGGAGCACATTCCACAAGCAAGGGGCCACTGCAGAAAAGACCTGCTCTTGTGTTGCTGCCCTCAGGATCTCTTGAGGAAGCACATAGAAAAGGGCCTCAGGTGATGAAACATCTTCCCCAACTGAAGAAATCAGTTGCTTATAAGTCCTTGGCAGGCACTATTGTTTACTTACCTGTAACCTGTGGAATGTTTTGCTGTATTCTCTTTTCAATAAGGCCAACTTTTCTTTCAGCTGGAAGACAAAGATGTTACAAGGTGGTCACCACAAGTTGTTTTAAAGCAATGTTTGGGAAGGCAGCAGCTACATGAACTGCGTTGCCAAACACTCGGTCTTGCTGGAGGAAGGAGGAACACAAGAATGCACACCAAAACAATGTACTCAAAATGAAGGGTTCTGTGTAACTTAAAACCGCATCCCCAACAGTATAAACAGGCCTCCCTCAATCTAATGCCCTCCAGGTATTTTGGAGTGCAACTCCCAACAGCCCCAGCCAACACAGCTGTATGATGTTGGGGCTGATAGGGGTTATAGGCCTAACATCTGGAGGGCACAAAGTTGGGGGAGGCTGGTTTAAACAGATCCCCAAAAGGAGTACATAGGAAATTGCCCTATAGTGAGTGAGATAACTGCTCTATCCAGCTCAGTAGTGTCTCTACACTGAATGGCTATGGCTCTCCAGGGTCTCAGGTAAGGGCAGCTCAACCTGGAGATGCTGAAGGTGGAATCTGGGACCAGCTGCACGCCAAGCAGTTGCTCTACTGCTAAGTTATGGACCTATATATGGGCCAGTGGCTCTCCAGGATTTCAGACGGGGTCTTTCTTACTCCCACCTGGAGATGCTGATGGGAACTGAACCTGGGAGTTTGTGTGTGCAAAGCAAGTGTTTATATTCCTTCCCTACAAAGTAAGATTCCATCTAGCTCAGTATTGTCGACACTGGCAGTGGCTCTCCAGGGTTTCAAGCAAAGGTCTTTCTGACTCCCACCTGAAGATGCCGGGGGACTAAAAACAGGCGCTTTTTTTGTATGCAAACTCGAGTGAGAATGTTCTTCCAAGCCATGATCTTTCTCAACCTTGGGTCTCCCAATGTTCTTTAACTACAACTCCCATCATATCTGACCCCTCGCCATGCTGGCTAGGAATGATGGGAGTGATAGCCCAGCAACATCTGGGGACCCAAGGTTGAGGAAGAATCCAGTCCACATGGTTCTAAATAAACAGCTGGTTTAAGCAAGGACATAGGAAACTGCCTTACACAAAGTCAGATTATTGGAGTCCATCTAGCCCGTACTGTCTACACTGACTGGCAGCAACTCTCCACGGTTCCCAGCCCTATCTGGAAATCCCACTCATGGGGCCTTCTGCGTGCAAAGCACATGCTCTATACCGCAGAGTGAGGGTCTTCTCCCCTGTCCCGCCTCCTGAAATCTCAACCACAGAAAAAGAGGAGAAGGGCGGGCCTGGGCGGGCCTTCCTTCCCCAGCTGCCAGGCCAAAGCCCCTCTCTTCAAGAGACCCTCCCGCCCTTTCCTCCTCTGGCCAAAGCCCCTCCCTCGCGGCCCCTCTCGCCCGGCGCCCACCTGGGCCTTCTCCTGCGCGTTGAGGGCCGGGAAGTGGCCCCGCGGAGGCTCCATATTTCCCGCTCTCTGCGCGCCACGCACCTCGCGCCAGCTGCGCCTGCGCAGTAGCTGAACCAGCGAAACGGCGTCCATGGAAACCAAAGATTCGCCTGGAGCGAGGGAATGTCTCTGCGCATGCGCCATGTCAAGAAACGGGAGCTAGCGCCATAGAGACGGAAGGTAGAGCGGCTCGTTCCCCCTCCCGCGCCGCTGTCACCCACCGACTTAATATTGCGCTTTATTCTCCGCAGCTGCGACACCAGAGCGTGCCCAACAAAGGGATGTCTCTAGTCAGAGCCGAATGTTGAAATAAGACAGGGCACCATGGAGAATAAGGCAAGGGAGGGGGGAGTCGCCTTGTTTCAAACAGAAACCGGAAGTAAACGTATTCACGTCACTTTCGTCTTCAATCATTGGCTGGCAGTGTTTGGAGGCCTCCGGGACGGTCTGTGCTGATAGGCTGCAAAGTCTACGGCCCGCGGGAGGGCGGAAGTGGGACGTTTGTACGGTAGCCCCGCGGGGACAATAGAGTCGGGGAGCCGCTCTGGGTGTGACGCGGGGGCTTCGCGATGGAGCTGAGCGAAATGCTCTACAACAAGTCCGAGTACATCGAGACGGTGCGTGTTGAGTCAAGGCGCTAGTCCTCTTTACCCGGGAACCAGGCCCGTGGGAGTGGGAGAAGCATCGCCGTGCCAGGGCGCTCACCTCAGAATAATGCATGAAACGTATGGAGGCAGAGCGGAGGCCACAATTCGTTCGTTTCCTCCTCCCTCCCCGCCTTTTCTCCTCGCATGCCTTGCCCTTTTTTTATTTTAAGGCTACGGGCGAGGCCGCCTTTTTTAAAGTGATATATAAGCCGCTCTGGAAGGCTGCCCCCATTTTTTTGCCTGAAAAGCAGGATGGAAAGTGTCTAAATAATATAATAGCAGCAAAGTGCGGGTTGTGATGGTGAGGTCTGGAAGGGCCTTTGGCTAGTGCCTGAAAGGCATACCCAGTGGAGCCAGAAAGGCCCTCTCTCTGGACCCCCAACCCCACTCAGCTTCAGAGGGTGGGGGCATGCGGTGAAGAGTCCTATGCCATGATCACTGTACATGGGCTAAGGTGACCCTCTAGGTACCTGGCTCCTAAGCTGGTAAAGGCTTTGAAGCAGACTTCCCTGGCCTGGTGCCCTCTGGCTGTTTTGTATTCCAAAGCATCAGTAGGGTACCTGATTGCTGAAAAGGTAATAGAAATGGCTATTTGGAAACTAACCAACACCTAGTGAAGCAGTTTCAGTACCAGCAATGTGTGTTTCCATTGGCTGTTCCCAATTAATAACCAGTTACCATGATCAGGAGGAGGGCTGTTGTAATTCATTGGTCAGTCCCTGCCTTACATGCAAAACCCCCATGTTCAATTCTCAGCTTCCTTGGGGTGGCTAAATAGAGAGCTGTTGCCAGTCAGTGCTGAGGGAGGTGGGACAATTAATCTGACTTGGTATAAGCAGCTTCCTATGAGCTTATATGTTATTGGGTTGTGTTCATGCAAAGCTGCTAAGAATTATTTTTAATGCACAGTGAAATAATAAAATAATAGCACAACAGCACTTAATTATCATATCAAATGAAACACACCCACTCACCCTTGAAGTTTGAGAAATACTTAGAGGCAGGCACCCCACATGTAACATTATGGTAGTTAATCTGGAGGCCATTGGGTTACAGATAACTATGGCCTTTTGGTGCTCTCACCCATATTGCAAAGACCGCAGGGCTTTCGCCCAAGTACCTTCTCTAAGCTTTGTTTTGCTAATCATTTCTGCCTTTCTCTATCTCTTTAGGCATCTGGGAACAAAGTGAGCAGGCAGTCTGTGCTGTGTGGAAGCCAGAACATCGTGCTCAATGGCAAGGTGAGAGGCCCTTGAACTCCAGAGGCTGCCTATGGGACAGGGTAGGAAGGGATTGTAAGTGCAGTGAACAGTTCATGGCCTACTGATAGATTCAAAGGATGGAAAATAAGACCTCTTGTTCAGGTAGGCCAGTGATTCCCAAAGTGAGTGGTAGTGCTCCCTGAGGGGGGGCAGTGGGATTACCTGGAGAGTACTAAGAGGCAAGGGGGCTCTTGAGGTGGGCCCCTTCAAGTGTGTTGATTGCTTATTTACATTGACCAGGCTACAGCAAACTGTGAAACACCTTTCTTCCTTCATATTTCAAGTTTTACTGCTCTCATCATTTAAAGCCATTCAAAGCCATTTCCTAAATTTATGTTTTAAATTGTTTCTATGCTTTTTTTAATTGTGAACCATCTAGGGAGACTCTTTAATGCAGCATAAAAATACTAAAATAAATAAAAGATAATCTTGACACTGGCTGCACCTGGGGGTGGTTCTTACAGCAGCCAAGGAAGACGAGCCATTTAGTGTGTTGTTCACATTTACATGAAACCCATCTTATTTGCATGTTTCTCAGGGTCCCATCAGAATGCCATCCTGCTTTGAGAAAGCTCCAAAACTTCAGTAATTCTCTTCTTTCCCATTCAGACCATTGTCATGAACGACTGCATCATCCGAGGGGACTTGGCCAATGTGAGAGTTGGGCGCCACTGCGTGGTCAAAAGCCGAAGTGTCATCCGTCCACCTTTCAAGAAATTCAGCAAGGGGTAGGAGTTGCTTGGGACAAGGTGGGAGGGCTTCCTTGAAACAGGGTAGTGCTGAGTTTTGAGTTCAAGGAGCTGGGTTCCTTAATAAACATACAATCATCTAGACTGATAATCCCACTGCTCAATTCCTTTTGATATCTTCCCCCCTCCCTTGGAATATTCTTTGGCAGAAGTGACAACTATCCATAGGAGATGATTGAGAAATCATCACGTACACATCCCAACTTCAAAAGTGTGGGGGTTAGTGAAGGTGACCCATGCTGCCTGGCTCCATTGTTTCGTTCCATTTTTAGATTAATGAATTTGAGTAGAGAAGAGTGTATACCATTTTTTAGCCTACATATCTGTAGTTGGATAGCTCCAGCAAAGCCCCAGCAACCAGCTGCTCATCGGGGCTTGCATAGTGCTGTGTTTGCTCACCCACATGGTTTGATTTCAGTCATGATGCCATGCCATTGACAGACGAGCAGCCCCTCCCAGCTGTCAAACTTGACCCATGGTTGGTGGGGGAGATTACCAGTCCCACCAGCTGAATCTACCTCCTCACTCGATATAATTGTTCAAAGAGTGCATGGGACCTTTCCTGGTGATGATGAGCCTCGGGGGATTAAGGATCCCACATACTTGGAAATGGATACTTTGCTGAGAGGGTGACTGCTGTCTCAGTGGAACTGGGAGGAGACCTCTGCATTGGCCTCTAGCCAAAAGACAGCAGCCCTAGACATTGTGGGGCTGGTGTACTACCTTTCATCTGGTTCTTGACATGGCTGCAGCCAAAACCTAAGGACAGTCAGAGCGGAAGAGCTTTGCTTGGAGGTTGCCAACTGTGAGGAATTCGGAGGGGGGATCCAGGAAATCTTTGTGTTCTTCCTTGCCAATCCCTCTTGGGCGTTGGTAGCTCCTGGGCATGCTGCATGTTGTTTGATCAAGCTTTGCAAGTCATCCTCACCAAATTTGTTATGGTTCTGGGGCTTCAGTGATTAGATTTTATTTTATTTTTGGTGGGGTAGGTGTTGCTGGGTATAAATCTGCCCCCCCCCAACACACATGTATATTTCTTCTTCAGAGTTGCATTTTTCCCTCTGCACATTGGTGACCACGTTTTCATTGAAGAGGACTGCGTCGTCAATGCGGCTCAGATCGGCTCCTACGTCCACATAGGCAAGAACTGCGTCATTGTAAGTGTGTCTCCCCTTGGGCATCCTGCAATATTTATGCAGTATAACAGTCCCACTGAATTTCAGGCAGTTGCACAGGGGCCAAATGAACCTAAGAAGACCCTGCTGGACCAGGTCAAAGGGGGCTCATCTAGTCAAGCATCTTGTTCTCATAGTGGCTAACCAGATGCCTGTGGGCAACCAGCCAGGGTATTTATTTGGCTCAGAATAAAGTTTTATTTATTTACTGCATTTATATGCCACCTTTCCTCCAAGGAGCTCAAGGTGGACTACATCATTCTCCTCTACCCTGTTTTATCCTCACAACAACAACACTGGGGAGATAGGTTAGGCAGTCACCGGCCCAAGGTCACCCAGTGAACTGCTTAGCTGAGTGGGGATTTGAACCCTGGTATCTTCCAGGTCCTAGTCTGGCACCAACCCCTACACTACACGGCTCTCTAGTTCACCCTGAGGCTCTTGTAAGCCTGGGTGCCTAAACAGATTACACCACAGTTCAAGATCCACGTATGCACCCATTCAAATGGAACTTCCTGGCCATGTCCATGTTTGGCTGGGGAGGCAGGCGGAAGCTGAGACCCATTCATATGCCAGAGATTTCAGCTTGTGGAGTGGAGCCTTCTGCTCCTGGTCAGCTGCTTGTTGTGGCTGCCAAACTCCAGTCCCAGCTGCTATGTTCCCCTCTTGTCTGCAACAGTCCAGGGCACCAACTAATGGCAGGAGGGTGGGGTCATGGCGAAGGGAAGGGCTGTGGCTTGGCAGGCCTGTCAAGAGATTTCTGCAGAGCTCGACCTGGGACAGCAGCAGGAGTTTGGTCTGTGCAGTTCTTTTTGTGTTGTGGGAAGTGGACACAACTTCAGACCGAGGGAACTGAGAAGCAGGCCCCAACTTCTGTATGCAATGCAGATGCTCTAGCACTGAGCGTTGGGAAAGGGCCATAGCTCATTGGTGCAGCATCTGCACTGCATGCAGAAGGTCCCAGGTTCAATCCTCAGTAGCATCTCCAAGTAGGGCTGAGAGAGATCTCTGCCTGAAACCATAGAGAACCATTACTTCCAGTCCGTGTTGACAATACTGAGCTAGATGGACCAAGGGCCTGATTCAGTATAGGGCAGCATCCTATGTTCTTATGAAAAAGTTATTGAGTGAATATGTGTGCATAGTTCTGCACCGCACTGGATGAGCAGCATACCAGTGAAAGGGCTGATAGCCAAATCCAGTCACCTCCTGTCTTCATGCCTGGGCAACCCCAGGATATGGGTAAAAACCCCCAGTAGAGTCCACTCCTTGTAGAGATCAGAGAAAAACACACACACAGGAAGCAGGATTCTTCAGTATGAGTTTTACTGAGGCTTAAATTCATACAGGAACTTACTAGATTCCCAGTAAGGCAAAATCTTTGCTCCAAAACGCATCCAGTTACAGAAGCAAAATCACACAATATATATGGAAACAAAAGTAAAGAGCAGGATGAAGGACAGAAGATAAACTGCCCAGCAGACAGGGGTATGTATCTCCCACTGAGGCAGTGACCTTGACTAGATAAATGCAGCTGCAAGCTTGTTCTGTTGTGCACACGCTAGAAAGTTCAGGAAGATTCTAGTAGATTCTACATTCATAAAACTTCCATCCCTGACAGTTAGAACCTCTCTATGCACCTAACCCTTTCTGAACAGACTTAATGAAGCCATTCCCAATTAACAGCCATGGGGCTGTATCTAACTAACTCCTGTTCAGGGTAAACCCACTGAAGTCAATGAACCTAAGTTAGTAACGTCCATGACTGGTAATGGGTCTGCTCTGAATAAGGCTAACATGGGGTACAATCCAGTGATTCATCAGTGTGTGAGAGAAACACAGTTTGTCTGAGAGAAAAAGGCATCATATCTGTGTAATGTGGTTAGCGATAAAAGATACACCCAATACACCTATAACACACAATTTCCATGGCTGAGTGTAAGAACATAAAGAGTCTGCTGCTGGATCAGGCCAGTGGCCCATCTAATCCAGCATCCTGTTCTCACAGAGGCTGAGCAATTGCCTATGGTAAACCAGCACACAGAATGCAAGAGCAGCTCTCCCCTCCTGTTGTTTTCACCAACTGGTATTCAGAAACATTGCTGCTTCCAGTTGTGTAGGTACAGCATAGCCCTCATGGCTAGTAGTCACTGAGAGCCCTCTCCTCCATGATATTGTCTAGCCCTCTTTTAAAGGGCCTTCTTTAGCAGTGGCGCCCTCCCTATGGAAAGCCCTCTCATCAGATGTCAAGGAGATAAAGAATTGCACAACTTTTAGAAAACATCCGAAGGCAGCCCTGTTCAGGGAAGTTTTAATGTCTGACATTTTATTATTATTTATATTTTTCTGGAAACCACCCAGAGTAGCTGAGGAAGCCCAGCCAGATGGGCGGTGTATTAATAATAATAATAATAATAATAATAATATTTTATTTATATCCCGCCCTCCCCAGCCTAAGCCGGACTCAGAGCAGCTAACAACAGTAAAATGATACAACATTCTAAAATCAGTTCATTATAAAATCAGTTCAAATCAGATTAATGGCAACCATTGGGCTAGAGTTCTGTGAAGAATTGCCAAAGGAGGGGGTCAGGCTGTGCCTGGAACAGCTCTGTCTGGCAGGCCCTGCAGAAAGATGTCAAGTCCCGCAGGACCCTAGTCTCTTGTGACAGAACGTTCCACCAGATCAAAGCCGCAGCCGGAAAAGCCCTGGCTCTGGTTGAGGCCAACCTAACCTCTCTGTGGCCCGGGACCTCCGAGATGTTTTTGTTTGAAGACCGTAAGGTCCTCCGTGGGACATCCCAGGAAAGACGGTCCCGTAGGTACAAGGGTCCTAGGCCATATAGGGCTTTAAAGGTTTAAAACAAGCACCTTAAACCTGATCCTGTACTCCACCGTTTAATAATAATAATAATAATACTAGTTATCCAAGTTGGTGGCCATCCTGTAGCAATATGGCTGTGAAGCTGTACCCACGGGACCTGTTGACAACTTGCCCAAGTGCCTGTCGAGAGATCCCAGGAGAGTGTATCAATCTAAGCCCCAATTGTAGCAACCTCCTCCTTTGTCTTTCACCATCCAGCCCTAGTATTAAAAAAAGTCCTGCGTGACTCAGTGTTTGCACTTTAAATGCCACTTGGCTCCCCTGCTCTTTTGTCAACGGGCATTGCATCGGATCTCTCCTGCCTGCGCCCTCTTTGTCAAAGTGGCCTGAGCTCAAGCGCCTGCTGCTCGTGGGGGCTGCCCTGAATAAGCGCTTTGTTCCCAGAGTTGGCACCAGTTCAGAGCCCCTGGTTTGTCAGCCTTGCTGTTGCTGGGAAATGTGAAGAGGACAGCCAGGATAGCTTACCTGAACAAGATACCGCTGTGGTTTGGCATATGTGGAGATACCTGAGGAGGGGGCATGTTTCTTGGACACAAGAAGAGCCTGCTGGATCAGGCCAAAGGAAGCCCACCTAGTCCAGCATCCTGTTACCACAGTGGCCAACCAGATGCCTGTTACGGGAAACACTTAAGTAGGACCTGAGCACAAGAGCCCTCTCCTCTCTTGTGTCTCCCAACTGTGGAGGCAGAGCATAGTCATCCTGGCTAGTAGCCATTGATAGGCCGCCCCTCCATGAATTTGTCCAGTCCTCTTTTGAAGACATCCAAATTGGTGGCCATCACTGCCTCCTGTGCGAGTGAGTTTCACAGTTTAACTATGCACTGTTTTGAGGAAGTTTAACTATGGGCCATTTGGAGAAAGACTTAGTTTTATCCGTCACGAATCTTCCAATCTCCCTGAAAAGTGGGGTGGACTGTCTGTGCCTCTTTAAAGAGAGGGCACGTCCTGATCTCCCAACGGAGTCTTCCTGGTGGGAATGATTCCCCTCTCTGGCAGCCAAACCAAACAACAAACTTCAGAACGAGGTAACTCGAGAGCTCTCTGAATCTCTCCCACGTCCCCACCTGAGCAAACATTGTTAGGTTTTTATTTGCTGAGAGAACAGAGCTTCTGGCTGTCCAGGGACTGCAGTGTGTGGGACGTGACTCCCGCTTAACTGTCCCAGAACCTGCCTTTGGCACCTGACCTGAGCAACTCGGCTCCTCTCATGCCCAGGAACTGCAGCCCAGAGGCGTCTGAAGCAAAAACACACATTTGCCAAAACAGTAAAAGATCCGGTGTTAATCACTACGTTTTGCTCACCTGCTCAAGCAGGTTCTATGGGAACTTCAGCTGGAGTGGGGGAGCTGTGTCCCTGCAGATGGAGTTGGACTATACTGTAGTTCTCATTAGCCTTGACCATCTGCTGCATTGGCTGGAACTGGTGGATTTGGAGGCATGGTTTCCCCAGCCTTGAACTAGAGTGTGGTACAGAAAAACATAAGACAGGCCTGCTGAATCAGGCCAAAGGGGGCCCATCTTTTCACAGGGACTAACCAAATGCCCCAATGGAAAGCTCACAAGCAGGATCCAAGCACAAGAGCACTCTCCCGGTGCTTTCCAGCAACTGGTATTCAGAGGCATCCTGCCTCTGACAGTGGAAGTAGAACAGAGTCGGTGGCTAGCAGCCTTCAATAACCCTCTCTTCCATGAATTTGTCAAATCCTTTTTTAAAGCCATCCAAGTTGGGGACCATCATTGCCTCCTGTCGGACTAAGACCCGTAGTTTAACCATGCAGTTACACACTTACACACACACACACACACACACACACACACACACACTTGGTGCCTTTTCATATCTTTTTATTCTTTGTTGGTTGGTCTGCAGGCCACACCAAGCCCCCCCCTCTGCTTTCCTCCCAGCTGTTCCTGCTGGCTGTTGGCTCTCTGTGCCATGTATGGAAAGGCTTTGGACCTCCCAGATGTTGCTGAACTACCACTCCCATCAGCCCCAGCAAGCATGGCCAATGGCCTGAAATGATGTGAGTGTTAGTTCAACAACAGCTGGAAGACCAATGGTTCCCCACCCTGCAGCTGGCCAGGTGCTCTCTCGTTCTTCAGGCTTGCTGGCTGTGCACGCTCCCCTGATCAAAGCTCCCTGCACATTGTAGCAGTTTGATTCCCTACCCAAGATTAGTGCTGCAAACCACACACAGAATTGTAGAGTTGCAAGAAAGTCCTGTGGGCCACCTAGTCCAACCCCCTTCAACACAAGAATCACAGCTAAAGAATCCTTGACAGATAGCCATCCAAACTCTGTTTAAAAACCTCCAATGAAGGAGCGTCTGCAGTACTCAGAAGGAAAGTCCTGTAGTGCTGCAGTTAGTGAGATTGCCAGTTAAGAACAAAACCACCCACTTGGATGCAGTTGAGCATTGGGCTGCCTGCTGGCCCTTTAAGCCTGGAAGTCCAGGGCATGAGTGGCAGGTGGAAGGGTGGGAACCTGGGGCCTGTTCTAATTCCAAACTGACTTGTGGCACATCCTTTTTAGGGTCGCCGGTGCGTCCTCAAAGACTGCTGCAAGATCCTTGACAACACAGTCTTGCCTCCAGAAACAGTGGTCCCACCTTTTACCGTCTTTGCAGGCTGCCCAGGTAAATGGAGGGAAAAAGGGGGCGGGCGAGGCCTGCCCTATAAAGCTGTGTGTGCCTCACTCAAAGTGGGACAGTGACTACACAGCAATGGATGTTCCTTAATGCCAGGCTGGCTGCTCACACTCCCCTTCACCCCCAGGGCTCTTCTCTGGAGAACTTCCCGAGTGCACACAGGAGCTGATGATTGATGTCACCAAGAGCTACTACCAGAAGTTCCTGCCTCTCACCCAGGTCTAGCTGTCTCCACCTGGCCCTCCCATGGCCCTCTGCAGGAGGAAGAGTGGGAAGAAGCTTCGGCGTGACTGGCGTGGCTCGTGAGAGTTCTGCAAGAAGCTGCCTTGTGTAACACCATCTTCCCTTCTTGGGCATCCCCTTCATTCCTCTGCCTCACACCCTTGCCCACGATCTGGACTGTTCTGTCCCATATGGGAGGCCTTTTCCCGCTGACCACCGTAGCCCTGCCACTGACCAGCCTGGACTAACCCCACTCTGTACTCCTTCACTTGTGAGAGACTCGCATGTTATTTATTTATCCCTAGATCCAGGGTGCATTGGAACGTGAAATGGGCAGAGACAAACCTCCTGAGCGGGAGGACGGACGGCCAGCCTACAAGCGAGGGGGGGGTCTGTGTGCTTCTGCTGTCATCTCCCCCCACCCAGCACATTCCTAATTAGAGGCCAAGGTGACCAGAGGCCCCTCAGCACCCTCTCCTCCAGGCAGGTGCGTATGTAGCCTCCCTCCCTGCCTGCCACCCGCCAGTGGGGAAGGCTCTGCTCCCTGCCTGGACAAGATGAGAAAGTGCTCATCTATTTGGCCCTTGAAGGCTTCCCAGCAAGCCTCCATCTCCACTTCATACGACTGTTGTGAAGGCCATCGTAGATGTGGGACATGCACTGTGACCCAGATCAGACTGTCCAGACTGTCCCTTTATCAGCTGCATATTTTTCAGGCAGCGAGAGATATGTGACTCAGAGAAAAGGGTGTCGCTGAGGAGGTGACCTGGCACTTAACCATAGCAATCCACTCTTGAACACATGCCCTCGGCAAGCAGCTGCTTTGACTCGTTTCCTCCTGCAGGGGGTGGCTTTGTAGAGGTTGTTTCAGAGCATAGGGCTTGAGTGCAGGCAGGAGGTGGGTGGCCTTGTGGATTTTGCACAGGGGTGGGGGTCCCTGCACAGGGTTATGATTGCGGGTAGTATGTCTGGAAGGGCATAGGGCAGGGACAGGGCTCCTGTGGTTCTTCGGAAGCTGCTAGACTCCCAACTCCCACCTTGCCTGACCAAGCTGGCTGATGGGAGTCCAGCATCAGCTGACAGGCCACAGCTTCCTCATGGCTGGGTCATCTGCAAGAGAAGGTTGTGTCCTTCCCTTTAGGGTAGACACTGCTGGAAAACATGAAGGAACCAGCTTCCATCTGGGGATGCAAATGACTCCCACCCCTGCCATATACGCTCTGCCGATCCTTTGCTTCTTTCCAGATCAAACCCCGTCCATTGGTTTGGTGGCTGTGCGCATCCCTGGTTCCCACCCAGCTGCTTCCTGAATGTTGGATACAGGGCCAGCATACTTGCAGGCAGGCGGGCGGGTGGGTGTGCTTCTTCTTTTCATCTGTTCTACGACGCGTACAGCTTTGCCACCCATTAACTAGCCATGACCTCTCCAAACACAGAAGCCTGGAGGAGCTGCTGTTAACCATCGCGTCACTGTCCGCCTTGTTTATACTTTGCTGTCCACAAATTAAAATCCTCTCAAGTAGGTCAAGTGCTTTGAAGTGGTAATTTTCCTCCAACAAATCTTCTGGAAACAGAGCGGGATAGATGGGAATGTCCTGCTGGCATCACCATCCACTGCTTTGGCGGGGGGAGGGGGAGGGGTAGTGCTAGCTGCACCTCTCCTTGGTGAAATCTCGAACTGCTGAATAAATGGGCTGCTCAACCAGCCACCCAGACTAGTCCAGCCTAGCTACCTGTAAGTGATTCCACACATAGAATTCTAGAATTTGGGAGGGACCTCAGAGGTCATCTAACCCAAATCCCTCTAGCGAAGGAGAGTCCACCAGGGGACTCTGTTTCCTCTTACTTTGTGTTTAAAATGGCCTTTCAAAGAGCTTTTGCAACAAGAGATGCCTGTGTCAGCTTGACCTCCAGAGCTGTTGGCATGGCACCGAAGGCAGTGTGGAGGCGGCTTCCATCCTCCAGGGCTGTGCTTTTCAGAGGGTGGCCTTGGGGTACAAATCTCAGTGTAGGCAGGAGGGCTTTTGCCTCCTTGATGCCTGCTGCTGCTCTCCTTGATGCCAAGTAAGGAGGGAAAGGATGAGCGCCCCCCCCCCGGGTTCTTTGTGCCAGGTCCTCCCTCCCATGACAAACAGCTGCACATGGCGGTGAACTGGTTTGAGCCTGTGCTTCCTGAAAAGAGCCCAGTTTGGACCCAGTACCTGAAACGGTACAGACCCAAGGCCCAGCAAACTTATCATGGGGCTCTACCAAATACCCTGCAGTGCAGCAAACTCCTCTTATGTTCTGGTGGACACCCGCTTTATTTAATGGCATCTGCTGTTGGACCGCTGCAAGGCCCGCCATTGGAAAAAGACCATCCTTTAGGTGGCCAGGATCAAAGCTGCTTGGGGCTTTAACCCCGCCCCCAGCTCAGCTGGGTCCCACAAAACCAGCTTTGCAAATGCAGCGCTGGAGGGGCTCTTAGCCAGCTGGGTGGGACTGACCAGTTGGGTGACCCAAACTCGGGCAATATCAAGGGCTCCTTTCCAGCTGCCCAGTTAACCAAAGAGCTTTCTTAAAAGCCTTTTTTTAAAAAAAATGATATTTATTAAAGTTTCAAAGAATACAAAAATTACACAAAAACAAAAAGTAAAAATACAAGAAAATACAAAATACAGAAAAAAGAATAAAGTTTTTAAGATATAGCAAAGAAATGAAAAATAAAAAGAAACATACAAAATAAAAACAGTTAAAAACACATTAATTTTCCATAGCATATCTTCCTTACACTTATTTCCCCGAACCTCATCGTACCTCACTTTTTTGTATTACAGTTCAGTTTTTTATTTGAGCATATCCTTACCATTAAGCTTTTACCCATTTGTAAACCTTTTTCGTATCTCTTAAAGCATTACAGCTGGAAACCACTTAGTTTCTATCCAACATCCTTCTAAGATTCCTTAATTTTACAATATTTCTGTAAATAGTCTTTAAATTTCTTCCAGTCTTCTTTCACCGACTCTTCTCCCTGGTCTTGGATTCTGCCAGTCATTTCTGCCAATTCCATGTAGTCAATCACCTTCATCTGCCATTCTTCCAGAGTGGGTAGATCTTGTGTCTTACAATACTTTGCAATGAGTATTCTTGCTGCTGTTGTAGCATACATAAAAAAAGTTCTGTCCTTCTTTGGCACCAATTGGCCGACCATGCCCAAAAGAAAGGCCTCTGGTTTCTTCAGAAAGGTATATTTAAATACCTTTTTTTATTTCATTATAAATCATCTCCCAGAAAGCCTTGATCCTTGGGCACGTCCACCAAAGGTGAAAGAATGTACCTTCAGTTTCTTTACATTTCCAACATTTATTATCGGGCAAATGATAGATTTTTGCAAGCTTGACTGGGGTCATGTACCACCTGTATATCATTTTCATAATATTCTCTCTTAAGGCATTACATGCTGTAAACTTCATACCTGTGGTCCATAACTGTTCCCAGTCAGCAAACATAATATTATGTCCAACATCTTGTGCCCATTTAATCATAGCAGATTTCACCGTTTCATCCTGAGTATTCCATTTCAGCAGCAAGTTATACATTCTTGACAAATTCTTAGTTTTGGGTTCTAACAGTTCTGTTTCTAATTTTGATTTTTCCACCTGGAAGCCAATTTTCTTATCCAAATTATATGCCTCCATTATCTGATAATAATGAAGCCAATCTCTCACTTTGTTAGCTTTCTTAAAAGCCTAAAGCTGCCAGCAGTGTGCCCGAAGGCTCTCCCAGTTGCTCAATGCAATCTCTCAACAGCTCACAAATATCTCTGTGTGTTCCCCCCTTAATCTCTCTGTGTTCTCAACTGAACATTTCCTGGACCGTGCAAGTGATAAACGGCCGGATTGGAGGGCTGGCCCTGGCGTGTCCCATCAGAAGGGCTGAGAGCACCTTTGTCGCCACCAGAAGCAGACCTCTTGCTGCATGCTTGCTATATCGGGGTTGATAAGGGCCGCTATCCTTGAAGGTGGCTATCAGGGTGAAGAAACCAGAATAAACAGTTGTGAAATGTGCAAATGTGACTTGTGCTGAGCTGGGCACACTCTTTGCAGAAAGACTGGACCAGGCTGGAACTGAACTGCCCAAGGGTGGCTGGAGGAACATTGGAGAAGCTCAGCTCCCAATTAAAATGAAAAGTGTAAAACGTGAATTCTGATTTGCAGGCGGTTGGGCTAGATGACCCCTGGGGTCCCTTTCAGCTCTACAATTCTATGATCCAGCCTTTCACTGCAGCAATGGAAGAGCCAATGCCCTTCAGTGAGCAGTCACTAAGGATGGGTCCTGGAGCAAGGCCCTCAGCTGTGCCCAGCTGTAGCCACATGACTTGTTCCGCATGCTCTCTCCCCCTCTCCCTTACCTGTCCCCCAAGAACCCCATGCTGGTGTCCAAGGAAATTAGTTCCACAAGAGGCTGCAGTGGCAGGTGGAGCTTGCAGACAGCAGTGGCAAACCAAAAATGGATGGCAGCAAAGAAATCATAAAATTGCAGTTGGGAGGCAGCCCCAGTCCAATCCCCTACAATGCAGGAATCCAGCTAAGGAATCCCTGATAGACAGCTATCCAACCTCTGCTTAAAAACCTCCAGTGACGTGGGGTGGGATGCTTCTCTGGTCTTAAGGCAGGACCATGCTATATATTTAAAGCATATTCAATGTAAAATCTTGGTATCTGCAGTTTCTGCCTCACAGAGCTACCATTTCCAGCACCCTTAGCAAACTGTATCTGCTAGATTATTTGGAAGAAGTAATGTACTTTAAATGTGTGTTGAATTGTAGAGTTGGAAGGGACCCGAGGGTCATCTAGTCCAACCTCCTGCAATGCAGGAATATGCTTTAAAGGTGTATTGTCAAAAGGCTATATTCCCTTGAGGGTAAATCTCTTGTTCTCTCCCATGCCACCCACAGCGGGCATAATCAGAGTCTGAAGGGAGTGATGAACTCTTTTCTCTTCCTTCCCAACCAGCAGGCTGCCAGGGGAGGGAGCACTGCTTGCCCATGCTGTGGGGTCTGAACTGATCACTTGACAAGGGTTTCTGTCTTAGGGAGAAGTCAAGCTACCTTGCTGGAGGTGGAGGCTTTAGATTCCCCCCTCCCACAGCCAGACTACAGTACACCCCCTCCCCCCCCAAAGTGAAGAAACCAATCAAGACCGCAATCGAGGGCTGACTATGGTGTGTCCTATCGGAAGTGCTGAGGTCACCTTTGTCGCCGTCAAAAGCAGAGGTCCTGCACGCTTCGCATATCAGGGCTGATAAGGGCCGTCATCCTAGAAAGTGGCTATCAGGGTGAAGAAACCAGAACAAACAGTTGTGGCAAAGGGAACTTGTGCTGAGCTGGGCACATTCCTTGTGGAGAGACTGGACAGGGCTGGAACTGAACCAGTCTCTGCCCAAGGGGGTGTGCAGGGATGCTGGCCGCTCCTGGAGAATGTCAGCTCCACTTAAAATGGAATTTGTAAAACGTTTGTGATTTCTGCTTTGCAGGGGGTTGGACTGGATGATCCTTTGGGTCTCTCCCAGCTCTACAACCCTTTGGTTCTATGAATAAAGCCCAACTGGTACCTGGGGCTACTACTACTATGGGGCAGAGCCAGAAAAGAAACTGGCAAGGCCGCCGCTTCTTGTCACTTACAGCTGCGCTACAAAACCACTCAAACCTTAATCATTTGTGATCTGCAGCCTGTTCTGCATAAGGACGCCTTCCCTCTCACAGACCTTGCGTGGCAGGTATCTATTTACTGCTCCTGAACCAAAAAGAGCTTACTGCTCAGCAGCAACAGGCCTGAGAACAAAGATGTACACACAGAGAGCAGCCACTGCGCTCGACCCACACCCATCACTGCCCCATGGCCCTCAGGAGGCCGCTCAAGCAGGAATGTGGCCCTCAGGATGGAAAAGGTCTTCACTGGCTGGCAGCAGCAGTTCTTTAGGGTTTCCAGCTGCAGCCTTGCCCAGCCCCACTTGGCACTGCTGGGGACTGAACTGGGCATTCTCTGTGTTCATTGCAGGTGCCCAGCCCCTAAGCTACAACTCTTTTCTCCTTTGTCCCTGCTGAGAAGGCGGTCCTTCCTCTCTGGCAAGAGTCACAGGGGTGATTCTTAGGGGTGCTGGAGATAGCAACCCCTATCTTGACCACCTCACTAAGCTTTCCATACACAGCAGGGGTGGGCAACCTTTTTGGGCCAGTGGACCAGATCTTATCTTCCCCAATCCTGCGGGCCAACTTTGAAATGTGGGTGGGAACACCTGCCTGTCAATCGTCTGATATCCCAGTGACATCAAGTTTAACCCACTGGGCAGACCAAGGTTGGCAGAGTGAACTTGCACTCACGTCCAGTTTGCGAGCTTCTGACGGGTATCTGGTTGGCCCCTATGACAACAGGATGAAGGACTAGATGGGCCACTGGCCTGATCCTGCAGGCTTGCCTTAGCTTCACCCAGCAGGACTGAATTCTCTGCTGATGAGTGGAGACTTCAACCTTGCCCTCTTCAGGGGTTTGAGCAGGATTTAACCACCCTCTCATCAGCTGCTTTGGTTGCACGAACCAGTTTCCTGTGGGGAACTGGTGGTGGGTGCAGCCAATGCAGAACTGAACCCAAACACACTGCCCATTGAAGGGGTGTCAGTTGATGGACAGCTAGTTGTGGTTTTACAAAAGGGCCCTCATGGGTCAAATTAGACTGTGGCAGCCCAAGATGGCCTGTGAGCCAGAGGTCCTGTCCCCTCCCCCCATTACATAGGAACACAGACCCTGCCTTCTACTTCCAGACCCGTGGCTCATCCAGTATTGTCAACCCTGACTAGCAGTGGTCCTCCAAGATTTGAGGCAGGGAGCCTAGCACAACCCTCCCTGATTTAGTTAAGTGGTGCAGCTGCCTCTGCCAATGCCCAGCCCTTTTCTGATTCAGCAACCGTTACAGGGAAAGCACCCTTTCCTTAGTTCGGAAGACTGAACCCACTTTCTCAGTCCACACCCACCCACACTTACATCCCAGCCCCACCAAACACACAAACAGCACTTCTAAAAATACACACCTGCCTTCCTTTTCCAATGTGTCAATACCAGCAAGATAAAGGCTATAATAAAGTCCCTTTCAATTACTGTTGTTTGCAGATCTTGGGCCTTGGTGTTGTTGCAAAGGCAACCCGGCCCGTCATGAGGCACCAGGTGGATTGCTGGGCAGCAGAGCACACCGGAAGCCAGCAGGAGGGATGGGCAGCAGGGAGTGGAGCACTGGCAACTCTCTGAAGTATCCTTAAAATAAGGGACCACCAATACTGCAGCATCTTGCAGGGGGTTGTACATCCTTAACATGCCTGAGTTGCAAAGAGGCCCAGCTGATTTCTTGATCATGCAACACAAGGGCTGCATTTGGACGCTGCTGGTGAAATAAGTTCCTCTCCACACCTCCCAAGCACCATCAGTGCTATATTCTGCTTTTGGTCAACTCTCGCAGCCACGTATTGGGCAGTGCCTGTGACGTCAATGATATCATTGGAGGCAGTATGTCTGAATACCAGTGGCCGGGAATCACAAGCAAGGAAAGAGCACTGTTGCGGTACTTGTGC